CACGGAATGGGAGAAGGATCAGGTATTCTCTCATTATCGAAGGAAGAACAACATCACAGGGGATGACGCCAGCATGGGCGCTGATGCCGATGCCAAGCCAGGTGACGAGTCGTCGGCTCACCCTGGGGAGGAGGAAGCTGATGAGCCAGCAAACGATCCCACCGATGTGGTCAGGGACTCAGAGAATTCCGGGAAACAACAACTTTTGGATGCGTTGGGAAAACTCTTCACCGTCTCTGAGGATGTCAACGTGTGCTTGTATTGTGGTAGCACCAAACATGGCCATCTTGAATGTGAACATGAGAAGAGAGATGAAGTCAGAAAGGTGCTAAAGGCCGTCCGAGCGTCGCTCGAGGCTGAGAGTCCCACATCTGATGACGTCGATATGGAGCCTCCTGAGCACAAGAAGGACGGTTCAGGTGCTGCTGAAGGGTCGGGGCAAACAGATGAACCTACAAAACCGAGGTTTAGTGAACACCAGTGGTACGACAGCATCAGGACTATGTCTGAAGTTGGTGACCTCGATGAGTATGGTAGGTTCTGCATAGAAGGACGTGATGTTACAAAGCTGGGACCACAGAACGTTGTTGACCTCAACGAAGTGATCCGAGACGCTATTGTCAGGGGAGGAGGCGATACTTGGTCAGTGCCAGACTTCATGGCAAGCTACTCTGACAACAACATCAGGAAGACCTTCTACAAACGAGTCGAAGCGCCGCAAGATGGTTTCTTGAAAATCATCCCGACAACAGGGGCCCATTTCTTCAACTGCCCTTACTTTGGCGGTGTAGAATATGCTGCCAACTACCGCTTCGAGACTGGCAACCGACTCGACACCTACGAGGACAAGGTGAGTACATCACTAAACAGGATCCTGCGGCACAACGTGGGGAAGGTATCAGAGCAGCAGAGTCTGTCCTGTGATGACGCCGGCTGGGTGCCCATCGAGGAGGTGCTCAAATGTGAGTCCATCTGGAGGCACGAGCATGCACGCTGGCCACACGTATTCCTTGCCCCAAAAGGGAGAGCAAATGATCAGAGTGCATGGAATGTCAAAGAGGCGAACTACCGCATGACATTGCTCTTCAAGATCATGTTCCACTGTGCCCGGTACGGACGTCGTGTGCGTGAACAAGTCTTGGCATTTGGGATCAACAAGGACATTGATCGCCGCAGCCTGACGTGCATTGACAACAATGTCGAAGCGGACACGCACATCCCTGATGAAGGTCTACTGCTCTACCCAGTGGCGGTCCGTGCTCCTACGGGGCACAAAGAAGGATCTTCAAGAGACGACGTTTCATTGCTGTCCTCGTTGCTTTCACATCCAATCGCACCCAACACCATTTTGTCATTACCGGTCTGTTTCCACATCACCAAGAAGACCAACCTCCGAAGCATTTGGAGGCAGGGGTTAATTCCAGGAGGTCTTGGAGAAGGTCATCGGATGTTCACGTTCTTCAACCCGTATGTGCCATGGGATCATAGATCATGGACCATCACGAAGAGCGTTGATACGCGCAAGGGTGACTACATTTGCTTGTTCATCCCGACCGAGACCTTGATGGTGGAATATGGCGGTCGACTAACTGACTCGGGACAGATCGTTTCACCAAGGATCATCCCGTTCTCGGCAATCAAAGGAGGATGGATTCAGGACCCCAAGGACCAATACAACAAGACATGGCTCCGGTTGTTCGTCCCGTCGGGCGACGACCAGGTAGTCCGGTCTGGAACTATCAAATCAAGAACGGTAGCCACCAAGGAGTCCATCCTGAGGGTTGCAAGTCAATGCATCGACGCCGAAGACCAACCGTATGACGAAATCGCCATGGATGCCATGAACATCGTCAACCAGTTCAAGAACAACCTCATCGAGCCTGGTGGACAAGAGCAATACCTGGCCCGCATCAAGCTGATTGACTATATAGTCGAGCGCAAAAGGGTGCAAACGTCAGGTTGCCGTCATTGTCCTCACTGTCTCAACGAGACGCCGACAAAGCTAGCAGTGTGTCTAGTCTGCTGGACGGAACTTGAAAGTTGTGGAATCCGTCCATATCGGCTACAAGCTCCTGAAGACGATGAAGATGAGGCAACAAAGAAAGAGATCGATGAAGAAGTTCGTCGACAAGAAGAATCGTTGTTCAAGGACACGGTCAACCAAGCACAAGAAAACGTATCCGAGTCCAACGACTATGGCTTCAATCCTGACGAGGTCGACTACAATGAAGGCGATGATGAGGAAATGGATCAGGAGGAGGAAGCTCAACAGGAAGACGACGAAATCGTTGAAGAAGAAGACGATGAAATGGACGTCGAACCTGAAGATGATCCTTCTTCCAAACTTCCAGCGTGGACTAAGAATCTTGAGAGCGGAAGCAAGGGTATGCCGGAAGACGGACTTATCAACAATGACGTCTCCGAGGCCGCGGCTCACTTGTATGACAATGCTGTCATGTCAAAGGTCATCACAATGTTCAGGCTCTACTATAAACAGAGGGTCACTCTGACCCCAGAGGAGTACTACGAGATGATGACGGAAACCAAGCGAGTCCGGCTGGACCTGGACGACTTCTGCCCCTACACAGGCGAAGACCAGGATGGCAACCTCAAGCGACCGACGGAGCTGGAGTTGGACGAACTCTTTCAGGAGAAAGGGAAAAGGAACTCATGGTCAGAGGGAGAGAAGATGTACTCAGGACGACCAAGAAACATGATGATGCCCGTCATCAAGACCTTGGAGATCTATGAAAAGATGATGGAATTTCTGGTACGCGCCGGGTACACTCCCGAGTCATTAGGTTTCCTCATGCCAATGAACCGAATGCAGGCTGATGCCCAAGGGAAGCAGGAGATGCGAGTGACCATCAGCAACTTTCTTCGACGACTGCTGAAAGGAACCTTTCCAGAACATGAATCATACACATTCTTTCGTTCCGGGAGCCACGGCTTCCCCAACTGCATCGAACTCCCAGCTTTCTCGGTATATCTGAGTCTGAGGGAGAAAGAACAGAGAGTGGAGTTGCTCTTTGCCGCCCAACAATGTGGCATTCCTTTACCTCAAAACTTTGTCAGCAAGATGGCTTATGCTATTCAACTGGCTGAGGCCGAGGCGCAGAGGGGAAAGACCGAGATGAAAACGAAGATGGCTCCAACCCTTGGCGACGAAGTGGTGAGTGAAGTATTCAAAGCGGTCGGACATACTGCCGCTTCCAAGTTTACCACCGCAGCCAAATCATCAGCACAACCTTCACAGAAACCTGAAGGCACTGGTTCAGCATCATCCTCATCGGCCAGCGCACCAAAGGCTAAGGCTATGCCGAAATCCCATGAACCATCAAAGGTACCGCCTGCGAAGCCCTCATCGCCGAAAGCTGCTCCGAAACGTGCGGCAGGATGGGAGAAAACTCCAACAACACCTCAATGGAAGAAAGTCCGCCGTGAGCAGTGAACCTATTACCTCTGTCCATCAAAATGATCACTGACCTATAAGATGTGTATCGTCTTTATAAACAGATGATCAGGAAAAGGCCAACTGAGTGGACTCTGAGCGAGGCATTAGACTAATTCGCTTAGGTCCGAGACTTTTGATATTCCCAATCTGCACGAAGTTCTGCACAGTGCACGTGAATTCGTTAGTTAGCATTGTAAATCTTTGGTAGCAAAGCGATCCATTTCTCCCGACGGGTGAGTGGCATGCCTAGCCAACATAGAGAAGTAGATGTTAGCTAGCAATAATTCGCGCTGTACAGCTTGATGAAGCGCCGATGCATCGACAGCCAAAGAGTAGGCGAACCCTGAACCATTATTCCCGACGGGTATGTGGGGAAGGGGGAGCCGAATGGCATGTTTTATGTAGATAGGCGTAATTCAAGTAGCAGAACCATCTTAATTCAAAGTTCCCTCTCTCGTGTCCGTGGTCTGAAGATACCACGGGCATGGGGGGTGTTAAAGGGAACGAGATGAAACAACATGTACAGCATGCAGTGTTAAAACAACATGCTGTGACCGCCAAACATTGGCTCAAGCGCATGGAGAAAAGGGATGCGTCGTGTTAATCCGCATGGCATTTGTCGGCTACCAGTAGCAAGGGTACTACAGGTCTGAGATAACATCCAGGACAAGGATCCATTTGTTCACATATATATATATAATGACATACATTATGATATATAGCATGATATATATATGAATAATGTTATATATGTAAAACACATAATGATAAATATAATGGTATATTTATGATATATACAAAGATATATAGAATTATATACATAATGACACATATGATGATATATTTAAATATATGTATTTATTTAATTACATAAACACATTTTTTTTGTATATATTTACAAAAAATGGTGTATATGACCATTTGCCAAAAATAGTTGACTGAAATTTTGTACTAGTTGTTGATAATTAGTGTGGGCCCAGTGGTTTTTCCTCTTCGTTTTGAGGCGGCACGCAACTAAATTCATCAATTCTGCAAGGCAGCGCTAGCAAACCCGCTAGGTTTTCGCTAGTTTTTCTTTCACACCCATGTTCAAGGATATTTTTTTGTGTTCCTGTCTGCCTGTTATTTCAACATGAAGAAAAATCAAGATGTAACACTTAGCTCCTTAAACCTAAGGATGTCTTATTTCAGTGCTACTCAACAATTTTCTTATATTTTTGAGGTTGCGGCTCAACTTTGCGAATTTGTACGTAATTTTACCCGCTAGATCCCCGCTAGCAATGCGCTAGCAAAAGTTTCAAAAAACGGCTTTGGTTGACCCGTGACCCAGTCGCCACCAGAGAACTTGTAGTTTATCCTGTCTGTTTGACAAAAGCAACAGTGTTATCACTATGTATGTACTGTACATACATATATACATATACTGTACATACATATATACATATACTGTATATATATATGTATATGTATGTATTGATATACACGCCATACCAACACTTCTTTTCGTTCGGATGATGCGCCATCACCAGCCATTTCTGGGACATAGGCGAAACAGAACTGGGAATTGCTGAAACATGCGACCAAGGCGCAGGATCATCGCATGGATCGTCAGTGGTGAAAAAAAATCTAGTTAGAAAACCCCATTCGTGGGGTTGTAGATCCCATTTATACATGGGTGAACTCACTATTGTAAAAGTTAAACCACTTCCTAAGTGGGAAGATCCATCATCCAACCATCATTTCTGTTGTGCCAACCTGATTGCCAAAAAGGGTGGGAAAAATGGGTGAATTTCTGCCTCTCTACTTCGCAACAGTGGGATCAGCGGATGTGGGATCCAACATGCCATCTGAATTGAAATGGGTTTGTCCGAAAATGTTGGATACTGCTTGGTTGGTAGTGGGGTGACCCCTGTTGGACCATGATGTAGACTTGAGTGTTGGCGAAACATATTGTCCATCTTAAGATGAGGTATTGACCATGAACAACTAAATGGTGGTTTCGCCATGTTTCACCAACAGAACTTGGGTACTTGACTATGAAAAAAAGACACATCAAGCGATTGGTCACTTCAGTCTCGAACCAAGTTGGAGGGTTAGTCACTTTGAACCACAACCATATATTGAACCACAACCATTTATCCATGTATAGCAACCCTGGAAATTTTCAACCAAGGTTTTTCTGAATTTGGGAGGGTTATTCCGAAAAGTGGTTTACTCTTACGTACAATGTGAGGCCCCCGTTCGATAGCTAAGTTGGTGAACATAACTCCAATAACTATGGTTTATGGTACGCAAATAACTATAGTTACTGGGGCTTATAAACCAACTATTCAAAATGACCCCACCAGCTCCAAAATCAACCACTTATTGGCCCTCCACATCCAAGAAACATCAAACATCCCTTACGAAGCGCAGCTTGTGCCTCGTCATGTCGTCGTGTTTGTATGTATATGTATTTAATGCATGTATTAATGGGAAAATATGAATGAAACAAAATATGAACAAATATGAATAGATTTGAATAAATATGCATAAATACGAATAAATATGAACACATATGAACATATATGAACACATATGAACAAACATGAACAAATATGAATGAATATGAATAAAGATGAATAAGAACAAATTAACACATATGTATATATATATATGTAGACACACACACATACACGAGATTATGTGTATATATATATATATGTATGTATATATATATATATATGTATGTATGGGTTTCTCAAAATGGAGGACTCAGTCACCATAGGTTTCAATACCAAATTACGGTCCCATTTCAGTCTACCCCTGGTCCGGGATGCCGTTCGGATTTTTTCCGCTTGTGCGAGGCCATTGTGGCATGTTCCAAAGAGACCATTTCTGCACGCCGCTTGGAGCAGAGATGGTAGGACCCAGCAACGAAAAAGGGTGCTTTCAGGGGCAAAATCATGATTTAACCATCAAACATGGTAGATTAACTACCAAGAACGGGGGCTTGATCTAATCAAACATGGAGGTTTTATCATCCAAAGGTGACGGTTTCACCAAGAAACCATTAAACGAATGGATAAACTCACTGAAGGGACAATGAACTGTTCAAGACTTGGGAACATCTTAATTTACGGCCATCAAATCAAGGGAAGCGATGATTCACCATGGAATCTTGGCCGAGCAATTTCGGGACACCTAATCGGGATTTAGCAAGATGTGTCCGTCAAAAAAGGCTTGGCATCGGGTTGTATATGTGGTGGAAACCAGCAAAGCAGGTCAAACAAAGGGGGATATGGAGATTCGACCATCACTCATTCAAACCATGAACAAGGAGAGGAAATAGGTCCGGGTCACAATTTCGGAAGTGCAGGTGGTCATTTTGGTAAAGCCTTGTGGGAAACTAATGTGGGTAAAACAATGGCATAAACCACCCATTTGGGAATGGTAACCATACCACCTATTTCTGTTGATGACTGGGGGATGGTTTATGGCATTGTTTTACTCACATTCATGGGAAGATCAATGGGAATATCATATCAATGGTGATTTTATTTCATAATATTGGGATAATGGGAAGATCAATGGTCATTATAGTACAATTCTCCCAATATTACTCCAATCAGTTGGCTGAACAAAATGGGAATACGAACATTTCCGCCAACTGGAGTCAGACCTTTCATGAGTTGCGCGATTTGATGTGACTGTGACCCCCAAATCCTGAGATTTTAAATGTGGACTCGTCTCTCGCGCTGGAGCTGATGGGTGATATATGTCTGATATGTCAGATATTTATCAGATGAGGTCAATAAATGTTCAAGAGTATAGAATAGTATAGATATCTGATATATGTCAGAGAGTCAGAGTGTATGTCAGATATGGTTTCTTCCAAAACAACCTGTAGTTCTGAGGATCAGTCGATTGCGGGTCATGGCTGTCATGGCTGCCATGAGGAAGGGCGGTGACGATGATGTTGGACAACGTGCGTGAGCAGAACTTCACCTTGGAGGAGCGAAAGTTCGAGGTGAACAAACTGCAGGTGGTCTGCGAGGCCCAGTTGATCTCAGAGGAATACCCTCTGGTAAACTAGCAGTTTGCTATGGAAAATGGCCCATAGAAATAGATGGTTTACCTATTAAAAATGGTGATTTTCTATAGCTATGTTAAATTACCAGAGGGTACACTCTAGAGCTCTCTGGAAATGGTGGATCATAATGGACTTAATGACTTTATGCTGGTCAGTGATTGTTCATGATGCTGATGGTTAGGGGGAAGTCTCCCAAGACGGTGGGACAGAGGAGGCCAACCGGATACCGATTGAAGCAGTAGACTTTCGCCAATGAGTTACGACTAGCTGAGCATTTAGTGCCAGATTGGGTCTGGAATGAACAAAAGGAAAGAAGTTGGGACAGACTTCTAGCACCATTTGAGTGTTAAGTAAGTCTGGTTGACTGACTAAGCCTGGTTAACTTCTAGGACTCTTTTGTAGGGAAATAACTGATTTGCAAATATGGGGATTTTTTCTAGGGACCAGAGGTTGCAGGTAATCCTCTCGAAAAACAACATGCCCTTGCGACGGACAAAAAGACCTGAAGGATGAGATGATTTGTTATCTCCGCATGAGACTGAAGGGGTGGATTGCAACCCAAACATCCCAGATATCAGTTAGAAAATCCATCTTTTGAATATGAATCATCTACAATATGACACAACATGTATATCTCTATCTATAATCTATCTATATATCTATATCTATCTATCCATATAATATATATATACATTAATTAATTGCTGTATACATTAAATGCTGGCTCAGGGCATCAGGCCCTTCCTTGGAGCCAAATTTGGCTGGTTTTTGGATGGGAAAACCCATAGAAAAAACATAGGAAAATCATGGGAACACCGTTATAACTGGAGGTCTATAGCTGGGAAAATCCTGGAAATTATCGCCATTTGGCTGGACAGCTCGATATGAAGGTGACTCACTATGTCTGAATGTCAGACATTGCGAAGAGGTTCACCGTTGACAGTGCTGCATATCCAACATGCTGGATGAGAAGTTACTGCTGTTTGATGCTGTTTGTTCTTTATACAGTCTATAATGCCTGTGGTTCAACATTACCACGCAATGGTTAAATGCTTGGGCATGTTCAATTCCAAACCCATCTAAACCCGTAAATTTAGGATATCCAAGTTGGACCCACGCCCGTAAAGCCGCGGACATGGAAGTGAAGCGGAGGAGCGGTTGCTTTGGATGGTCAGGAAGCCGGAGAGTTGTTGCACTCGGTGCTACTTTGGCTCTACTATGGCCAAACAGAGATCAAAGACCTGGGTTGCCATTCTCGCTGCCAGATCTAGAACAGATAGAACAGAAATTTGTCGTTAACATAAAACCTATCTCGCTGCCAGAACCGAAACAGAAATTTGACTTTGACTTTGGCAAAAAACACATTTTATCAATGACTCCACAGTGGCAGAATTGCGAAGTGCGTGACGAGCACAAGGAAGATATAGCCGATGGATTCGCTTTGTCAATTATTCGCTGCTTGGACCCATTCCGCGATGCCAACAGTACGTGGCGGTGCCACTAATTATAGGGAGTTGGTGGACGCGTGCTGCCATGCTCTGGGTGATGATGTTGCTGTCGAAGTGGTCGGGTCTCGAGCGAGAGGCACACATTTTGCGGGTGCTGATGTAGATCTTCAGGTCAGGAGGAGTCCGCGAAGCGATCAGGCTGACATACTATTCACAGACACTGACAAGCGCAAGGTGGCGCAAAAACTGAAGAAGCTGGCATGTGTCACAGGGCCTGTCACGATTGGAAATCTTTCCATCAAGTTCACCTTGCAAGGCAAAAATCCTATTCCTGTTGACCTGGTTCTTGCGAATCCACGTTCTGAGGATTTTCCTAAGCTTCGTGGAGGGAAGGACTTCCACGAGAATTCTGCGCGCATCATCAAGCTTTTCCGTGGTGAAACATGGGCCGGGCTTGCCGCCCGGGCTGCTGTCGTTGGAATCAAACAGTTCTGTTCAATCTATTCCATTGACAGACCAAAAGGAATACTGCTCGATGCCATTGTATGGCGCCTTTCAACCAATTTTTCGCTGGACAGACAGGTACCTGTATCGATGAGATTGTTTTTGTTTTTTGATCATGTCGTGACTACTTTACAGAATTGGGAGGGTTCACCTTTTGGACGTGACCTGAAGGAAGATCTGGACAAGCTACCCGCGAGGAAACGGGACGAATATATTCACGGCTTCAAGACGTTTCGGCGGTTTCCACATAAGGCTATGAGGTATCTTTGCATCATCTACAACATTGCTTGCAGGTCCAGGGCGCAAAGTGAGACCTTAGAAGAATTAGAAGATTTGCCTCCGTTCATGCAGGACCTTGAAATCTTTTTGCTATCGAACTTTCCTTGGAAGATGTTTGACCTCGACGCTCCGCAGTGATGCGGGCGATGGGGAAGCTTGCCGGACTCCAACCTCCAAACGAGGATGATCAGCATGGGCGCACGAAGGGAGTTTGATGGAATTTGACCCATATGTCATATATCCAAATCTAATGAAACATGACTCTTGGAAGCTGGAAATATGTTTTGCTGTATGTTTTTTCTTTTGGAGTATGACAGTATGAATTCTGTTTGAAGTCTTTCTGTTTATGACGGATTCCCTTGACCTGTGTGGGAGCATCAGCGCAACATTTCCCTCATGGATCATAAGTGGCAGGACCCCTAGACCCATAGGATCTTGATCTAAAACACATCATTTCCTTCAATTATACGCAGATATGCAATATATGTATACTATTCATTCAAGTACGTCTTTGTATACTAGAACATATTATACGTATCGACATCTTATATATACACACATTATATATATATACACACATATTATATATATATATATTTATTATATATATACACTATTTTTTCACTCCCAGCTCAATGAAGCGTTACGCTGCGGCCAAGCACCTGAATTCACGCTCATATATATATATATACAATATAATATATATATATATTATACACACATGTTAGCATGAACAAACATCCCTGTCCGATGTTCCCCGGGAGGCCTTGAACAAGATGCCGGACCCAGAGGATGAGAAAGACGATCCCCCTGCCAGGTGCTGGGGATCCATTCCCAGCCGGAACCATGGGGGAATGGTGCAGAGAATTTTGTTTACCAACGGAAAACCAACGGAAACCATAGGAAAAATGGTGATTTAATGAGGGTTCAATGATATTCTATTGTGGTAAATAATATATAATCATATTTAGAATATCATGCAAAACTTATCAAAATCAATAATTAAATAATTCTATGATATTCTATGCCATTTCATGTGGGGAACCATGGGATATTATTGCCTAGTAAACACTTTTGTTGCAAATCAGATCACATATATACATAGATGGGATAGTTATTGCTCAACTACTCGCAATTTCTGGGAAACTATCCATGGATTCTTGGGACAACTCATCCTATGTGTAGATCTAGTAGCTATACGCTGTGAGGCATCCACATCTTCCAGGTGTCTAAAAATGGGTTCAAAACATGGCAGTTTTCATGGGAAAAATCAGGTTCTAAGCCATGGGGATTTTAGGAGTACCCTATTCCCAACCCAGGAGGCTTTGAGTGTCCCTCACCATGGTAAGGAATGGTGGGCTATACTCTGAAAGAGGCGAAACTCCCCACATCATCCCGTGTTTTAAAGCCTCACAAATCACATTTCCCCCATGTTTCATGGCAGTCAATCTGAGGTCATCCCCATTGACTAAGCCACTCAACCCATCGGCCCGGCTGCCAGGGCACGGAGTGAACGTCGCAGGAGCATCATCACGGAAGTCACTGAGGAGCGATATCAGTTGCCGAAAACAAGCGGCTGAATTCAACGGTTTATGGTAGATATAAGATATCATTATTTTTAGTTATCATGGGGTTTATAATACTATTATTAAGGACCACTATGAACCATTATTAACCATCATTAACTATCATTAACTATCATTGATGGGGTTTATATAAACCGTTTTATAGCTGGGGGGCACCATCCTGTCTGTAGATGTCTTATGGACCCGCTAGGCAGCTGCGGGACTTGAAGCCAACTCGTTGATGGAGAGCATTCCAGACGTGTCAGATACCGAGGGGTGTGGCGACTGCTCACAGAATCGGGCATGGGTCCCTGGCAAAGGACCCACCAAAGACTGCTTATTATTTTTACCAACCCACGAGATACAGAAGCCGTACTTGGTTTGAACTATGGCAACCCAAAATTTGAGATCCGTTTTCAATGGGATTCTCGTTTTTCCGGGGATTTGTTTCTGAAACGTCCTGGTAATTTGAGGGTCTAAGCTATTTGTTGCCTGAAAGCTTCCGAGTTGTGGGAGGACCTACATGGGGTTGGAGAATGATAGTTTCCATAGATCAATGGCCATTCCAGGATCCTAAATTGGAGGTACCTACCATATATAAGGCCTATTTTTCAGGCCTAAATTTCAGGGAATATCCCCACAATATATGGCCTTATATTATATGGTACGTTTACGTCCCTCCATCAATTGGATCCTGGAGATCTCCCATTGATTATGATATTCCCAGTATATCATCATTTTTATCCCAGTAACCATAGTTATAACATGTACCCACTTATAAATGATAAACTATGGTTACTTTTTATCTCAATTATCCCAAACCTCCACATGGCCCAAACTGAGTGCTTCAGCAGGGCAAAAGCTCGAGGGCCAAGCCGGCTGTTGACAGGGAAGAGATGATGGTGAAGCTGCACAAGCTGCAAGAAGAGTTCACAGAAATGGAGGTGGAAGGCGGCCTGGATCATGGAAAGCTATGGAAAGCTATGGAAAGCTTGGATGATCTACCACCAAGCTGTTTGAGATAGAATACATGTGAATTTGGAAGGAGCAGATAGATACATTCATTAGAACAGAATAGAATGGAGGAACATAAATGGATAGATAGATAGATAAGTCGATAGATCTGCAAGATAAGAGCCTGGTGTGCAACATGAAAATACACACGTTCCCACGGATCTTTGAATCTACATGTAGATATATGGATATATATATATATATGTATATATATATGTATATAATATATATATACCGTATCTATAATGTTTTACATCGATATCTATGTGAAAACATCTACATCCATAGTCAAACTTAACTAACCTAATTTTTTTTGATTCCTAGTTATTTATTTATCCACATGATTCAAACACGCCTTGTATGGTCAACTGCAAGAAACCATCCCCCAAGGTCACCTTTCCAGACATGGATCCCAAACAGGTCTAGATCAATAACGACCCATGATTATCCCCATCATGACATACCCTCTGGTAAACTAACATAGCTATTGAAAATGGCCATTTATAGTGGATTTTCCCATTAAAAGTGGTGATTTTCCATAGCTATGTTAGTTTACCAGAGGGTATATGATACCCGTTATCAACCCTATTATCCCCAATTCTTAAGCCCATAGTCCCATAGTTATTGTTCGGTATAATAACGGGCTTCATAATCTTTGTCAACAGGTTGTCTTGATCAACAGATTAATAATCAACATATTAGCCCTTATTCCATGATTGGGGATTCTTATCCACTATTAACCCCGTTGGATTATTATCCCCAATCATCACCAACTATCCCAAGTATTAATCATGGGGTCAATAATCTGGGTAAATTATAACGACCTCACTGCGACCTCACTGGAATAATGGTTAGTATGGGAAATCATCCCCAAATGCCTTAATTCAGGTTAGTGAAATATTATAATTTACGCAGAATAATCTTAATCAATAGATTATCATCCACTCTTAAAAGTTAACTCTTGGGAGTATTATCCACCATTATACAATATTGGGCATTATTATCCACGATTATCCAACATATTAGCCCTTACTTAATAATGGGTTGGCCAATATTATCTTAATCAATAGTTAATCGATTAAAATTATCTTAATCAGTTGATCAAGAGATTATTATCCACCATTAGTAACTGGTTGGTGGTTTCAAACATTTTTTATTTTCCGTAATATATGGGACAATCCTTCCCATTGACTAATGTTTTTCAGAGGGGTTGAAACCACCAACCAGTTATAGATGATTTGATTTATGGATGATTTAATTATAGATGATTTATAGATGATTTATGAATGATTTATAATTATTATCCACCAGTAATAATGATTATTAAGAGGGTAAATATTTTGACATAACCAGAGGGTAAATAAATTCAATAAATGGAATGATCCACAATAACTATCAATAATAATCCCATTCCCTACTAAGCACCAGTACATAGTGGTGCCCCATAGATAGCTAAGTTGGTTTATAACTACAATAAGTAGGACTTATGGTAGATATATCTATAGTTGATGGGGGTTATAAACTAACTTATAACTGAGGGGTACCACATTGTAAGATAATGATTAAGGTCAACTATCCCTAAGCGTTTCGTTCCGGCAATGGTGAGCCAGGCACAGCAGTGGCGGCTATGGAGGAGGCCCTGGACGGGGTGCGCACCATTCTGGACATCGCCAAGGCGCGGAAAACGGCGGGGCGGTCATTTGAAATTGGGGAAAGATGGTGTGAAAACATGGAGAATTTTGAACATGGGGAAAATCTGGTGAGCACATGGAAGATTTCATTCTGTTTGCATGTCTCTATCTGTCTCTGATATGGGGATTTTCATTCTTTTTTACCCAGGATTACAATAGGAAACTGGCAACCGATTGGAACGAAGAGGTATTGATACGCAGTAGCTCATCACTCGGACCCAACGCTTAGATTTTTCCATGAAATTTACGTGCAGGCTGAGAGGCCAGGTGCATCGATATGGTTTAGCTGCCTGGACCTATATTGTTTCATGGCATTTTCCCAGTATTTTTGGCCCTATCTGAGATGATATCACTCTAAAATGGCCCTTGTGAAGCTCACTTCAGGGCTTGAAACTGCGGTATTGGCGTGTTTGGTGCAGGCCACCCAAGGAAACGATGGGTGGGAGGGTATAGCGTATCGATAGAAACCCCAAATTTAAATATATGTTCGCCATCATATATTTCCCGCATGTGATTGAGCATTTTTTGGGGCCCTGCCTAAAAATTCTTCACAGGCAGAGCTAGATGCAACTCCCACCCAGAAAGCCAAGCTGGAGGCCAACCGCTTGGGGGAAATCAGGTGTGTCACTTCTGAAGTTGGCTTACAGAAAGATGTACAGGAACGTCCAGCTTGATGCATGGAAGAAAACAAATTTCTTGTGGTTTTGCCTGCCTTCCAGCGACCGCTTAGGTTGTAATATCAAGCAGTTCCAAGTTACCCACGGTTGTAGGTAATCCTAACCGCATGAAACAACCTTTCTGTTAAACCCCCATCTCGATTGATAATACTCTCGTTTTGATTGTTTCAGACCTGTATGTTGATTGCTTAAACCTGCATTACGCCTGTTTATGAACACCACAACAGCTGCATGGAATCAGATCTCAACATACAACAATCCAATGCAATTTTCACCAGTGTGGTTGCCCTAACCCAACTATACATCTACATATATACAGTAAAAATTATCATAATTGGGATGGAAGAAAACCAATGAAATACATTGAAATACCATATTTGTAGGGGATGAACATCCATCCATACCATAAATCCCAGCCGACGGCCAAGGCGAAGAGACAAGCGACCTGGAAGAAGGTGATCCATGATGTGGACGTGGCCAAGGTCACGTGGCATTTTTTTGGGGGGAAGTGGTGGTTGATGGTGGTTGGTTTGATCAGTTCTACATCTAGATACCTATGCCATTCCTATACCTAGACCTGTACATGTTATGCATATATGATAGATTATACATGACATGACGTACATTTACATATCTATGTACTGTACTTCGCCAATTTTTGATTGATGACTATTCTCCATGTATCAAGTACATTCTAGTTACGCGTGCCATTGGTTTGAGGGGAGTTGTACAAGCTTCGTATCGTATGCGGCTGATAAATACGACACATTAAACGCAAAGTTTCTGGTTTAGATTTGCATCTTCTCCCAACTTTGGAACTTCCTATTTTGTTTGTTTGACCCCAAATTTTGGTGCTGTAGACGGACAAATTTCGTAATAGCATCACATTAGGTTTGTTTCTACAGTGAAAACTCTAAACATTGGTTTCCGCATTTGTGAAGGTAGAACATGGAGTTTGGTGTTGTTGATTTTGTTGAAACACCCAAAACAAACATCATTATTATTATTATATAATACTGTATATGGTATGATTATGAGGATTTTGCATGGACATAGCGCATGCATAGTGAACTCGTTAGTGCTTTCACAATCACTGACTTGATGGATCATAAAAAATCAGCATTCGAATGGAAACCTTTGACATTCATTTGAACAGAACATTTTAGAAGATATTCAGCAAACACAGGTCAACATCAAACATAGAGTCATAGAGCTTATCTCCAAAACCACTTTCTTGGTGAACCCACTGTGGATCCTCCCAATCTTTTCACAGGTGATTTTTTTCCTGGCTGGCGAATTCCCGTTTTTGCCAATTCAATCTGCAAGACTTTGGATGATACTGGCACCAGCAATTTCTTGATGTCTTTATCAAGTTTTGGGATCTTTTTCCCCATCTATCTCTCCATTTTTTTCCATGATTTCATCAGTTTTTGGATGATTTTTGGATGATTTTCATCTTCCAAGATAGGACTTTCCCATCACCGAGGTCCCTGATGCCTGGACCACTGACACCGCCATGGCTTCGAACGGCACCGCAGCCGGTAACGCCGCGGACGTGGCCACTGCGCTGCTTCACCACGCGCCGGAGGCGATGGAGGTGGAGAAGGTGTGGCCTAGCCATGGAACTCCTGGAGGTTGGGTTCGCTGGGAAAATCATCGAACTATATGATACCCTCTGGTAAACTAACATAACTATGGAAAATCACCATTTTTAATGGGAAAACTCACTATAAATGGCCATTTTCGATAGCTATGTTAGTTTACCAGAGGGTATATTTATCTGGTTGGTGGTTTGGAACATGAATTTTATGACTTTCCATAATATATTGGGAATAATCCTTCCCAACTGACTCACAAATATTTTTCAGAGGGGTTGAAACCACCAACCAGTTATAGATGATTTGATTTATGAATGATTTAATTTATAGATGACTTATGAATGATAAATACGATGTTTAGTCACTAAAGAATTGGAGGTTTAATGGGACTTCACTTTTTAGGTGATTTTTTTCGTGACCTGGTGTCTTAGGTCACCAACAGCCCTTTTCAAACAAACCACGAGTTCTCTTGAGAAATCTCGAGACAACCCCATCTACTGGAAGCTACAAAACGATGATTTCAACCAAGATGTGGATCAAACCAACTGGTCGCAGAAGGGACATTTGATGGGACCCAGGGGATTTGATCAAGAAGTTGACAGTGCGACCGACAACTGTGGAGGGAACCAGCAAACATGAAGCTGTGGGGCTTCGATGGGTTTATCAAGCTGTGGGAAACACCAGAAATGCGCTTTGTCTTACTCTCTGGTGAACTAACATAGCAATGGAAAATCCCCATTTTTAATGGGAAAATCCACTATAAATGGCCATTTTCCATTGCTATGTTAGTTCACCAGAGGGTACAACTCAACCAAAAGTCAAGGAGATTACGAACATTCGTGGGATATAAAGTGGGATATTTTTTTGTGGGCAAACCAATCAGTTGAAGATCGAATCGGTTTGTGGGGAAACTTTGTTTTTGGATGTTTTTGGGGTTTCCATAAATGGGGGTACCCCAATATGGATAGTTAACGGAAAATCCGGTGTTCAACTGGATGATTTGGGGGTATCACCATTTCAGGAGCCCCCACCTACATACCATACATCTGGGTAAATTATAGCGACCTCATTATTCTCCCTCACTGGAATCATAAGGGGAATCATCCCCTTTTATGGCCGCAAGATTCAGGCTAGTGAAATAGTAATTATAATTTACATATAAAGTCATATAAATGATTATAAATGTATATGATATATAATATAAATGTGTATATATATATATATAGACATACACATACATACTCTACATATATTTCTTAAGCATGACATCGGTCCAAGCCACCTCGCAGGTCGACCTGCCGCGCTCCAAGAGCGGCGAGCTGATGAAACGCTTTCTGCAGGAGACCGACCAACGTGGGACTACGGTAGACATGGGGAAAAAACGTTGTGAAACGGGGGATGCTGGGACAGCATCTGGTTGTATGTTGTTAGATTTGGTTAATCTTTGTTATAGTTTTTATGTTGATGTTCAATCTATGTTCTTTGCCATGAGTGTTCCTCTGGGGTTTCCAGAGAACTTTCACCTGCTGCTGCGTATTCCAACAGAGATGTTGACAGGTGAGTTCAACCGACCTTTTGAGAAACCATACCAACATATACCAAGATTTTTGGCTTCTACCCTGAGCAACTTTGGGGTGATTAATACACAACCGCTCACCCACAGATCAATAGGTGCCTTGTGTCATTTCTTTCTGCTTGAAACGTGAAGCTTGGCTGGAATTTGCTAGTGCATCATGTGTCCCAAAAATTGGGAGAAATTGCTATTTGAGTTGGTAGCACCAAATCAGACACCAGTTCTTTTGGAAACAACCTGGGTGAAGATTCCGTATAGCATCTTAGGATACCCCGTGGGCTTTAAATTGGAGACGGGAGACTTGTCGGCCCCCGCAGGAAGAGGAGCCCGAGCCTGCAGCCGCTTGGGTTTTTCTCCGTTCGGCAAAATGGGGATGGCTCAAAACCTATTAATGTGGACAACCCAGTGCCATAAACCCGACCATTTGGGCATGCTTTGTACCACCCATGAAAATGGCGATCTTGGGATATCTTGGGGAGATTATTGGGTTTACCCCATTATTACCATATTTTGGGGAATGACCATCCATTAACCAGCTACTTCAGGGTACCATCCGGGTGCCAGGGTTTTGACTCATAGCAAAATGGGACAAAACTTGGATGCGATTAGACCTGGACCCGGCATATGATCATATTGGTGACCAGCCTTAAAGTTGGCACCTTACCTGCCTTAAATTTGCTGGTTTCAACATGTTTGAGGTAAGGCCTTGGTGAACCCTTCAATGAGCTTCCTGGGGATTTCTCGCCGCTGAATCTTTGCGGTTGCTGGATTCCAAGATCAGACTGGATGCCAAAAAATTGGGTCATGATTTGGTCAATTTGGGAAGAGGATGCCATAATTGACGTGTGGATATAGACTGACCAGGAGATCTTCCAAAACTCGATCTTTTGTGTTTGCCTCCGAATACTCCAAGACTTTCGTTTTTTGGGTTGATATAATTCTGCAACAAAGCAACGAACTTGAGGTATCTTGAGAGTGTGAGGCTTTTTTCCTGCTCATTTGAGACCAGCAACATCCAGCAACATCCAGCAACTAACCGAAATCCATCTGAATCCCATGTTTCGCTGTACCACCAACCAGTTTCAATCGGAAATCAGTAGAGATACCCTCTGGTAAACAAACATAGCTATTGAAAATGGCCATTGAAATAGTGGATTTACCCAGCTATAAAATTGTGATTTTCCATAGTTATGTAAACGTTTACCAGAGGGTAAATCCCGTTAAATTCCATTAAACCACCATAAAGCCTCATTAAATCACCATTTTCCTATGGTTTTCCTATGGTTTTCCTATGGTATTCTCCAAGAATCGGATGAAGTCCAAAGGTTTTCGACCTCAACAAATCCTCGATGCCGTCTGAAGGCCCCCTGGTCTGCGTCCACATCCTCGACCACACCACCTTGGTCGGCCTCAGAGGTCCCCTTTTTTGCTTTGTTCACACCCCGGGCGACTCGCGAGTTTTTGTAGGGGATGAGAATTTTTTCGTAACAAACCATGGGATTTTTTCATGGTTTTTTCATGGGGATATTGGACCGGATATTTTCTGGGAAAATCATATATTACAATGGGGTTACAACTATGGAGAATTCAGCCCCATAAATTATGATATAACCCCAAACACTATGATGACACATTTACACTTATCACTGGAACTGCTCCCCCAAGTAGTCTCTGGCAATCAAGCACTTTGCCATTGGAAATGGCGATGGGAATGATAGGCAAGTCACCTAGAAAGTGAAATTACCAGAGTATATCGGTCTGTAAATCAGGTAATTGCCTCAAAATCCAATGATTTGTCAGTATCTTTATCATCATTTCACCTTCAAAGTGATTGCCATTTTACAGTATACCCCCATTCTTTTCGCAGACACGTCTGGATCACTGCAACCTTGACAAGTGGCTCACGTGTAAAGATGATCCCAATTTCTCGGACTTCTGAACGTTGATTGTTTTGCTTCAATCCAATGTTTTTTCGGTTTATCGTGGATGATAAAAAGGGCATGGGATGCTTGAGATGGACATGATTCGACATCGACCCATAGCCACAGATTAGACATTGGCTTCAAGATCTTGAAATCAGTTTCTTAGTGCAGCCATATCTATCTATTTGTCTATCTAAATCTAAATCTACCAAAATCCATCTATTTGTCTATCTAAATCTATCAATCTACCTACACTCTATACATACAATGTGATACCCCTCAGTTATAAGTTAGTTTATAAGCCCCATCAACTATAGATATATCTACCATAAGTCCTACTTATTGTAGTTATAAACCAACTTAGCTATCTATGGGGCACCACTATGCCAGGCTCGCTCGTCCTGGTCTGCACCGAGCACAGCGCGGTCGCCTCGGTCGCCTCGGTCGCCTCGGTCGCTCGTCGACTGGTCCGATGCCCTCCCGGCGCTGATGGTCACTCGATGGAAAGATGGCGAAGGGTTGGTGGTTGTAGGTTGTTAACGGTGATTTAGTGGTGATTTAATGGTGATTTAATTTAATGGTGATTTAATGGTGATTTAGATTCAATGGTGATTTAATGGGATAGATATATATATATGTATAGAATGAACTATGAATTGTTAATGGAAGAATCACTGGAAGTGGAATAGAGTGTGCCTGCTCATTGAATGTAGCGAACTGGAAAAACACCAGTTTTGCTACGCAGATTATCATCTTTATCATCTATACATGGGTCATTTTCCATAGCTATGTTTAACAACCAGAGGTAAATAGAATAACCATAACGGAGGCATAATTACTGGGTTTAATAGGGGAATATAAAGCCAACCATATCTAATTAATTTGGATACAAGGGGATATATTTGGATATACAACCAGTAATGTGATGTTTGGGCCTCTTTGAAAATGGCATACCCTCCAAACGGCCTTAGTTGACGAACCCAGATGCTGTTGGTTGCGATTTTTTCTGGGGGACCTCAAGGAAAATGACCCACGAGGTATCTGTATGAATGAGACAAACTGGGTAGAGAACGGTAAAATGCCCATTATTAACTGGTAAGTTGACGGTCTACATGAGTCTATATGTTTAGGGAAATGGCGAATGGAGCCGTTTTGATTTTGACATATGCCGTGACGCTGACACTTGCTCAACGGCCCTGTGACTCGGAAACATTGTTAATCAGTGAATCATCAGTATCTGAATGAATAAACACAAAAAACAAGACCCTCAATCGATCCACAAAGCTGGGTATTCATTCCAGCACAAAAACCATGTTTCTTTACATCCTTTTACAAACTTCTGCAGTTAAATCATACAATGGGGGCTCAACCAAACCCGGAATTGTAGAAGATTGGTCTCGAAAGGGGCTACAAGGGCATACATTAGTATCATGTGTATTGTTTCATTCAATGTGCGATCCCCCAAGTTCTATCTACCACACTTCCTCCAATCTGCATGCAACAAAACCCACCACTTTTGTATTTCACACCACCTTTTTTTTCAAGATCTTTCCAATATATTTTGCTTGTTACTACCAAGCTGTGTGTAATAGCCCCCCTATTGCCACACCAAGGACACATCACTTCCGCCTCCAACCCCCCGCAGCGCTTTCTCCCGCGGCCCGTTGCCGCCGCTCCCCGAGACGCCGCCCGAAGACGGCGCCTCGGTGACTGCCTCGGCCCCCAGCGGCGCCGTTGCGCCGCCGCCGGCGTCGGTCCCGGCGCTGCGGCGGCGGCGGCGGCGGCCAACGGCGCCGCAGCGGCGTTTGGAGCGGAGGTCCATCGCGGCGCTGCACATGCGAGGGGCTGGGGGAAGAAGCCTGGAGGCATGGTGGGCTATGTATGGCTATGTGGGCTATCATTATTTGGAGTAGTATTGGGGTGTAAGTTGAAATGGGTGGAGGAAAAGGCATCATGAAACATCTACAGGTCTTGGCCAAAGCAGGGTATACCGATGATTTCGGGCACACTTGCATCATATTTCTGATGATCTATGTCATTATGTAATTATATATCACATTTTATTCCGATTTTTTTTGAGTAAATGTCATCATATTTTAATGGCAAAATCCTGGGCAGCCACAACCAAACACCCATGGCTCTTGTGCAGGGCGTCGTCTCCTGGCGCCAGCGCCACGGCTTTCGCGCCAGCGACGAGGCGACGACGGCGTCGCTGGCAACGCCGTCGCGGCTGCCGCGGCTGGCGCTGAGCGAGCTCTGGCGCGATGGGGGGGGAGGTCAATATCAACTGAGAGATAGTGATATTATTACTGAGATAGATTGCAAATATATGATTCTATATGTACATATATATATACAGTATAATCAGTACAAATATTATTTATATTCTTGAATGTAATACTGTTTCAATATCAACTTCTGCTGATGATATATAGCCTATAAATCCAAGTACCTTCTGAGGGAGTACTTGGGGTATGATTTTGGGGGCCAAGTACCTCTGAAAGGATTTGGATCCACAGAGATAGAAGTACTAATACAATAAACTGCGGCAACTAGTTGGGGTATAGTATATATATAAATGTTATAGTGCTTTCTATACTACCAATGCTAAGCAATGCTAAGTATTTATACCCTAAATCAAAGGACTATCCAAAGACTAGGAGAGAGCAGTTCGCGAAACATGGGGAGCCAAGGGGCTACGCATAGAGTTTCTGTATATCTATCTGGATAGAAGATATATACTATATATACTCACATGTAGGGCAATTACATTTATAGTATTGTATATATATGTTAACATATCATCCTGTATGATATATTTGGTTTGCCTACAAACATGCCTAAATGTAGGTCAGTATATCCGGGATAGGATTTACAATTAGATTGTATTATACTGTATTATATGATACTAGATGTATCACTATCTTGGCCCCCCTCATAAACTAGCTTAATTATTAGGAATCCTGGGTGAACATTGTTACCTGGGAATGAGTGAATCTTTTGGTGCCTTGGTTTCAAACCGTTCCTTAGAACAGAGTGGTGATTGTTGGGAGGTGATTCACAATCCAATTTTGAGGTTAAATGGTATAAAGCCATAGCTTACATCAAGGGTATGGGTCCAGACCCATGGTCCATAGGATGGATAGGGGAATCAACTGATTCTTTTAGGCTAGAGGTAGCGATCCCCAAGCACCTCTGATGATCTGGAAACCGTGTTGTTGCACCAGTGAATATATGAATGGGTCAACAAATCCAAAGACTGGCTGGTCATTTTAAACAGTCAAACCCTCCTTATTTCAGACACAGAACCCTGACCAAAACCTCCATGGAATACAGTTTCCCAGGCGCGTAAGGTTCAAAAAAAAGTTTTTTAAACATGATTCAAAGTTCAATCATGAACGGTGACAGTGCAGGCCTGTTTCTTTTGATTTATTGGGTTTACCGCATTAAAACATGTCGCGCCCGAGTAAAAAAATGGTGTAGCAGAGGCTGAATATTCATTTCATCTCTGTGATACCCGGAAAACTCGCGGGATTGCTAGAAAGCCGAGGTGAAATAGACAGTTCTGAACTGAGGATTTCATCCGAATTGCAGTTCAAGTCAGGGTTGTGACTTTGAAAAAACATGCCACAAGATCTCACATGGAAATGTCTCAAAAATCAGTTGAACCATATTCGGGGTGGAAGTGGGTTTCCCACCTCGAGGTGATCGTAAGAACCTTAAAGATCAATTCTGGTTGATGCTTTCAAATGTTTCAAACATTTTTTATTTTCCATTTCATATATATATGGGATGTCATCCCAACCCCATTGACTTTCACTCCATCATTTTTCAAGATGGTGAAATTGCACCACCAACCAGAATTGATACGTGGTTCTGATTGGTGATGGCTTCCCCAAAGAATTTCTGACCCCGAAACGTATTGGAATCCACGCAAACTCTGGCACCAAGGGTGAGCTTTTCATCAAGTTGATGTAGATCCTCATTCCGCGGTCCTAGACCCATATAAATACCATATATATGGCACCATAAGATGCCATATATACCATTAATACCATACACCATAAGATGCCTTGGTTTTTTTTGCATCCCAAAAATCCTGGCAGGTCAAAGGCTGAGAAATTGATGCAGACCGAGCTGCAGAAACCCTGTCCCTTGGCATGAGATGCATGGGGTTGAACGGTTGAACTGTTGAACTAGCACAGGGTGCCATTCTTAAATCGTGCTTAGAGATGCTTAGAATATGTCTCAAAAAGTATGGCTTCAGAAGGAGTAGACTGATGCGTCGACTATATAGCATAGGTATATACTGGCATTGATATAGATTCCTCCACTATATAGTCCTACACTATATCAACTATATACACACACACATATATATATATATGTACATATATATGCGATTCATTTATCAACCATCAACCGAACCTTTTTCCCTGCTGCGTTGCAGCTTTGTGCCATCCGAGGCATTTGTGTGGTGTGTCTGTCGGCGCCGTCGGCGCCAAAGCAATGGATCGGCGACCATCAGGAGGTTCAGCCAGTGAACCACTATAACACACAATTGGTTTTAACAGTAATGATCCACATTACAGATGTTAAAAATGCCCCTGGTATTACTTTGGAAAGTTTCATGTAAAACATAAATTTGCCTAGCTAAACAGGCAGAGTCTGCGAGAATTACCAATTTTATGAGGCACATTTGGGGTCGTTTCTTGTGCTGCCGTTTGGATCGCTTTTTGCCCCGCTGAAGGTTTACATGGCATGAGCTCACGGGACATATCAGGGTAAACGGCGGTATCGCCAGGAGACGTCCTAAGCAAGGGCGTGAAGAAGGGGTTGAGAGCCATATTATATTCTTCAAAGGAATGCTTTTCCGTCTTTTCCCCATTGTGTATGAAATCTTGAAAGTGTTAGCTTCAGGGCTGGAAAGAGCAGCAAATCATACAAGAACTTGGATTGGGACCCCCTGAATTCAATATCCAGCAGCTCGGCAGTGCTCTGTAGACCACTGAGCACGAAGGGAAAATTGGATTCTACTTGCTATTTCAGTTCCTGCGGTTCACAGATGTTGTTCGTCTCCATGTCAAACCATCCGCCTAGTTTTGCGGTACCCAATGACTTGTTTCATGCCCATGTCAACAAGATAAGAATAGACCACCATTATTTGTTTGTTTGATCGGTTTTATCATTACATCAATTTATATCACTAATTATATGGAGGTTTCCTAGAATGGGGATACCCCTAAATCATCAATTTTGACCGGATTTTCCATTACAAACCATCCATTTTTGGGTGCCCCCACGAACCCCCATATTCCCCTAAAGCACTCCCCTGTCAGAAGCCGGCGTCCCATCAATCCGCGCGCTATCGATGTGCTGTCCAGCGTTTCTTGGAACGTGAAGGTGGCTGCGTAAGCCAAACGGTGAAGGGTCGCGTTTATATAGACTTTGTGAATCAAGAGTAGCTTCATTATTTCGTCGGTTTCTTTTTTTAAAGTTGATTTTATTGTTTTTCTAAAAGATTTTTCTGCTGTTGAGTGGAATGTACAGTGAAGGGTAGGTTAATGGGTTGCCCGTTGGCAGGCCAAATCTAGGTTTAAGGGACTGAGGAATCACGGGGTTTATGGCCACACAAAGCTTCAACACGTGGATGGACATCACCAAACACATGAAATTGCGTGGTATTCTAATGTATTTTACTGGGTTGGCCTGTAGATCGTTGGGCGAATTGCCATAAATGGGTATGGATCAATACCTATTAATACCATTTTTAGGGGGATGAACATGCATTTACCAGCTATTTTGATGTTCACCAGGGGTACAAGGTTTTGACACACTGCCAAATGGAGAATATAACCGCTCTGTTCTTTTTTTGCGATTCTGCGAGGAGAATTCTTAAGAATTCGGAGCTGGGATTTCAACAGCCCGGAAATTACCATGAGCGAATGGTTACTTTTTGGTGAACTAAGCCAACAAACAGCTATCATAAATCAGCAATCGCAATGGTTTCTGAGTCAAACCACCATTTCGATCCATTTCCCCCTATTTTTTGATGGGTTAAAGCCTCATTTTTCATGATACATATACAGCTGGTTGGTGGTTTCAAAGATTTTTTTAATTTCCATTTCATATATGGGATGTCATCCTTCCCATTGACTTTCACTCCATCATTTTTCAAGATGGTGAAATTGCACCACCAACCAGTTATGATTTTTGGATTAACCACTATTAACCAGTATTAACCATTATTAACCATTATTAACCATGGTTAAATCACCATTAAATCACCATTGTGTTTTGGAGCCCATGTGCCCAGAGGCTGCCCTGCTGAGGCTGGAAGTCTTGGCGAGAGCTCCACTGTCGAAGCAGTGTTGCGTCGCAGTCGTCGTGACGACTGGGAGTTGGGTATGGCTCAATGGTGAGGTATGGCATCCTACCGTAAAGCTATAGGGAGATTATGGGGATGATATAAACATATTATAAACTCAAACACCAAAAAGCCAAAAAGGTAAATTTTTAGGATATATATATAGGTTTATATGTATGACCATTATAGGGATATTATGGTTTGCTATGGGGTATAGAAAAAACACAGTTTTGGAATTGTTTACCCTCAAAGCTATAGGGATATTATAGGAATACAATGGGATATAACTGGAATTCATGATGTATTTAGATGATATTTGTGATATTACCCTCAGGGTTACTTAACGTGGCGAACTGGACAATCACAATTTTGAATGGGTAAGTCATCATTTTCGATCATCGAACTACCAGTAGGGACTTACATAGCAAGCTATTAGTTATGTTAAATAACCTGAGGGTACATCAATATTGATTTATCCTCTCCCAATTTTTGAGCCATACCCTTTAGGGTTAACATTTGTCACAAGATTGGGTGCCCACCCGTTGGCTTCAGCCGTTGTTGAAGCCTCGAGAGGGCACAGCAGTGGTCGCCACTCAAAGGACCGATGACCTACTTGAAATTGGAATTGCACAGGGAGAGCCCATAAACATTGATGCAGTACATTAATGCGCATTAAGGGGATATATGAAGAACTATGGCATATTGGTATATTTTTCGGGATATGCAGTCGCTACTGTATTCATAACGATTGATCCATATCCCACCGTTCATCTAAACACCAGATGTTTTTTGTGGTCCCAGTCGAAGGTCATCCCATGCCAGTTCCTAATATCTTGCGTTTGCAATCCCGGTATATCATGGTATATCATGGTATATCGAAAAATGTGTGTTGCTGAAGTTCTGTTGATCATGAACCAGTCGAGCCCCAGTTTATCCCTGGTGAGGTTTAATTCTTTGCCCAAAAATACCAGTTCTATCCAGTTATTGGGAATGCTGATTCATATATGGCAAATTATACCCAATAACTGGATATAGAATATTTGCCATATATATGAATAACGTAATCCAATATGCATTTGCTCCATATTTCATGGGTTAAATCAGCAAGTCATCGAGCCAGATTTTCCCCGAGCCTCACCTCACGGTCCAAGAAGGAGTGCAGGGGAAAAAGGATGAAGCTCTGCAGAAGATGTGGTGTTTCCATTACATAAGAGACATTTTACTATAATAAATGACATAAAACCAATGATCCATATATATTTATATTTATATATATATATCATATAACTATATCAATATGTACATAGTTTTGGTTGTATGTGCACATACATATTTGCTGACATACATGTGCATTTTACATATTTGTATATATATATCTCTTCCGCCAACGCAGAAACAACGCAGAAGGCGGTGGCCTTGTAGAGTTCGCATTCAAGGTACATTGATGTATAACATGTACATATTACGCATATGAGTACACTACATATAGTTTTACATATTTACATAGGCAACATATAATATTTATATTACATGCATACTGCATACTACATTATTCCGCTTCATATTTGTCTATATGCATTGAATGTATGTTAATATGTATACGTGTAATATATATATAAATAGAAATATATGTATATATTTGCACTACCTGTAAATTTCCGTTACATTACTTCGTACATGCATATACATTTCTTATCGCCTGTATATGAATCTGTCTTCACACAGTATACACTATATTCGCATGGTTTTTCTGTTGGCAATAAGTCTGCATGAATTTTGAACGTACTGTAAAATTAAATTTTCACGTTTGCTTCCTCTCCAAGGTGTGCATGTGTAGACATACAGCTCGTTATCCGAGCCGCGAACATGACAATACTTGGTGGTGCAGTTGGGGGGATCTTTATGGGTTTATCCACGGCGATAGTCTCCTTAAGGTGGGATATAATCCCTATAACTATAATTTTGGTTATATATCCAGCTATGATTGTGGAACCCCCATGTACCAAGCCTTCGAGCTCTCATGGTCATCTGACCGTGCTTGTGAAAAATAGTTCTGCAACCTTCGTAGCGCGTTCATTCTGGTTTCCTCATGTTGCAAAAATTGGTCGGTAGGTAGCGCAGGAATTCTTGGGAGGGGGGTAGGGTTTCTCCAGCTCCATGATAGGAAGGTTTGCTCATGCACAGTTTGAACATTGACCCCATGTCCAGGGTGTGTATATTATGAATATAGACGTACTGTATACGTAAGCACCCAGCTTCGGCGGCAAATCCTGTGCTCATGACCAGGCGAACAACCGAAACTCCATATTTTGGTAAACACAGCCTGGTGCTTATGGTGTTTATGGTTCTCTCGGTGACGTCTAGACGCTCCAACAAGAATTGCCAGTTTACTCGGGATGTAAAACCTAATCTGCGTTGACACGCGCCTGTTGATATGGTCTGTTTGGGGGCTTTGACTTGTTGGGAAATGGTCTCCCGTTCCTTACCATGGAATGACATGGCCCACCCATCTGTGCAGCAGGCCCGACGGCTTAGAAATCACAAGAAAACACGGTCACAAACACATGGTTTTTCGCTTGCACACTGCGGTTACTGCAAGGTCATGGGACATCATGTTTGCAATCCGACAAATGGCAAAACAACTGCAAAAATGTATACCCTCTGGTTATTTAACATAGCCGTGGAAAATGGCCTATTTATAGATGATTTTCCCCTTAATACCTACATTTATAAGGGATTTTCCATGGCTATGTTAAATAGCCAGATGGTACCTATATGAATGATGTTGCTGCCAAAATTGAGTTTTACCATTGCCATAGGTTGATGAACAGGGAAAAACATCCCTCACATTCCCGTTTTGTATTGGTTAACCCTCTCCTTTTAGGCTGGTCGAATTGGTCAAATCTCAAGTTGTGCAGTTTTCTATGAATTCATCGGTGATATCCCGGTGTTTTCTCTCGTTGCACCCCCATTTCGGACGGTCAAAGCTCCATGTTTGATACCACGTTTGGTTCCCACCTCAGTGGCGGAATGCGCCATGGGCCATGGTGGATCTGCTTGACCATCTTGACCCCATGGGTTCGGCACACCAAGACGCGTGGGGCTTTGTGGAACAGGTGTACAACCAGGAATGGGCTAAAAACATCTAAAAACCGTATTATCAACTGGTAGGGAGTCAGTTGTAGTCAAGACACTCGAAGTTCTGGCCCAAGAAGTAGTTGCAAGTGCAGGCAAACGAAGTCCCTTTTGCACACGCGTAGCCGTCAAGGGCTTTGCAAGAATCCCACCCTCTGGATGGTTGAAAGGAAATGGCCACAGGTAAATGTGGCAGATCTGATTGAAACTGACATGCGAAAGCAAAATGCTAAATGACATGAGTGCATGGAGTGCATTCGACACAGGGGCAATATTAGCCGGCACTCACATCAGAACATCAATGAATTACAGTTTGGACGTAGTTCAATCGTCCTCCATGCTGCCTAAGATATTCTTCACAGTCTTGCCAAAAGGTTGTGCCAGTGTCTGGGTGTACCTCATATGGCGGCAAACTCGCTAGGCAGAAAGAACAAGCGTATCGCTCTTCAACTTGATTGGCATTGTTCAATCCGTTGCAGTCGTGGCGACGGTGCCAGCATCTTCCAGTTACAGCGAAATAAATCCTGACTTGATTCAAATTTCGTGTCTCATCCAGAATGCGGTCTAAAAGACCAACTGCAGTACGAATAGATCTTTGATCTTGTGTTCTTTCTTGCTCTCTGATTGCAGCATGATCATCAATGACAAACTGTTGATCGACCAATCGACCTTGGGCAGCTATCAGCTCCGCACGCAGTCGACGGATCTCCGTCTGTTGGTCAGTGATTTGCGCATTGATGTCGATGACACGCTGTTGAAGCTGTATGTTTTCAGCTTGCTGTTCCGCATGGTCCACACGTAGCTGGGCATGCCCGTCCCTTCGGGAGGCAACTAGTTCCTTCAGCAGTCGTGCGAAAACGCAGATCAAGCCAAAACCAAAAGTACACAGCAGGAAAACGCCAAAGGCCAGAAAAAGATAAATGTCATCTGTCTCTGAAAACTCAATGGGTGCATCTTCCAAACTGCATTGATTTCCAGAAAAGAGGTCTGATGCAGCTGTGCTCTGCACCATGGTCACCAGCAAAACGTAGCGCAGCAACAAAGAGCCGCCGCCATGGCTTGCATAGGTCTCGACAGGGGCCTGGAAATTCTCATGGTCAAAGTTCTCTTCAAACGCTGTGTCATTCTGTGAGTGCTGGTCATTCACAAAAGCTTCGGTGGGTTCAGTCTCAAAGGCCTCGACATGGGGCTCTAGGTTCTCAGTCATGTCGAGCTCTTCAGTGATCTTCTCAAAAGTGCTATTCTTTGCTCCAACATTCACTGCATGAGTTGTGGTTGTGTTGTGTTGTGAGTTGGTGTTGTTGAGTTGTTTCGAAAACTGATTTCTGCTCTCTGCTCTTTCTTGTGCTGATTTCTTCTTTGAAGCCTGGTACGTAGGATCCCAGGTGTATTTGATTGAGCCGTGCCTAAGTCGGTCTGCAAGAAGCTGACGTGCGGACATCTTTGTCAGCCCATCGCCAAACTGGCGTTCTGATGAAATCCATTTCAGGGTTCCACCAATGCATTCGACTTGTTCTCGGATGACACGTAGTTCCAAGTTGGTGCGCTTGTCAGTCGCTCCATGGTTGATGGCATCTCGATGGAAGGAGTCAAACAGGGCCTTCGCATCCGTGACAAAAATTGGAGCCAGCGTAGGATTCTTCACATCCAAAGTTTCCCTAATAGAGTCATATGGATTGAAAATCAGATGCCAGAAGCGCACAACGAACTCTGTGGTGTCAACTGCCTGAGCAGCCGATTGAACTTCAGCAGCTAAGCTCGAACGAGCCACCCTGGGTAAACGAAAACTCTTCCAATCCAAAACATGGTATGGACATTCCACCCCATCAAAAGCATCCTTGTGAGTCAGCAAAACAATGAAACCACCCTGGCTGGAGCCGTCGTGACGCACGCCAAGTGCTGCGTCAAACATGCAACTCAGACGCAAGTCTTTGAGTTCACCAAGCGGGTTGAACTTCAGGTGGACATCACTGTTGGCCTTGCTAAACTTGAGGAGCTTGTTGGCTTCAAGCAAGGGTGCAGAAAGTCCAGTGCTCATCTCGCCTGACAGCAAGCTGGTTGAAGCTTGGATATGTGGAGAGCTCTGTATCGCTGGCCATTGAAGGCTTCCAAGTAGGCCTCTCAACATTGTTTGCTCCTTGTCGGACATGGGTTGGTGGGATTGACGGCCCCGCTCAACGGGAATTGGTTGAACTTTTCGAAGATATTCATCATGACTCACATGCCATGTGCCGTCAGAATCACGGGTCATCTTGGCACCGCAGTATTCAAAGGGTTCATCTTTCTGCCAAGTGCGGAAGTTGAAAGACTCTTTGAGTTGTTTTTCAGCATTCAAATAAGTCTCAGACTTGGTATCACCGCATCCCAACATGTCGTCTACATGCAAACATAGAAGGCCACATAGTTTGGTAGCTGAGCCGCCAGCTTCGTCTGGTTCATAAAGAAGCCAAAAACAAGGATCCATAGGGTGAGGCACCCACTGCAGTTGGCGAAGTCTGCGGGTCGCCTCAAGGAACCATCTCTTTGGTGCATCAAGCTGGCCATAAACAGGCTTGTACAAAAACATCCTGGTGTCAGCATCGCCTCCAAGAATCCTGAGGGCGTCGGCTGGTAACTTCACCCACAATCGCCTCTCCTGTGGAAGTCCTTGGAGAAATGCTGTTGAAACATCAGCGCTCCAGCCGCACCAACCAAGGATTGCAGAGATGGAAAGCAAGCATGCTCTGCCCAACCTTGTCGAGGCTGGAGATGCAGTGTCTAGCTCTCCTGCTAAGGCATCGGCATCAGCATAGCCACGCACGACAAGTCTCGCCTTTGCACGTGGCGTGCCATCGGCATTCTTCGACCACTTCAGCAAAATTCTGCTTGTAAGTGTGCGAGCTGGGTCTGCTTCTTTTGTGGTCTGAAAAGTCCAAACGCCGTTGTCGAAGAAACTCTTCAGCTCTTTCACCTTGGCTTGATGAAAAAGAAGTCGATCTTCAAGGCTCAGCTTTCTTTCGTTGATCTCATTCTTGGGGGCAACTTTTCGCATCTTGCGTTGTGCGTTGACCTTCTCTTTCTTGCCAATCTGTTTTGCAGTCATGGCAGCATATGCATGAAATCCAAGTTCTTTGCGAACATCGCCATTGAGTTGAAAAACAGTGCAGCCAATCCATGGAGTGTTGGACAAAGTGCCATGACCATCTTCAATCTTGTCAGTGAAATGTCTGATGCCATGGTCATGCTTGGAAACAGTAACCCTCACATTGTCCAGCTGTTGGAGAGGAACTGGCATATGGCTGAGGTCTTTGGCAGAAAGAGCTCTTGGGTCAAAAAGTGCCCTGCGAGGAACAACGTGATGTCGAATCAGACATCCTGCTTTGAGCTCCCAAAAATCTTTGGTGTGGTCTTCCAAGGTGATGTAGCCGTCTTCAAACTTCCAACCCGTTGGCAGTGCCGCAGTTTCGAGATCCTCAAGGTCAAACGCTGAAAGTCCAAAATCAGCATCTTCTTTGTCATGTTGTGGAGGATCATATGGCACTGAGCGTGCAGGTGGTGCACGTCTGTGTGGGCCAAACGACATGGTCTCTTGAAGTTGGAAGCGACGCCGGTGAGCTCGAAAGTCTTCATCTGTCGCAGGTTGATACAAGGAGGCAGTGTATGGGTCAAGTTGTGGAGCTTGAGCAACTGGCTGTTGAGGTGGTTCAGGGTGTTGAACTGTAGATGGAGATGGAATTGGATGTTGAGGTGGTTCAAGAGATTGAGGTGCTTGAAATTCAGATTTTGGACTGGGTTCGCGTGACGGCTCTCCCATGCTGATCGGCACATCCATCGCTGGATCATGTAAAAGTTCAGTAAGTCCATGAAGTCCATCGGATCCAGCTGGCTCAACAAGTCCAGGTTGAGCGATGTCCTCAAATCCAAGAGGATCAGGCTGTGGTCCAGTCGAAAGTCCAAGTGACTGGCCAGGTTGAGAGTCAAAGTCCAAGATCTCAACATCAGCCGGTGGTGGATCAGGTGCCAGTGAAGGGGAGTATGGAGGAGATGGAGGTTGAGGTGGCAACACATGTTCAGGGTCAAGAAGTCTTCGACGAGTTGCAGGAGGACGCAAATCGTCATCATCATCGTTGTTGTCATCCATGACTTCTTCATCAGTGCCGATGTCATCGATGTTGCGCTTGTTCTGGATGGACAAGTCAATGAATCGTGTCACACCACGTGACTTCAGAGATTTGATCACGTCCTTGGCATCTTGGAGGCTGCCTGTCAGGCTGTCAGTTGACTTGCCGATCTCAGGACGTACGTGGTGTGGTGCCGCTCGAAGAAGCTGTGACTTGTAGCCTATCCAGTAGATGTGCGGCCTGCCATCTTCATTGTCTTCTCTCATGAGGACTGTGGCAGGACCCTTCCAGCGAATCTTCACGAGGTCTGGTGACCTGCTGTCGCGCCAAAAGTAGCATCGCTGTCCAGGAAGTAGTGCAATGTTCATGCCAGCATACTTCCTGAGAAGGGCTCGCCTGAGCTTCTGGTCTGTGTCGGCCTGGATGATGGCCATTCTGGCTGTGGCTCGCCTGGCAAGTTCATCTTCAAAGGATTCACCAAGGTGGACTGGAGTGAGTGAAGTTCCAAGAAGTTCGCCAGGCAGGTCAGGAGACTGTCCCAGAAGCCATTGAGCAGGTGAGAAGCCTGAGGTCGAAGGCGTATTGTTGATCTGGGGCACAATGTAGGCCAAAGCCTGTTTGACGGCCTTCTCACCGCTGATGCCGTAGTCGGCCAAATAGACTTCCAGTGCTTTTCGCAAGACAGCATGTCTCCTTTCCACAAGTGCCAACTGTTCATGGGCTTCGCCAGCAGCAACTGCATGGTGGATTCCATGTTCATCAGTCCAAATTCCAAAATCATCATGAAGCCAGCCACGTCCCTCATCAGTGATCAATTTGGTCGGTGCTCCAAAGTGAGAAATCCAACACCGTTCCAGAGCTGAGATATAGTCAATGGCTTTCTCGCTCTTGAGGAGGAACGCAGCCATGAACTTTGTGGCCTCGTCGATCATGGACAAGATGGGCAACTTGTTGGAGTTGTCCTTGAGCCAGAAGACATCGGCCTGCACGATCTGGTTGAATTTGCTCACCGTCTTTGATGACGAAGGAGCTACCTGATTTGGCTTTCGGTATCGCAAGCAGGCATGACATTGAAACTGTCGTGCAATCTCCATGACAGTCTCTGAGGCACCACGTGATTCCAGAAGTTCACAAAGAGCTTTGGGTGATGGGTGTCCAAGGTTGCGATGAAGTCGCTGGACAGTTCTGGTGGCTTCAGCTCGGTTTCCAGTCATGAGCTGAACTAGCTTTCCTTGGACCTCTTTGACCTCTTCCACAGCGTTGGCGTCTTCCCAGGCGCTTGGATCCTCAGGAGCTGCCATTGCAGCAGCTAGAACTGCAGCCATTGCTGGTTGGTAATCTTCCATGTAGCTGGTGCGAGAGCGACCAAGGCCAGGAAATTGTCCTTCAAGCTTGCAGTGTTCATGGGATCCATCGCAACGAAGACACATGGCTTGAGCCATTGCACGCTTGGTTGTTTTCAAGCCTGTGGTCTTTCGAACAAGCTTCCATTGGCCATCAGAGTCCAAGCACATTGCACCATAGCAGCATTGGTCAAAGGTGACATAGAGTCCTGGGAGAGATTTCAAGGAGGTGGTTTCCCAGGACAAGGCTCCATGTGGTTGTTCAAGATGTGCTTGGCGTCCACCATGAACTTGAGCAAGGTATGATTTCTTCACAAATCGAAGATGGTGATCATGGTGAATCTGTCGCTGTTGTTGCAGGAGGTCTTTCTTGGCTTCAGTGGTTGCATTGATTGCTTGCATCCTGCTCCACAAGCCACATCTCGGTGCGTACAAGACCTCATCAGGCATCACATGGGCTTGGTACTCCAAAAAGTATGACCGATGTGAAGGAAGGTCAAAGTCATAGTCAGTCTCATACCCAAACGTCTCGACAAAACAGCCGAGTGATTCGGCCACCTCTGACATCCTTGAAGCGCCAGCATAGACTTCCCAGATAATCCTGGGTCTTGGTGTCGGGTCATGAAGTTCTCTGGTGAGCGTGGCATGGATGCGTTTCTCTTCGGCAGCAAGGGCATTCTCGAGCATCTTCCAGTGCTTGATCAGGACAGGTCGCTCTCCAGGCTGTGTCGGAGAGTCATCGTTGGAAGTGAAAACACCTTCCTGCTTCTGGTAGGTCTGAAAATCCATGACCTCGCCAGAGGACTGAAACTCATCAGCTTGGTCTTCAAGTCGAAGATCGAAGGAAGGCACCTGATCAGCAAGCTCGGCCTCATAGTCTTCCGTCAAGGACAGCAAGTATTCGCCATGACGACCAATTGTGATTTGTCGCCAGGGCCATGGATGTCCTTCGAACATCATCTGCTGCCGCTTGAAGTTGATGACAATGCCCAAGGCTTCAATGATGGGGCGGCCCATCAACATTGGTGTTTCTCCTTTGATGATAAATGCTTGGGCAAATCCAAAATTGTTGTTGAGGAAAACTGGCACCCTAGCAACCCAATGACTGACTGTCGAATGGTCTCCACCAAAGTGAAAAGTCCGGCAAGTGCGCCGCATCTCAATGGTTTCCACGGCAAATCCAAGCTGTTTGAGATGCTCCACATAACGGTGGAATGGGCCAGTACCCATCAAAAAGGCACTTGCTCCTGGGTCCATCATGGTGCAGTCGACGCGAGGGCGTCCAAGTTGGTCCTCAAATAGGACGTGTCCATGTTCATCAGGCAGCTGGGTCGCGGCCATGCCTTCTGTGTTCTGCTTCTTTGAAGGGCTGGTTGACACCTGAGAGGAACCACTGTGCTTTGCAGGTCGAGGGCACTGAGCTGCTTGATGTCCAAAAGCACCGCATCGCAAACATTGTGAGGCTGCTGCAGCTCTGGCTCGAGGATCTGGAGCTTTGCGTTCACCACGTGGTGGGTATCGCACAACATTGGATCCACGGCCCTTGCCCTTCGATTTCCCCTTTGGCTTTCCAAAGCCTTTTCCACGACCACGTGAGGAAGGTGAAGGACTGGAGGAAGGAGACACAGGGTTCTGGTCAGCCAATGCCACAACTGGCAAAAATCCACGACTGAGCTTCAAGTCTTGAAACCTTCGACGAGCATCCAAGTATGCAGCAAAAGCCTCGTCATACGTATTAACGTCGAAGGCCTCAGAGTGCTGGTCAAACTCAAGGGCTGCCTCATCTTCTTGGAAGTAGACGGCATCCGCATCAAAGCTGTCATCGGCCCAGCTTTCGTCGTAGGCCTCAGTCTCATATTGGTCATCATACTCATAGTATCCATCCTCATAGATGTCTGAATCATCAAAAGTTTCATCATCATGAGCAGCAAAAGCTTTTCCACGTTGAAAGCGGTTGTTGGCAAATGGTCGCCGGTCATGGGAAACTGCTGACTTGTAATCTTGCCCCAAAATGACAAATAAGGCTTCCTGAACACGCAGCTTTTCAAGTTTTGGGGCTTGAGTCAAAACAAGTTGATTCTGTTCCTTTGTGAGGTTTGCACGGCGAAGCAACAGCCATCCTTGAACTTGGTCTGGAAGCTTGATGCCGTGCTCCGTGATTTTGCGAAGCTTCTCATCGTGTTCAGTCACGAAGCTAAGCAAGGAAGTTCCTGGGCGCCTGGACAAGTTGAAGTAGGCATCGAAATCCTGGGGCATCCTGACACGTGTGTCATATTGAAATGCCGTATCCAACATGGAAATGACCTTGGCAAAAGCCTGGTCATCTTCAACCTTTGTCAAATCATAGCCCTCTACCAACTTCCATGCATTGCCCTGCAGTGAGCCGATCAAATTCAAAACAGACTCTGTAGTACGTTTCTGAATCTTCATCTTCAAGTGATAGATATGGATTCTCTTCCGCCATTCTTGGTATGAACTGGGTTGCCCATCAAAAATGGGTATGTATGAATCCTTCGTAAACTGTGAATCTGTGGTCACGGCTGAAGCAGTGCTGGCCATTCTTGAGGTCAGAAATCAGCAGTTCTTTGGGCACAAGAATCTTTTCAGAGATGCAGTAAATCAAGTTGATGGCACCAAAGTGCTCGAGGAGATGGTAGGAGGTGAAGTGAAGGTTGGTGGCAAAGTCGTCAAGGAAGTAGGAGTTGCGCAGTGGAGCTCTGGAGCTTGAGCTCCGCTACCAGTATCAACTGGTAGGGAGTCAGTTGTAGTCAAGACACTCGAAGTTCTGGACCAAGAAGTAGTTGCAAGTGCAGGCAAACGAAGTCCCTTTTGCACACGCGTAGCCGTCAAGGGCTTTGCAAGAATCCCACCCTCTGGATGGTTGAAAGGAAATGGCCACAGGTAAATGTGGCAGATCTGATTGAAACTGACATGCGAAAGCAAAATGCTAAATGACATGAGTGCATGGAGTGCATTCGACACGTATAGATATATCATGCAACTTGCAACTAGTTTTTTTTTCCCAGTGTTTAATAGGGGTATTTTTAAAACTCTTATAATGTGTATGAAAACCGTTCAAACGGGTCCATAGCCATACCCAACAAACATGGAAGATCCTAATAAACTAGACGGAGTATTTGCCACCAAAATTGGTGCGAAATGTGGGCATCACCGGAAACCATGGGCATGTTAATTGGTGGGACCCTTCATTGCACGCAATGAATCACTGGCCTGGGGATACCCATGTCATTATCGTTCCAATCACCGCTTGACTTAGGCATGGCAACCTCCAATGGGGCGCAACTGTTGGTGAAATCCAGATCCTTCATTGACAGTAAGGGAATATCGAATCATGTAGAATTGGCGATGGACCAAAACCGTTTGTAGATTAGTATACCATATTTTAGGGGTATGAACATCCATTTACTAGCTATTTTGCTGTTCACCAGGGTTCTAAGGTTTTTGACACATAACCAATTCTGAAAATTCGGATCTATGGATATCCATGGTAAGAGGATGAAAAAACCACAGCCATCACTGGCACATTGGACTTCAATTGGACCATCCTGGAATCTTTTCATTCCAATCATACGTGTGGCATGGTATTTCCCACAAAATCACCTCTCCAAACGTCAAATGAACCATTCAGTTTGAGGGGTTAATAATATTGACCCACAGACACCTTGGATTAGTCCTCAAAAAAGCAGTTTGTATTTCAGCCAATGAAGTAAGTGATGATGTATCCTAAATTGTCTTATATTATCCCGTGTTATCCCATGTTACTTGTATCCCATGTTGTCCCATATTATCCCATATTGCACCCATATCTAAAATATTTAAACCACTACGCATGATCACTAAAAATGGCGAGCTACCCATAGATTATACCGCTCTCTTTGTGGACTTAAGCCTTTGTGGACTTAAGTCCGGTGAGCCACACAAAGTATATAGGTAATCTTCCCATATTTTTTACAGGCGGTGGTGACATTTTTGCACCAAAAGTCTGGTAAATCTCTGGTAAACTAACATAGCTATTGAACATGGCCATTTATATTGGATTTACCCATTAAAAATAGTGATTTTCCATAGTTATGTTAGTTTACCAGAGGGTAAATCTCTATATTTGAGAAGATGCAAGAGCAGTAAAAGTACCCCAAATCGTTGCCCACTGGGAAGATTGATTTGCTGGGCTTCCCAGATGTTGTCTCCCAGTTGTCGCCACCAAAGGTCTTTGCGTGCGCAGATGATGCCTGGGTCAGCGCATCCACTGGAGAAGCGATTCCAGAGGAGGGGCACACCTGTGTCAGCTGCGGTGTTCAGCTTTCCTCTATATGGGTATGGATCAATACCTATTAATACCATTTTTAGTGGGTTATTCACATCCATAAATCCCAGCTATTTTGATGTGAACTACAGGGGTACTATTGGTTTTGACCCATCCCCATATAACTGATTTATAAACATAAAATCTATGCAACAAGTGGAATTCGATGGAATGCTGATGTAGTTCATGATGGTCGATTGCTTTGTTCTCTGTGGTTATATCGCTGTACATGAAACCGCGGTGTTTTTCTCAGTTTGTTGACATGTGTCCATAAGATGCTGTTTCATGTGTCCTGGTTCAATCACTCGTTATTATCCCTCAGGGTTGCAAAAAATGGTCGTGGCTCATTCAGCTTATCTCTCAGGAATACATTTTTACCTCCCCAGCCTGCAAGAACTGGGTAACAACTGGATCTCCACCTTGTTCCCAACAGTCACAAAAGACCGGAGATGCAGAGGAAAGGCCTTTGGGCTGGTATTTTCTTATGCCATTTCCATGTGGTGGATTAATTCGCAAGCAAACAGCTGGCGGAGAGGCCACAATGTACTGTATACAAAGCCAAGTTGGGCCATGGCTGTGATGCTATGAGCACCTTAGGGCTCTTGAGTGTCAGCTTTAGTTGTAGCCTTAGATTTAGAATGATTTAGAAATTTAGACCATTTAGATCCCATTCACGCAAACTGGAACATGGCAAAAACAAACAAATACTACTTGACACATAGACAAATAGGCACATATTTCTCCAACCCTTCAGACGCCCTTGTGGCCCAATGGATGCAGCCGAGTGGTTTCATGCAGCCATGGGTGCAGGTGCTGCCATGGGAACCAGCGGGGTCCTGTGGTTTCTAAGATGGTACTACCACCGACCATCAAATAGGAGGTTTCATTGTTGGAGACACGTTCGAATTGGTAGCTACGTGGCTAACATGATTTAAACTTTGGTCTCCAAAGATCAGCGAAGTGGCCAACTGATTACTGTAAATTATGCTTTCGATTCTGCAAAGATGACAAACATGTGCATGCGTTGAAGGGTCAATCTGGCTAACACCTGCTAAAGCCCTGCCCGCTGCTTCAGGTCAATTAATAGAAGAGTTTGTCAATGCTGGACTTCGCCAACGAATTTGTTGATACCACTAGTGATTGAATACCACCATATATAACCACTATTTATTTGTTGAGCGTTGGCTCCTAACCCTCTAAGTTGTGGTTATGAAAATAGCAGACCTTTTTTTCCCCAGTTTTCCCACTGAGGTCTCCTTGAGGTGACATCACGCACTTTCTTGGATGAGAGAAGTTCACAGATTTCCATGAGCCGAAAACGCAAGTTGGTTGGGTTGCCAGCCCCTAAATTGCTTATCTATCCATTGGTTATTTGTTATTGGTGAAATGGAAGTGTTTTTAAAGTGCTTGTTAATAAGCAATTTGTGAAATTTCCATTGTATCTATCCATTTCTATCCCAAAAACCAATGGTAAAACAACACTTCTTCCCATCTCGGAGATCCTCGGAGTAATTTGGGGTCTACATCAGGCGATCGCTGTGCTGATTCTGAGTCAAGGCCGACCACTGATGCCTGAGATTTTGGTTCAGAAAGGGAACCAGTGACGAAAAAATCCGCACTTTGAGTGGTTGAAATATGATGAACATTCATGAAATAGATTGAACTATGATACCCTCTGGTAAATTAACATAGCTATTGAAAATGGCCATTTATAGTGGAATTTACCCATTAAAAATGGTGATTTTCAATAGCTATTTTGACATAACCAGAGGGTAACCTGTCCAGATCTTTTTTTGCGAAGCTTTTCCGTTTTTCTTCTGTGACCTAAAACGTGAGGATTCGCATCCTGGTCAAAACCATGGTCAAAGTCATGAAGATAGGACAAGATGAGTATGTTACCCTCTGGTAAACTAACATAGCGAACTGGAAAATCACCATTTTTCATGGGAAAATCCACTATTTCTATCACCATTTTCAATAGCAAACTGTTAAATTACCGGAGGGTAACCATTGTTAACCGGGATTGCAAAACAGCCCAAGGGTGAACAACACTTCAATTCTGCCAGTTAAAAATGCCGGCGTTTTTCTGATGCGGAAACTTTGGAGGTTTTACTCACATGCATCTTCCTGAAATCTATTGGATCTGCTGATTTTAAAATCTCGTACTTCATATGTAGTGGAATGGGAATGTTGGTATATTGTTTAAATTGAATGCAATAAACACCAATCACAGATAATACATGATAATACCACTATTTTGAACCAGAACTAACCCAAAAAATGTATAATTACATTCTATTTTGTTATATTGTTTCTGTTGTCTGCGCCTTTTTTTTGGGGCCAGTTTCACTTCAGGGTGGTGGGCCCCGTGGGCGCTGGCCTTTCACGTTTGGCCCTACCAAGGCGGATTCAACCTGGAAAATGTGGGATTTACCATGGATTTACCATGCAATATTGCTCATCTTTTTGGGATTTACCAGTCATATCTAGTCACTTCGTCCTTTGCCGACGTCTTGTCGCCCATGTATCACGGTGAAACCTCAGAGGTGGAGTTTCTGGTGAAGATCCTAAGAATATCTCAATTAAATCACCGAAAAATCTTTGTAGGACAGCACTAAGAACCACCATTATGAACAATGCTTTGAACCCAATTGTATAATTGATATACCCAGCGAAACTATTCATATATATATATATTATATAATAAATTATATATATATATAATATATATATATATATATGTATAGTTTTCCAAATAGCTCAGTTATATGAAATTGGGTGTATGTACAATATACATATACATATACGTATATATATATATACACCTGTAATATTGTAGAGCTTCGCACACCGGCAAAGCCACAAATATCATGAGGGTTGCCTGTCCCCGCTGCTGTTGTTGTTGCTGTTCTTGTTGCTGCTGTTGTTGCCGATGTTGCTGTTGCTGTTGCTGTTGTTGTTGTTTTTGTTGTTGTTGGTTTGCTGATGTTTTTTTGGTTTGTTGTTGTTGTTGTTTTTTTTTTTGGTTTGTTTGTTTGTTTTTTGTTTTTTGTTTTTGTTTTTGTTGTTGTTGTTGTTGTTCTTGTTGTTGTTGTTGTTGTTGTTGTCGCTGTTGTCATTGTTGTTGTCGTTGTCGCGCGCGCCAAGAACAATGTGTTGGAAGTCTGCTGTTAGCGGGCATGATGTGGTATTCTAAAGACACCGAGGCTTTGGACCATCAACACACCTATTTTTTTACATTGCGTTTTTTGATTCGCAGACACCCCAAGAATCGTCGTAACGTCGAAAAAAGGTGGTGTTTGCATTGGTTCCTTGCTTCGGAACAAAAACGTTGTAAATGCGGATGGTTTTGAAGCACGGGAAGGCAAAAACCATTGTATTAAGTATGGGAAAAACATCATCTAATACCATCCTGGTCTTGGAAATAGTTTTCTATTTTTTCCACATGTAATGTAATGTAATGTAATGTAATGTAATGTAATGTTGTAATGTAATGTAATGTAACGTAATGTAATGTATGTATATGTATGTATGTAAATAGGTAAAAACATGCACATACACACATACATATTTATATACATTCAAAAAGGTAAACTTTGTTGAGCGTTTGTTGACTCGGCATTTTGCATTTTGTTAAAATAGGCTAGGTACACGGCTCTGCTTTGATATGGCCAGGCTTGTGAAAGAGAAGAGCAAGGCCTCAACCTCGTGATGGTCGACATGTTACTTGATGCTGCTTCCTATTCTTTGTCATTTTCTGCTTCTAGCCAAAGGCTAGTTTTTGCCCTTCTGGACGGCCACCCTGACTTCTTCTTGTGTCTGCTTTCCAGCCCTTGCCGCTTCCCACTTTCTGCTGGTAGCAAACAACCAGTTATTCTTCCAAACGTGAGCCAGTTGCTCTTGCCTCTTGTCATCTCTTGCCTTCTTGTTCTTTCTCTTCTTGTTCTTGACTGCTTGTAATTGCTTCTCTGACACGCTCACCCTGCTGCAGGCAGGGGTTTGGAGGCAGTGGCCGGCGGATTTGTTTGCTCATATATATATATACATATATGGCAACAGGCTGCCCTGTGATCTACCTATATCGTTTTTTGAAAAAATGATTTTGTTTTTTTACTAGATACCATATAGTTCAATACTTTTGAATGAACATAATTTTTGAAATGATTCAGAGCTTAACATATAACATTTCTAAATATTACAAAATTATTAAACATATACAAAATATTGAACATATTCAACATATTGCAAATATTCCAAATATCTGAGGTATTTTTAGTTTTTTTAATATGTCAAATTGTTCATTTTTCCAAATACTTCAAATATTCCAAAAATTTCACATATTCCAAATATTCCAAATATCTCAAATATTTCAGATACTTCTCAATTCTTTCAAATATTTCTCACATATTTCATACTTTCATACATTCCAAAAAGTGTGGAAAGGACACATGGCCAGGAAAAAGCCCAGAAACTACGTGTAGACTGGACGACACTTCGGGACACCCGTGTGTCAAAGGCATCAGACTGGGTCTCGCAATTGTCGAGCACTGAAGTGAAAGCAGAGATTTTGGATTGCCAGCTTCTCTACTCTTGTCAGGTGTGTCACCTGCTCCCTGCGCGTGCAGCCAGCTGGTATTTGCTGGAGTCGCCTCACACCAGCCGCCACAGCTGGGTTTGCGCCCGCTGTGGCCACAAATGGGGCGGGTGTGCCAGCCAGCGGAAAGGGTGCATGTGGCCAGCAAGTTGAAGTCCGGAGAGCCATCGGCTGAGGACATTCTGGCAGTCATTGGAGAGCTGGGAGGAGGGCCAGAAACACGGATGAAAGCTTACTCGGCCATGTTCCAGCAGAAGGCCACGTCTGACTACCAGGAGCGCTTTCACGCTTCCAAGCTGCTTTGTGAGCATGAAGCTTTGTCTCTGCGAGGGCCAGGGCAAATGTTTCAGGCTTTGGAAGTGCCTCCCAAGCTCCCCCGAATTGATCTCGCAGCTCTGCAACAGATCATCCATCTTGCTGCGTCCACTTTGGACTTGGAAGTGGTCCGCCAGCAGAAGATGTGGGCAAAGAGAAGAAGAGGGCCTTGAACGCATTGGTCCATGATAGCAGTGCTGAGTGCTGCGCTGAAGCGCTTCAACGGTAAAGAAGGCTGATACCAGTTCAAATTTCAGCAGATGCATGGCGCTAAGATGATCCTGAAGGGAGCCTCTCCCGGGTGAATCTTTGTCGTGTGACAATTTCAAGCTTCAACTTACCCTGAATAAATCTTTGTCCTTGAATGATTTTCCTCACATAGCCCATTCTAGCATGAATAAAAGTCAGATGGCTGTGGTCAGAGATTTTGGGAAAGGCTTTCGAGGCCACTGGGCTCTTTGAAGTTTGGCACTGCTGTGCCAAAGGGGAGCCTCAACTCTCCGCCTAAGGCCTGAGCAAGAAAAAAATCATTCGTCTGCTTTGCATTTGAAACGAATTGCTTTGCAATGCACTAGCGCCAATGCTTAAGAACAATTCTTCTCCATTCAGCGTTGCCTGTCTAGGCTAGCTGCGTTCACCACAGCAGCCCTCTTCAGGCTAGGCAGCTTGTGTCAGCAAATGTTGGCTGAAGGTATGTCCACTTGCTTGTGTGACCAACTTATTACCACATCAATCCATGCAACTGCCAGTGCCAGGCCCGCAAAAACGGCCATCTCCAGGCTGGGCAGTTGGTGTCAGACAATGGTGGTTGAAGGTATTTCCAATCGCGCGTGCAAACAATGTCTTGTAGTATCAATCCGATGCATTCCAGCATGTCCATGGTAGATCACAGAGGTGCCTCTTGGCATATATATATATATACATACATGCAGTGGATAACCAGAACCCAGATATACACACACATAGAATATATATATATATACACACACATAGAATATATATATATATATGTATGTATGTATGTACGTATGTATGTACGTATGTATGTTTGTATGTATGTATGTATGTATGTATGTATGTTTATGCATACACATACAGTACACAACTCAAATTTTCAAGTAGATATGCCCACTTTGTCTTGGATATACCCCAAGTCTTACATGGGATTTACATCCCCTGGGTCTCCCATTGTGCGCCTTGGCCAGGCCCCGACAACGGCGTTGCACGCCTCGCCGATGCGGACGCGCGGCTGCTGCACCTGGTGCGCCATGGCCAGGCGACGCACAACGTGGCCCTGGCGAAGGGCGAGGTTCCCAAAGAGGAATCGAGGCGCCTACCGTGGGACGACCTGCTGGGCAAAGCCACTGATATGTGATGTTGGAAAATATACCCTCTGGAAATTTGTTACATAGCTATTGACAATGGCTATTTATAGTGGATTTACCCATAAAAAATGGTGATTTTTCATAGTTATGTTAGTTGACCAGAGGGTACATATCATGACAGTTTATACTTATCTAAAAACTATAATGACTTTGAAATATTGCAAGATATACAGCCAAAATCGCACAAATGGATGTAGATATAGATATGGATGCAGATATAGATACAGGCTATAGATATAGGCAAACGAAGAAATGAATAAACACAAACATCAATAAGTAAATATGACTAATATGACGTGAAATTTCTATAGTTTCTATATATGATCTTATATTCTGTTGTGTATGTCGTTGGGTGTGTCTGGGTCTAAAATGGCTCTATGGACCCACAAAATTCCAGATTTTCAGAAATCCCTTTGCTCGTTCATATTTTTACGCCCCCCAGTAAACCATGGTGGGTGCAATGGATAAATCACATATGGGGCTGTTTACGGGGGTTTCATTTGTTGGGCGGATGGGATCACACAGGTTTTCTCAAGGAATACCCTCTGGTAAACATACAGAAAACTATGGAAAATCACCAATTTTAATAGGTAATAAATCCACTATTTCAATGGCCATTTTCAATAGCAAACTGTTAGTTTACCAGAGGGTATGATCTAAATAGTTTCAGGGTGAGTTCTCCAGTTTTCTATATTATTGACATTCGGGGAGATGAACCAACAATCATTGGCTAAGGCTAAATCACCCAAGTTTCCCCCAATACCGGATGGCATGAAACCGTCACAACTGTTGGGTGAACCATGATGAACCAATACTATTTGGAATCATTAGGCATGATATATATATATATATACATATAGATGTGTATATATATATACTGCATTATATATATAAATATGATTTAACTCTTCCTTGATCAACAACAATTTCCCCAAGAATACCTGTGGTGTTTGGAGTTTTCCCCAGTCGTCTTCGGCACCGCCGAATGCCTAGGCTGACGGAGCGCGGGCGAGAGCAAGCGAAGCGTTTGTCCTGGCAGCCAGTCGAGCCGGAGGTCGAAGGGATGGGATTTCACCACAAAATATGGTGATTTTTTGAGGGAAAATTGCATGGACACTTATTACTGGTTGGTGGCTTGGAACGAATTTATATGATTTTTTGACTTTCCATATAATGGGAATAATACTCCCAACTGACTTTCATATTTTTCAGAGGGGTTGAAACCACCAACCACTTATTTGGGTTCTTACTAGCATAATTACGGTTTATGGCTACTACTATCGTTTATCATTATCATTATCTCTTGGAATTGATGTGCATAAACGCATATATATATATATACATGGGTGTAGAACCAATTTGAATTGGTCCAAAAATGGTGGATACCCAATTTATGGCAATTTTGAGAGGGAAAATGAGGATGAACCATTGGAGTTTGAGGTGCCCTATGCCAATGCAGTGCGCTGCATGAAACCAGAAGGAGACCTTCAGCAAAGGTTTGAAGTTTCAAAAAAATGACGCTTGACGAATTTGATTTCCCATCCAATATGGTGAGCACAGTGCTTTGGAAAATTTTGCCCAGTTGCTTGCAGATCATCCAGGGTTTGCTGAGGTTTCTTAGGTAATGATAGCCCCTCTATTACACACTTGGAGACTGGTGGAAATTAAATACCAAAAGAGTAGAACATGTCCATTTTCGACGGGAATATCGAAAACCCACTGAGTTTCCATAAATTTTCCATGGTTTTCCCATGCCAGGTTAGGTTGCAAGAGGGTGCCAGTCAAGGAACATACATACATATGTATATATATATACATAGCTAACTTCAATATATATGAACCAACAAACACTGGCATTTGAGTCAAGTCTTTGCACCACCAATATGATGCAAAAAAAAGGTAAATCTTACTAAAATTTCAAAATTAGTGGTGCATTCAACCTTTTCTATTTTGTCCCAGGTTACTATACTGCTTTAAGTTTCCCATTCACTGCCCCAATGTGGATGGTTTACACCATTATTGGCAAGTTTATTTCTTTATTTCGTGTTGGTTGTTGCTTGTAAATCCCCGCGAAGATATAGTCATCCTGGGCATTATGAGAGTTCAATATTCTTCGAATTTAAGTTCGGATTTTTTGAAATCTCTATATTCTATCTACTTTGGGATGACCGTCTGGGCTTTGCTGATGAGGATTTTTATTTTCCCAATAGGAAATCTACTACTTGGAGAATCTAGAGGGACTATTTTTTTGGGGGGGATTCCTTTAGCAAATCCAAACTATATAAACCTAATACCAAACCATTTTTTTTTTCGGCAGGTGGTGTTGACCTCCCCATTGACGCGTTGCGTGGAGACGGCCTTGCTGGCCTTTCCCGGAGCCAAAGTGGTGGCGTTGGAGGAGAGCGCACTGAAGAGTCTGTGGTTGATATATGGGTGATATGACTAATGTGGTTCAAACAATGTCATAAGCCACCCATTTGGGAATGGTAACCATACCACCTATTTACTGTGATTGGGGTTTCCATAAATGTATGACTATCCACGGATTGTTTTAAGGGAACATCTACAGGAAATCATCGACTTTACCATTAAATATGGGGCTTAAATGGTGGATATACCTGCAAATACTGGATGGTTTATTTCATGGAAAATCCAGAAAATCTCATTTTTAATGGATGATTTATGGGTACCCCTATTTTAGGAAACCTCCATGTGAGTGATATGACTAGTAGTGATTTGTAGTGACAGTCTACACTTAGAGTCGTAACACTTCAAAGTTGCAAGTTCTCTACCCTACAGTAAGGGATTGTATATATCACTGGTGAATAAGTTTGGGCATAAAATTCTAAACACCTCTTCAGATGATTTCAGATGCATCCCTAGGTTTCGCTACTTAGATGTGCATCCCAAAGACTTGCAATGGTCATGGTAGTCAGCCGTTGAGGGAATGATTCCAGGATTCCCATATTCATCAGGGTTGGGAGCCAGTTGGGATTTCTGGGATGTGGGCTATCAAATGGCAGATGATGGAGTCCTTGAGTTTGAACATCCACAAAATTGGATGCTTAGCAGATCAATCCAACTGGTTAGAAACCCTACGCGTGTTGACCTTGGTGTGTTAAAACCACATGGTTTTATGATGTGTTCGAACATGGGACCCTCAAAATGATGATATAGACCCTGTTAATCTCTGCAAAGTTCAACAAACATGTTTGACACCTGAACCCATATCCAGCTACCAGCCGGGTTATTGTACTCAAGTTCGAATGTTGATCAGCAAAACCAATTGTCATCACGTCATCACGTCATCAAATCTCAAGAAACGATTGTTACCCATCTTCCATTGCTTTTCATCGTTGTTGGTCAAAGTTTTACGTTGCATTTTCACAGAAGGGCGGCGACGTGCACTCCCCCCCCGCGAGCCGTGGAACCGTGGAAACCGTGGAGCCCAGCCGTGGGCGCACGGCTTCTGCTCAGCCGTGAAACCATGAAGCCCAGCCGGAGCTCCCGGTTCTGCGGTTCAGTCGGGAAATAGTAGTGGTAATAGTAGTAGCGGTAGTGGTAGTGGTGGTGGTAGTAGTAGTAGTCGTCGTAGTAGTAGTAGCAGTAGTAGCAGCAGTAGTAGTAGTAGCAGTAGTAGCAGCAGCAGTAGTAGCAGTAGTAGTAGTAGCAGTAGTAGTAGTAGCAGTAGTAGTAGTAGCAGCAGTAGCAGCAGCAGTAGCAGTAGTAGTAGCAATAATAATAGTAGTAGCAGTAGTAGTAGTAGTAGCAGTAATAGTAGTAGTAGTAGCAGTAGTAGCAGCAGCAGCAGTAGTCGTAGCAGTAGTAGTAGTAGCAGCAGTAGCAGTAGTAGCAGTAGTAGTAGTAGTAGCAGTAGTAGCAGCAGTAGCAGTAGTCGTAGCAGTAGTAGTAGCAGCAGTAGCAGTAGTAGCAGTAGTAGTAGCAGTAGCAGTAGCAGTAGCAGTAGCAGTAGCAGTAGCAGTAGCAGTAGCAGTGGCAGTAGCAGTAGGAGTAGTAGTAGTAGTAGTAGCAGTAGTAGTAGTTAGCAGTAGCATTAGTAGTAGTAGTAGTAGCAGCAGTAGCAGTAGTAGCAGTAGTAGTAGCAGCAGTAGTAGCAGCAGTAGTCGCAGCAGCAGTAGCAGCAGTAGTAGCAGCAGTAGTCGCAGCAGCAGCAGCAGTAGCAGTAGCAGCAGCAGCAGCAGCAGGAGTAGTATTAGTAGTAGTAGTAGTAGTAGTAGTAGTAGTACTCGTCGTCGTCGTCGTCGTCGTCTCGCTCTCTGACCTTCGCGCACCTCGCCGCCTGCTCAGCACAAACTTAAGTCCATCTGCCAAGAGCGCGTTCCTGGAGCCACACGCGCGGTGCCTTGAGCCGGACCACCCTCGCAAGTTTTGCTTCGCTGGCCGGCAGGGCCACATCTCAGACATAGCAGGGGACGGCCGCTGCGGGTACCGTGCACTTGCGACGTACATCGGCATTTCTTGGAAGGATGTCATGTTTGAGGTGCTGCGTTTGATGCTCTCAGCACGAAACGTTTTCTCGAGCGAGCAAATCGTTTCAATGATTGCCGTTTCAGACCAGCGTAATCCTTGCCCTCAGAGTTGCTAGATATTACCAGTAACCACAAAAAAGGTAAAACTCAACAATGATAGCACAACCTTAGAGAGAGGAAGAGTCATACAACTATGTTCTTGGCCAGAGAACTGGGTTTGGGTCTAGGTTCAGATGAAGGAACTCGCCGTCAAAGCCTCCAGAAAACAGAAGTGTGAAAAAGTATGGTATGGAGCACACTTTGTGAAACAAAAACATGAAACCCTTCTTCAGTCGATTCATGTGGGGTCCCTTCTTGGCAATCAGGGGAGCATATGAATGTTGGTGGGATGGTGGATCAAACTCAGTGGTGTCATCGAAGTCATTGTGCTATCACTACTTTTTCAAAACCAGTTCAAAAACCCGCAGGATTTATTCTTATTTGGATTAAAACATATTAAGCCATCTTAAAACATATTAAAGCCCCAACATGTTGACCTTCCAAGGAGCCTTTTTCTCAATGAAACTGCCATGTCAGGAGCTACGAGAGTTGATCTCGGGGTCGCAGCACAACGCGCAGCCCTGCAGGGCTGAGCTCATGGAGCGCTTCCCGGAAGTTTTTCGCCCAAAAAATGGGGAGGGCTGGAAATACACTAGCTATGAAGTTTTTTTTTTTTGGCCATGATTACAGTAAGTCTATTTTCGGGGGTTCTGTGTGAAATTTAGGGAGTGTATTTGTTGATTCACTTGTGTTTTTTTTTGGGGGGGGATGGGTTAAGACATGTGAAAGACCGCCAACATATTATTTTTGTGGTGGGTGAACATCCATGGATGCCGGCTATTTTGATGTGAACTACCGGGTACCGGAGTTCTGACTGATAGCCATTTGAGTTGCAGTGCAACATGATTGATATTATATTGATATTCTAACCTGGATTGTGAGTAAATATCAAACTTGGATGCAATACTCCCATGCCATCAATAGATAAACTTGATATTACTATGTAACTTCTGGTAATTTGTTACATAGCTATTGAACATGCCCATTTATAGTGGATTTACCCATAACAAATTGTAATTTTCCATAGTTATGTTAGTTTACCAGAGGATATAATATAGAATAATCTCTTCTACGTATTCTAACCTGGCGTGCTGGAAAATGAACTATAAAGAATGGATCCGTTGTAGATGAAATTCGTTTTGAAGAGAGGGATTTTGAAGCCATGTCGAATTGCTGGAGTGGGGATTTGAGAAACAAAAATAGATTTTCACCCAAGTTAGGGATTTACCCCAGCGCATATGGGATAATAGAACGGGCATGGATCAAATTGGTCTACACCCCCTAAGTTTCTCACAGAAACAAGGAATGGCCAATATATCCAGTGCAAAAAACACATCCGGATTCTGGACCAGATTTTTTGGTTCCATGTCAAATTCAGGGATGTAACCAACAATGGACAAGCCAGCTAGTTTAAGAGTTTGCCCACAAAGAGATGAGAGGAAATTGGTATGAGCAACAAAATTGGGCTGGGGGTGGTGTCACGAGCCTGGAAACTACAAGATTTTGGCTGGTTGGTGGTTTGACAGTGTTGTCGTTTCCATCCAAATTACGGGAGGATGATGCGAAATGAAATGATTCGGGAGTTGCGTGGCTGCAGTTGCTTTTTTCAGGGGATTGAAACCACAAAGCACCTAAGGTAATATGTCAAATCATTCCCAAATGATGCCAACTTCCCCTCGAGATGGTGGCTCAGATGGTGGACGCAATCCCCAAAGATTTCTTCCAATTGGAGACGTTGTGATGGACACCACCCGAAAAGCTGGATTTTCGTTGCCGGAATCTGTCTGCCCAGGGATCCACAAGCACGTGTTTGGAAGGTAAATCCGAAATTTGGTGTTTCTGAACCTCCCAACTTTGTTTCTTGAAACCCAATGTTGGATATGTTTGACCTTGACATGTTTCACCCAACCCAGAGCTTCAAACATGGTAATCTCTTCAACTTTTTCTGCCAACTTTAAACCGCCATGTTTGATTTTGGTTAAGCCACGATTTTTGTTGGTTACATCACCATTTTAAGCGGTACCCTCTGGTAAACGTTTACATAGCAATGGAAAGATCCACCATTTTCTAGCTGGGAAAATCCACTATTTCTATTGTCATTTTCAATAGTTATTTTGACATAACCAGAGGGTATATCCCATTATCATCCCATTATTCACCATTGTTAACCATTAAATCACCATTTCCCCATGGTAAATCACTATGTTAAATTACCAGAGGGTAAACCTAGACCTCAACTCGGCAGGTGGATTTCTCTCGCATCTCCAGCCACGACCAGCATTGGCACCCGGGGCACCTTCGGGAGTCGCAAGACAGCTGCGCCAGGCGAGCGCGGAAGTTCTTGGAGTAACCTCGGTGCAGTCGGTGGGATGGTTGGGGTATGGGTCAACACCCTGGGTACCCTCTGGATCCCTCTGGTAAACTAACATAGCTATGGAAAATCACCATCTTTAATAGGTAAATCAACTATAAATGGGCCATTTTCAATAGCTATGTAACAAATTACCAGAGGGTACCTCAAACGAAATGGGATTTGCATATGGGAGGATAGATTAGGATGGTTAGTATACTAAACATGTAGGATTTGACCCGCAAAACGAGGTGTTGGCGGCAGCAGTTTGCAACATTGGGGTTGAGCCAGGAAAACATGACCAAACAATTTGTGGCGGTTTCGGGAACCGTTTTTTTTTTGACCCACCCATCCCCAGAAATTTTGTGGATCGCGATTTGACATGATTTGACCATCCTTGGGGGACTGAACAGTGGGTTTTCACCATTTTCCTCATAGCCAGGGGACGAAAACGTGCACGGATAAGAAAGGCTCTCAGATTAAAATGAAAATCACAAGTAAATCATTGACCCGCAGCATGTACTCCAATGTTCACTCTTCGTGCCGTCATGGTTGTTTGCTAGACCTCCAACATCCGCATGTATATGTTTTGTTTAATTCATTGGTTGATTGAATTCCCTATGCTCAATTCCACTTTCGCTAGCAGCAGCAAACTCCGGATTGTTGGTTTGCAGCACTAAATTTTTGTCTGATGAAATCACCACTTTAGTTACTTTAGTTTGTTAAATTGCCAGCCATGTTGTCAAATCACCTTAAATTCCCATGTTTGATCAGATCTCCCTCTTTTGTTGGTAATTTCCAATGTTGATCAGATCTCCCTCTGTTATTGGTCATATCCGAATATCCCAATTCCTATGCTGAAACTTGCCATCATCTCCGGCTTCGTTGTCACTGGGCGACATCGACCCGAGGCGGATCTTTGGGGATGACTCCCTACGCTCCACCAAAGAGTTTGCGGTACCTCGGGTGCAAATGTTACGGGATGTGGCTCCTGTAACAAAAACATACAACAACAAGAGGGCATGGCCGAAATTGGTCATTTTAGACTGTCCCATCAAGAAACCATGATTTCACTTCAGAACATCTATAGATGTTCTGGAGTGAAATCATGTTCCAAATGCTTCGTTTTTCCTGCGCTGAGGTGACGACGCATTCGGGCTTCCTATTTCTCTTGTTCAACTATGGCCAGGTTCCGTGCCATGGCTGGGGTGGTCCTACAAACTTGGGTGACCAAAGGATAAAACTTCAATCTGGCCGGTGATATGCTGTCTTAACCGAAGTTGACGCAACCACCTCGGTGCTTAAATCATCTTAAATCCCATTTTTCATGGCTGACATTCATTTTTTGTCTTGGTTAAATATCATTTTTCCTGCCTAACTCCCACATTCTTTCTTGGGTAAGCACTTCTTACTTTTCATCTCGAAAAGTAATTTACCCTTCTTTTGAGTTGGTAGGAGTTGACTTATCTGTATCTTTTGGGATACAGGGTTGTTAGCTCGGTGGCTAGCAAGGCTCAGTGCTGTGCCCAGCCAGGCGCCTCTGGAAAGCCTGCGGCCGCGTGGCAGCTTCCGAGGAAGCGCCAGGGTGGGCGCGGGCGCTGATCCGCAACTTGGTGCAGTGATTTACCATCAGTTTCAGTTGTTTTAACTTGTTTTAACTATCCAATGGTGGATACCCTCTGGTAAACCTACAAAAAACGATTGAACATCACCACTTTGAATAGGTAGTCATCATAACTGGGCCCATTTTCCATAGCTATGTAACAAATTTCCAGAGGGTATCAGTAGTTTATCATGGGGATCGATGGAATATAAACCACATTATCCTCGCGTCGTGACGTTGCTGGAATGATGCTTCGATCCTGGGGAATCATCCCCAAATGGCTGAAGAAGTCTCAGCTAATTACTATTACCATCTGGTAAACTAACATAACTATGGAACATCACCATTTTCAATGGGAAAATCCACTATAAATGGCAATTTTCAATAGCTATGTTAAATTACCAGAGGGTATATATTCCAGCCAGATGAAAATGCAATGCGATTTTTGGGGGTCTAGTACTGGGGTCTAGCCCATTTTCAGACCCAGATGGGGACAACCAAATTTCACCGACCCCAACAAGCACCCATTTGTATGGCTGTAAGCAACAAAAATAGGATGGAACCACACATAATTCGGATATGGGATAGAATTGCAGTGAAGGGAGTGAGTTATCTGCTTAGGAACTGGGTTAAAAACCGTGAATGCAGTATCCAGTTGCAAGATGTTCCAAGAAGACACTAGGCACAAGCCATTTGTTTACTAGTCAAGTAATTCCACAACCCATCTAAGTAGAAATGGTGAATTGGGGATCTAACACTAAATATTGATAGGATTTGAGCATAGGATTTGACCCTCAATAGAAAATAGGGATAATTTTGGCTTATGATGTAAATGACGCAGGATAATTTTGGCTTATAATGTAAATGACACGGGATAATTTTAGCTTTTTAATGTAAATGGCTCAAAAGCATCTGCCAACAGAACTCAGCACTCGTGCTTTCTGGTGTGGTCCCAAAATGTTCGCTTAAAGGTCCCAGTTTCAAGAGCCAAATCATCGACGAATGGGTCTGAAACACCGGGTTGTGCTGTACATACCCCCCACCTAATAGTCATATTTTGGTAGAAAAACTGGTGATTAGCCATTAATGATATTGGATCTTTGGGAGCTTTCCCCTAAAGTTTCAGGGACACCCATTCCCAAGCGCAACCGAGGATCGTGACGTTCGCCTTTCGGCTGCATCTGGCTGACTGGTGGTTCCATAGATTTCTTGGATGCGCATCCGATTGAGGATGCGTGGTTTATAACCCATATTACACATATATTATATTACATAGCTCGGGATATCCCATATATAACTGGGGTATTTCATATTACTAAGGTTATATATATATATACCTACTTCTACTAAATGGAAGTGCAGTCCAAGTTGGGATTTGGCAAATAACTAAAAATTGACGTAATTCCAAATGATTCACAAAATCATCACCTGATAATTCGAAACAATTCCCAAAGTGGCAACATGTTTCTAATTTGAGAATTATCACGATTTGCCAGAAGGTGAAGCTAGATGACCACCAGGTAGGGGCTGTTTTTTTCTGCAGGATTCGGAAATTGGGTAGTGCAAGGCGAATGGAAGGCCAGTGAAGTAGTAAAATGCTGCCATAATGGAATAACCATCATAAATCCAGCATAGGAAGTTGGGGGTTCACCATAGTAGCCCTTGAAACTTGGGATATCCCCAGTCACATGGTAAGTTGCTTCGCTCCCTCGTCCCAGGCTGGAGACGACACCGAAGAACTGCGGCAGTGGTGGGCGCCGGGTGAAATGCGCGCGGTGCTTCTCCGAAAAAGATCGGCTGTCGGATGATCCGCGGGCGATATTGACTGGAGAATCCTGTATAAAGTGAGGCTTTAATGGGAAAACAACCATCAATCGGGAGTTCTTCCATCGCCATAGGTACTAGAGGGTAATGTTGACCCTCAATGTACTGATCAGGGGGTACCAATGTTGATAGTATTTTTTCACTCTGGGACTAACTTCCCCTGGAATTCACCAAGAAAGTGTATGAATCCGGGGTTGACATCACCCAGTTGTTTGATGGGAAAATCGTTTGTAAGTCATCTATAAAGGGGGGGATGATGGGCATGGTCAGGATGCCCCAAAATCATGGTGATATCTAACGGATTTGAGATGATTGGACGATGTGCATGCCAGCCACGACACCCCATCAACATGGAACCCAATCGTTGGGCCCTATCCAGTAGTTTTTCATCATGTGTGGGCAGGTTTCATCTTTGGGAATGAAGATGTGTGAAGCAGGAGAATAGCCCTGGTATTTGGGGGCTTCCAATTTTGGGACCCATTTTTTCGTTGGGCACAAACCACAACTAGTAACTAGCAACATGTTCCGAAACGCCATTTGCGACTCCTGGGATACACAAAGCCAGTTTCAGGGATCTCCAGTCAGCACCCGGCTGTCCAAACTAGAATTTCCAAAGATGATTGGTGTTGGTCGTTGGTTTAGCAGCTATTTTGTGTTTCCATCCGCATTCAGCATAACCGTCACATGGTTGCGAGCTGATTCTCGAGTGTATCCTCATTATTCTTCAGTAAAAATACCCTGATAATGTTGGTTGAGTCGCCAATTATAGACCATTTATCAATAGATATGTATAGATGGTTGTTTTGTTGATGATGATGATGATGGCTGGCAAGAAAATCCCATGTCAACCCCGTTCATATCCCATGAACAATCCCAATTGTCAATGGTTAAACCCAACGCTTGCGCCGTTTTTTCGTGGTTAAATCCTGCCCAATTCCATATTTTTCAAAGTTAACAACCATTTATAAACATTGGGGACATTAGTCATCGAAAAAGGTCACAAAATTGGATTAACAACTATATTGAAGAGGGATTCTTCCCATGACTTACCATTTAATGTTGGTTTGATCACCATGTAAAATGAATTTACAGATGGTTGTTCCAACTTTGCCGCATTGTTTGCGTAAATTTCAACCTTCCCATATTTTTCAATGTCAACAACCATAAAATGACCATAAAATCACCGTAACTTTCCATAAAAAATCATCAATATAAGGATTCTCTCCACAACTTACCATGAAAACTCACCTCTATTTATGCTCCATGATGCTGGATTATCAAAACCAACATTTGCCCAAAAGTCCAAACTCACCCAGTTTTGTAGGCTTTTTATATACCAGCACCGTGGTTCACATCTGGGACCTCTATGGGATGTTTGGATTCGTTGAATCCTCCAGGACGTGTCGCTTAACCCGCCGCTGGTGCGAGTTGGGACCCTGATGACCTGGCTGAGCGATGGTAGATTGGTAGATATAACATGATATAACGACTTTTTGTTCATGGGGTTTATTAAACCAACAAACATAACTGCCTGGGGGGGCCCATACTGTGTATATGTACATGCAAAAGTCTTTGTGGATGTGGATGTAAGTGTATTTGTATATATGTATATGTAGAACCATATGTAGATGTAGATGTTTGTTATATTCAGCAAACAGTCTCTGAATCTGACACGGATTTCAACAAAAAAAACATCAAACACATGCGACGTGTTTTTTCTGCTGGAAACGATCACCGCGTCTGTTTCTCTAAGAAAACATGTTCTTCAAAAATCCACTTGTTTTTGGTGATTTCTTGACCATTTGTTATGGGTGAGACAGTGCTCAATTAAACCCCACGACTATTTTCATTCCAATCTCACCAAGCTGTTGTTGATTAGCATAGAAAACGAGCTGAGTTGCGACAAACATCCGCCATCATCCGCCTCAGGTGGGCCCGGACCATGGTTTGCTGGTGACGCCGCAAGGCACGAATTCCCGGAACGATGTTTTTTCCGGTGCACCGTGCACCATGGGCAGATGAGACATGATTGTTGTATCATTTGAGAATACCCTCTGGTAATTTGTTACATAGCTATTGAAAATGGCCATAGAAATAGTGGATTTTCCCATTTAAGATGGTGATTTTCCAGTTCGCTATGTTAGTTTACCAGAGGGTAATATCATTGTAAATATGTTGTTGATGTGATTTAGCATCAACATGGATTGTTGTATCCGAGATTTCATGGGGAGATTTATAGGTTTTGTTCTGGGTAAATCTTGGGCAAGGGCAATTCAATAGGTTTACCTTTTGCCGTAAAGAGGGGCATATACTGTCGTGCTCAAAAAGGAAGCTCATGGTTGGTAATGTCAACCCTAGATTAGCAAACCCTGGTTGATTAAACATTGGGCGTTCCCCAGATTTCATTTGCTGAACAATAAATTACTGTATGCTACTCCCAGTTTCCAACCAGCCATGGGATGCTTAGACATGGGGGTTGGCATTCTCTATAGCACCCCCCAAATGGGTAGAGAATAGGTGCAGGGGAACCTCATCTATAACAGCCTGGAAAAATGATTCTGTATTCTTTCAAAATGTTTTTTGGAACCCCTATAGCGTGAAGAAATCTGTTTAAATCAGTCTTGACCTACCATTTACCCAGCTTGACTCCATCTGCCCGATGAGGTCCCACGGTGGTGCGTGCCGATGTCTTGCCAAAGCAGCCGGAAGTCCAAATACGTGTGGAATGCGGCGGGGGATGGGTGGGGGACCATCAAGAATGGGGGTTTAACATGGTTAAAATGTGATCTTAGATTAACATGGTTTAACATGGTTTAACAATGTTTAACATGGTTTAACATGGTTTAACATGGTTTAACCCCCAAACAGATCGAACAGTTCTTCCATATTTTAGGAGGATTCTGGAGGAGTTGCAGATTGTTCAATCTTTTTGGGGATTGATGATGCGAAAATTGTTCAGCCAGAAAATTCATGGTGGAACCACTTTAAAAAAAGTTTTATAAACGTAGAAATATGGGTATGGCTTGACGTTCAGGTACTAAGTTACACACACAATTGCTCAGTTGTTGTATTCCAACTGGTCAACATTACATCTTTTCCAATTCGAGAGCTAACACACATCCTTTGACACTGGGATCTCACGTTTCCTCGGTGGTCAAATGCTGCCACCAGCTGGAGTATAGCCAAGAACACTGGAGTTTTATTTCGAAGGATAGGATGCAATCGACCCGGATGCAACGAAAGCTATCATTGCTGAAAGCTCCACTTTATCGGCCACATCCAGATTCTTGTTCTGAAATGTCCACACATTCAGCATTTGGTGGTGCATGCAAAGTTATGGTTGTATCATGTTATATCATGTTGTATCCATCTCCCCCAATAGCTATTTGGAAATATTTGGAGATAATATCTATAATCGTCATACATCTATGCATATATACTATACATTACTATACTATATCCCCAACAGATCACTATCATATAATTATTCCCACTATCTCCAAATATGGAAAAACAATCCCATGATATCCACATTTTGTTGATCTCCAAGGCCTGCTCTACGCACGGCGATGCAAGTTGCAGAGGCACTCAGGGCTCCACGTGCCCCAAGTGCACCCTGCCACTTGGAAGCAAAAAGAGATTTTGAAGCATCGAAAAGTCTAGGTAAATGGGCTTTGTTTGGGTTCATGAAGTTTAACCCATTGAAGTTTAATTGGATGGTTCTGTCGTGGCAAACTGTGTCCTGTGTTGGCTTTTGGGTTCCCGTTGGACAATCCACTGATGGTTATCCCTGAAGCATGATGAATCTTGCTTTTAGAATTTCCTGTGAGTGAAACATCACTTGAAATGGTGGTTAGATATTAGGCTGGTGTTCATAGGTCACCAGACATCCATATTTTATCATATTTTTGCCCTCCTCAAGATGCTTTCCTGTTAGTTTGTTTCATGAAACCAAGCGATCTTCATGGGTCTTGCGCACGTAGGTCCAGCATTTGTCTGAATTTGTCTGAAATATTGCAAAAATTAGGGGAGAAAACAATTCCATCCACTGGTTCATCATCTTTAAACTTCATCATCCCCTTTTGAAATAGCCATAATTTGGAGGTGTTCTAGTCATTTTCCCTTTACAACAAATGGCCATAACTGGACACCCCGCGTCACAGTGCATCCGCCCCGACCCAAGGTCCCTCCGGCCCGGCTGAGAGTCTTCCTGGCAGCTGCCAGGGCTGGTGTGGACAGGTTCTTCCGGGCTCAACTGCCAGGACCGGCTGATTTTCCTCGGTGAGTTGTTTTTTTTTGTTTTGGGGGCACCAAAGGGGGTTTTAACAAGAAGAATCCTGGATTTGCTGAAGATGATTTCTAGTGATTTTATATTTTTCCAATGGGAAATCCACGACTTAGGGAATCTATAGTATTTTTTTTGTGGGGGGGTCCTTATGCAAATCCAAGAATGGAGATATGGTTTAATGCAGATATCAACAATGATCTGATATTTGGGTGGACCTGAAAAAGGGAGGATTTCATGAGGTTGATTGAACCATGAAAGATGGGGATAGCTGAGATGGGAATACACATATCTAGTGATACTTCATACAGAACGGGGTATGTAACCAGATATGACAGGCCACGGTGTGTCTGATGGTTGGTATCTGCCGGCAACATAGTGGGCCCGTTGAGTGGAACGAGGAGCAAAGGATCTTGCTCCGATGGCCTTCAATGTTTGTGCGAGGCACGGGTGGCGGTTTTAGCAAACTCAAGGCACGGGTGGGTTTACCTAGCTTGGTTTTAGCAACACTTTTGGACAAGACGTATCAAGACGTCCAAATCTTCAGTTTTCAGTAGTTTTCAGTGGAGGTATTGGATGCCTTTCCATGGCTGCCTTGCTATTGCTTTATTGGATGATCGAGACATTCGCTTTCCCAGTGGTTTTCCATTGATTAGTAGAGGGATGACAATACGTCGTTCCAAGAAGTCCGAATTTCAGGGAAGTGCCAAATATGACCAGAAAGGCTGCCATGAAAGCCTTGTTATCCCAAATTCCTGTTGAAAGTGTAAACTCAAAAAAGAAGGTACATGAAGCCACAGAGGTTTATGAGACAACGAGGCAGTTCTTTAAACCAGAAAAACTGAGATTCAAGCCTTCATTTTCTAGGACCCCAGGTCTTGCTTTCCCTGTCGGGGAATGGGAAAATCCAACTTGAACGCAACAGCAGTTGCCACTTGCCCTCCGGCAATCACCCATGGCAACTGCGAATTCCCAACTCCAAGAGCTGGAGTAGAGACCCAGGTTTTGAGTGTTTTTCTTCATAAAGCATGGACAAAGTAGTCTGTGTCACAACCCCTGTGGCATACATAAATCATCTATAATTTGGTTGGTAATCTAGTCTTGCTGGAAAGTCACCCATTGGTGATCCATTTATGATCTAGAGATAATATCTAGCCATTCCCATTGATCATGCCATGTCCAGTGGACAGTCGGATCATGTCCCATTCACATTCCTATTATTTACGAGAACTATTGGTAATTTTTAGATCCTTTTATCAGTTCCAAAATAGATGGTTGTACTTGCGGGACTTGGGGTGATCTCCAAAAATATCGCTGAGTAACTATGCGATTCGAAGCCCCAAGCAAGTTGGGACATACATATACGTATGTGTATATATATATATATATATGCACCATATATATATATACACACACATTCATGATATACATCGCATGATATCACTGATATCCCATGACATGCCTATCTTTTTGTGACGAAATCCCTGAAATTCCCAAGGGATCTCAGTTGGTCCTGCGAGGCGGACGGCCGTGTGTACTCCTCCTGCCGCATGGCCTGCGAAGCGGAGCGCATGAAGGCGTGGTGGTTTAAGGAAAGGGATCATAGAAAAATGATGAAACATGTAGAATTACTGGTCGGTGGTTTGGAACATGGATTTTATTTTTCCATTCAGTTGGGAATAATAATCCCAACTGACTTTCATATTTTTCAGAGGGGTTGAAACCACCAACCAGTATAGATTTCCTAGATATATATTGACATCCATTGATCTATCAGTATCTATCAGTATCTATCAGTATCTATCGTTATCTATCATTCTCTATTATTATTATTATTATCAGTATCTATCAGTATCTATCTATCTATCTATCTGTCTATCTATCTATCTATCTATCTTATCTTATCTATCTATCTATCTATCTGCCTATCGGTCTATTTGTCTATCTGTCTATTTATTTGTCTATCTGTCTATCTGTGTATCTATCAATCTATCTATGTGTATGTTTTATTTATACATGTACACATGCTCCACATAATGGTCGACATAGATATGTATAGGTATATATATTGATGTAAGTACACACCAGGCAGAGTTCTGTAGGTATATATACGTAAATATAATGTTATATCGTATGTATTATGTTTACACAATACAGGTATGTATGTATGTACACATATATATATACATACATACGTACTAGTATGTAATGTATGTATGTATGTACATATGTAGTGTATTGTATAATGTAATGCAATGCAGTGCAGTGTAGTGCAGTGTAGAGTAGTGTAATGTATTGTATGTAGGTCAGCGGCAATCAAACACATGCACAGCTCATTTTGATGGGTGTAACTCATGAACCAAAATAGAGGTCATTTTCTTTTTCAAGGTCACATTTTATGTTTCCCCAATGAGAAGGCTTCAGACTTGTGGAGCGAGTCAAACTTCACAACCTGGGCTAAAGGATTCTGATTGATAATCAAAAGATTATCTATGATAAAGATCGCCTGGCTGTGGCTCCGACATTTAAGTGCCTTTAATAAACTTTAATATATCCAAACATTCAAAGGTTTCTTGAATACTGAAAGTCGTCCGCCACGGTCCTACCCGGTTTGGAATCGCACAGGCAGCTGCACCAGCAGCGAAAATGTCAACCAGTACCACGACCACGCAGGTTGGGCATTCTGGAAGGGGATGGGGAGGTCGTGAAGATTGCTTGGGCCATGACAGCTATGATTGGTGATTTTGGGATGAATCAAATTAGCTATGAAATACCCCCCATCACTTAGGGGGGATGAACATCCATAGATCCCAGGTAATTTGATGTTTACTACACGGGGTGCCATGGTTTTGATCTATATAACCATTTATGATAGTGCAACACAACATGAGTTAGTGTTAGTTTTTTCTTCCTGGATGCAGGAAATAGATGGATATAGATCAACAGGGAACTCCACAAGACATGTTGTGCTGGGCGTCAGCTACCATGCAGACGGTGTAGATTTCGTAGGCGTTTCCATAGGCTTGTTGTGGCCTACACCGTGTACACCCGCTTGCAACTGTTGGAAACCATTCATGGAAAGCATCATAATTCATACCACAAAAGAAAGCCAAACGGAATCATGGCTGCGATCGCCTAGTAAAAGGAATACTGAAAAAACCCTTTGGCAAACTAACATGGCCATTGAAAACGGCCATTTCTCGTCGCTTTACCTTTGAACAAATGGTGATTTTCGCTATTTGTTTGTTCCCCAGGATGCTGATCCCCAGGTTTGTCCAAAAAAACCAGGGCGACCTGGATAGCGGATAGCCCTGGTTATTTTATGGAGATCCAATGGTTCCATGGTTTCGCTTCATTTTGTCAAAAGTCGATGGATTTTTGGAGGATCCCCAATTTTCGTGGGTTTTTTCGGCTCATTGGTCAAGATTTTAAGGCCCAGCGATCGCAGATTTCTGGTAATTTTTTGGGGAGTTTGAACATCCAATTTGAGGGGTACCCAGGGACTTGACTGCTCAACTCCCTATGTCTTTTTGCTTCGACCCCGTTGGTGGTGAACAAAAACCTTCATTTTAAGGTCGCCCAGTTAATAAAAAAAACAGTTGGTTCTATAATGTTCTATATATATCTACATATCCCATGATCAAAGCACATTATATCCATGATATCCCCATCAAATTGTTGGTGAACCCCCTATTCAATGGGAATTCCAGGATCCTAAAATGGAGGTACTGTACCATATTTCTCCAAAATTTGAGGGGATATTCCCTTACGTAGCCCTGAAAAATAGGCCTGAACTATATGGTAGGTAGCTCCAATAAATCGGTTCCTGTTGCATGGCCATTGAACCACCGAAAAGAGTTTTCTATGGAAACATAAGATCCCATTAAATCCACATTAAATCCTCATATCATGGGATAAATAAATGATGTCAATCCGATCAATGGTGATACATCCCATTCATATCCCATTAAATCCACATTTTAAAACATATCATCCCCACTGTTTGTCTAATCCCTACTTTCCACTGGGGCGCATCAGCTCCAAGGCAGCCACAGCTCTGACAAGTGGCTCCAGCAGCTCGGTGCGGCGACAGCTGCTGTATGACGCTTGGCAGTTTTTTTGGGTTTTTCCCAATGAATGATGGAAAACCATAGGAAAACTATAGGAAAACCGTAGGAAAATGGTGATTTTTCATGAGGGTTTATGGTGGTTTAATGGAATTTAATGGGAATTAGCCTCCAGTAAATTTAACAGTTCGACCCTGGCAGATAGGGATAGGGGTTGGAAGACTAGTGAAACCACTATAAATGGGTGATTTTCAGGGTCAAGAAGTTAATTTACCAGAGGGTAAGCAACATACAATGGGATATCAAGGAAGTAGATAATGGGATAACAACATCAATGATGGGAATAACAAGGAAGTAGATAATGGGATATTTAAGCAACAATCAATTTTCTGGGAATATCAAGGAATTATTGACTAAGAATTTGAGATGTTATTTGGGATGTTAACTAAGAATTGAACTAAGAATTTATTTGAGTTGGGATAGTTGGGATGATATGATGCATTTAACTAAAATAGGCATAGAATGGGAATATCACGATGAACTATGGACGATTGTGACATTCCATGTTTATTCATTTTTTGGTATTCGTAATAACAATGATATTGGGACGTTATAAAAATGTACAACCACTTTTACCTCCGGTAATTTGTTGCATAACTAACAATGGAAACGTTTGCCCATTTAGTTCGATGATTTACCTATCAAACATGGTGATTTCCCATCGATATCAAATCACCTGAGGGATCCAGAGGGTGTATCCCTCTGTAATCCCCTGTATATGGAGGATTTCAAAAAAATAAATAGTTGAAGATATAGGTTCTGTACCTGCCAGCGGCTTCTTGTATTCTGTTCTAGTTCAATTTTTGGGATCATGGCAACATGCTTTCCACCTGCACAGGCGAGTATATATATATAAATGAATATAAGCATGAATAAATGATAATAAATGAATAACTGTTTTTCTGGATTCATAAACCCGTTATCCATCCATTTGGAACAAAAGACTATGGTTTGAAGCTTGGGAAGAGAATCCCCCAGTTGATGAGCATCAGTTTCTTGTATCATCAATTGCTGTTGGAATCCATATGTACAGTATGTAGACGTGTTGTTTAAGAAAAACTAATACAGTATATATTCTCCATCAACAGCCCTGTCAATATGCCCATTTGTTGGGCTGTCCCCTTCTCTATGTGAATCCTCATCTTCTGGTCTTCTAGACTAAGATTCCCATAACCAGATTTTTCCGCATGATTTCCCCGGGGACGCCGATGATTCTGGTGCCTCTTTTGAGGATACACGGGTCTTTGTGGACTTCCTCACGCAGGTCATTGGATTCTCGGAGGGTAGGGCAACCACAAAGACCAGGCACTGCATCTGACTTTTGATGCATCCATTAAAAACAAGCATTGTCTAATACAGAACCACTTATAAATCCCAATTCTTTGGTTAAATCCCCGTCTTCCATCGTCTTCCCGTCTTTTCGAATGGTAAAAAATCCTGATTTTCCTATCGTTTGCGAGGGCCTTAAGGGGGCCCTTCCCCAGGTGGAGGTCTTTTTCGTGGCGATCGAGTTGGTTCGGCGCCTGAACCAGCACCGATCCCCAGGACATCCATGTGGTTAAGCACCGATCCTGTCATATCTGGCATATTTTTTTTGCATCCCAGATGGATATATGATGGATAATATATAATACTTATGGAGAATATATAATACTTATGGTATATGATATATGATGGTTTATGGTAGACCCAGATGCGAACCATGGTGCTGGTATATAAGAACCTACAATTCGCTGGGTGATTTTGGACTTTTGGGCAAATGTTGGTGTGCATATTCCAGCACCATGGTTCGCATATGGGTATGTGGAGAACTGAACACAATGGGGAAAAGATGGGAGCATGTCCAAGCATTGATAAAAAAGTGGAGAAACATTCACTAGTCACTAAACATCATTAAATCAATTAGGATATTTAATCATCACTAAACATTCACTAGTCACTAAACATTAATGAATTTATATATGAGGATATTTAAACATCATTAAACATTCATCATTCATGGCCATGCTTCTCCGAGATATGTCTGCCAACACTAAGTTAACATATGGAATAAAAAGGGACAGCAAGCATGATACTTGCACAAAAGGGCGGAAATCTCCTCATAAAGACAGTGAACAAATTCCCCAAAGTTGGAAACAATAATATGGAATCCGCTTGAAATTCGAGTGTGACAATCTTGGCATGAATCTATCGCAAAGCTGTTATCAAACAAGTTTAGCAGACGATGAAGAAATGGCGACGTACCCTTCCCCAAACAGAAGCAATGATTCCACCAGCCAAAATTCAAGGGTTTGAGTATCACGTTTTTTTTCTTCTTCCACGCATTATATATATATTATTTGTATATTAATTTATACACTTCATTCTGTAATATATTGTAATATGTATAAATAATACAACTACAACAACCTGGCTCTGGGTAATCCCTGATCCGACCACCGATTTGGCGTGCCCAGGTTGGTCAAAGAAAACTGTGGTGCTGCTACAGGCGCCGGGGAATCCTTTGGGAATGGGTCAAAACCATGTAGCCCTGTAGTTCACATCAAAATAGCTGGGATTTATGGATGTTCATCCCCGAAAAAAAACTGTATCTATAGGTATTGATCCATAGCCATTTCAATTTATGAATGGTGGATTTGGCTGATCGACAGAAGGCTGAGTGTCACTTTTGATGGCTCAGATTCAGTGGAACGTTCATACTTTCCACAAGAGGAGGGTCATAAAAAAAACCGATTGGGGCATCAGTTGAGACCTCCAAGTGGATCAAGATTGTAGATCACCCCATTGATCACAAACTACCCAATTCCTGTAGGTTATCAGATATCGTGATATACTAATCTATGAATTTCTTGAGTCTAGCTGCCATGCATCATTTATAGCCGCTGATTTATTGCTTCTATCCACAACTAATGGTTACAAAAAGCAATATCTGGTTGGTGGTTTCAAACATTTGTTCTTTTCCATAATATATGGGATAATCCTTCCCATTGACTAATATTTTTCTAGATGGTTAAAACCACCAACCAGTTATAAATAGTTTGTGACTACCCACAAAAAATCCCAGGATCTTTCCGTACCAGTTTGTGCCGCGTGAAATCACCCCAGTCTTTTTCGAAAGGTGAGCTGCGTTGTCGACCGTGGTCTTTGGTCCTGCCGCCACTCAAATTTCAAAGCACTGGTGCAGTCGGAGAGAGGGCTCGGGGGAAGCCACTAGGCGTTTCAGGAGTAAACATGGTGTTCGAATCAAGACATGTGTACTGTGGGTAAAACAAGAATGAACCATCCCCCAAATCACCATAAATAGGTGGTAAAAACAATTCCCAAATTTGTGGTTCATTATTGTTTTACCCACATTAGTGCAAGAATTCAGACAACATGGTGGTTTAAAAGCATATGTCGCGCAATTTTAAGGCGATGACCGCAGTTCAGGGACTTCGACACCTACAGCAAAAAGGAAAGGGTAAAGGTCAACACTTGCCAAACCTAGGGTGAACCTGGGACCTTTTTTAATTTTCTGATTTTCCCAGTGTTCTCAGGAAAATCCAAGCTCACTACGGTTTGAATGTGCCCATCATAAGCAGTGCATTTACCGTAACTTTTTTGGCGATTGGTGGTTGGGGTTGAGGAATTTCTCCACTTTTTCAGGGCTTGGAAACCACCACTTTTAAAGGGCACCTGTCAACGACCTTAGTCTTTCTCCTGTACGCAGATGTTTTCTGAACTCATTTTTTGGAGGTCATATATAGAAATCTCATATCTGGCTATTGGTCAAAACCCTGGCACCTAGTGAACCCCAAAATAGCTGGTAAATGGATGTTCATCCCATTAGAATTGATAATAATAGGTTTTGACCCACCCCCATCTGTATAAATCATAAGGACCTCATTTTGACAACACCGTGCATAATGAGTGAGGCCAACTATCCCAAAATGACCCAAAACATTTCAGATGGGTGAAGTATGGGATCGTCGCCTTGAGGTGGTCATGGGATTTTAATCATTGGTTCTTTGGACTTTTATCCAACATTCATATACTGTTTGTTTATCCAACAAAAATGGGGGATGACCGGGATGACCCATAAAATGGCCATTGAAAACTGTCATGTGTATAATATACTGTAATTTACAGTAAAATATCTGCTTGCATGACTCCATGCATTCTGAATCTTATCATCAACATGTAAATATGATCGCACCAACTTCGGTGGTCAGAGTTCTTTTTTCCTGGACATTGTTTTGTTCAGCTTCCATTCTTTGTTTGAAGTTTTGCGCAAGCGTCACTTATGATGATCCCCAGAAGACGATACTATAGTAGTTATATACTGGATTAATAATATCATGTTTATTCCATGCATTATATGAATGATCTCAGTTTTTATCCGACATCCCGGTAAATCATGGTAAATCACCATTTTTTTTTTGTTGGGAAATCACTGATCTCCCCATTGCCATCCCCCGTCTTTTTGGACATGGATATCCATCGGGTCCTAGGCCTTGGTGTTTCGTTCCAATGTGGTATGGTGAAGCTGGAAACGTGACGAGGCGAGGCCATACCCTCTGGTAAACGTTTACATAACTATGGAGAATCCCCATTTTCTAATGGGTAAACTCACTATTTCTATGGCTATTTTCAATAGCTTTTTGTATGTTTACCAGAGGGTAACTTGGTGGTTTCGAAGGTTTTTTTTTGATTTTCAAAGGCCTAGAATCCTAGAAATGGGATGATCCAAATTGACGAATCTCATCTTTTTGGGTAGTTCAACCACCAGAGAAGATTCTTCAGGTGTCGACCTCAAAACAAAATGAGGACTGTGGTGGCCTTGACGATGATAGGATAATTGTTCATCATAGGAAGACTTTAACAAATGACCTTGATGATGACGATTATCCAATATGACGAGGTCATTCTGGTTCTAGGTTCACTTAGGTTGGATTTTTTTTGGTATGTGTTCAGGTGTGCCATGGTTTGGATAGGTTTTAGCTCACTTGGTACAAGCCGGTGTTCAGAACGCACGGGCCGGAATGCCCATTCTGGAACGTACGTTTTGGCCCAATCCTTTTTTAGATAGACCCTTTAAGCAATTTAAAAGGACTCGGGTTCCGTAATTGCACTGTGTTGGGATAGAAACGACATTGCTGAGCAATGAACATTGATATTGAAGAATATTATATAATATGTCTATTGATAGCATACAGCAATATATTATATATAATATATCTCATATTATATACTATTCTGAGCAATGAACATTGTATAGATGTAGTGTATATGTCTATCTCTGAGATGGGCTCAAGGCATTTTGAGCCATTGATCCAGGTCGCCCAGCATTGATCCAGGTGGAACAGCCTCTTCGATATGGCGAAGTTGTCTGGGGAGGCCGGAGCCTGGTTGAGTGGTTGAGCCCTGGGATCCAAAGTCCAAATTGGACATGGAATCCACACGGTAGAGATGTTCAAGTGGGAATTTCCACTTCCAACGCGTATACATATATAATCATACATATCATATCATATATATATATACATTATAAATAAATATAGTTATGTATATAAATAAATAGATAAATAAATATGATTATATACATATAAATACAAATGTTATATATAAAATTATATATAAATAAATAATTATATATATATATAAATAAATATAAATATGAATATAAATATACATGTATATATATATGATATTGTATGTATATATATAATTGTGTATATATGATATAGATAAAATACATATTCATATACACACGTACATATTTGGGAATGACTGCAGGACAAGGTGGAGGAATTTGCGCAGCAGCAGGTGGATCTGGGCGCGACTCGGATGTGCAGCGACGGGCAAAACATGCGATGTAATTCAGCAAGAAAAAGTGGGTTCTTAGAAGGATTATATATGTACGTTATATATAATATAATATAAATATATACAATAATATAATATATATATATAATAGTAAAATATAATATATATATATAATCCATAATATATAAAATTAATTATACAATGTAATATATATATAACCCACAATATATATATATATACAATATATATATATATACAATATATATAATTATATGATATAATATATATATATATATATTCCATATAATATGATATAATGTATATGATAAAATGTAATATAATATAATATACTATAATATCATATAACATAACATAACATAATACAATATAATATACAATATAATATACAATATAATATACAATATAATATACAATATAATATACAATATAATATAATATAATATAATATACAATATAATATACAATATAATATAATATAATATATAATATAATATAATATAATATATAATATAATATAATATAATATATAATATAATATGTATATATATATATATACACACATTATAGTAATATAGTACGTAATCATGGGATTTCACCATTCCAAAAATGGTTGATTGAGTGGATGTAGCCATGAACCGGTGACCAGCTGAGTTGGGTGACCAGGTTAGGTCACGTGGGGGGAATGCCCAAGAAACATGGGGATTTTATAGCTCCTGATGGAATTCGATGCACAAAATGACCATCACGAAACTTCGAGTTCTTTCGATGTCAGCATTTTTTCGGGCTGTTTCTCTGTGGAATTAGTTCAATCCGTGCTTTGCTTGTGGGACAATCGTAGATATGCCTTGGTGTTTAGCCATACACATTTTCATTTTCAGGTTTTTTACACTTCCAAAGGCTACATAGAATGCATGTCAGCCACTGGTTTGGTCCGGAAGGTGGCAGGGCAGCCTACTCCACCTTGGTTGCCACAGTTATTAACCAGGATCCATCAGTGGCTCCTGAGGTGCTTCCGGTGGCCAGCGATTCGCGACTTCCAAAGTTGAAGGTGTGGCGTGTGTCTGAAAAGAAGATGCAATTTTACCCTCAGGTAATTTAACATAGCTATGGAAAACGACCCATGTATAGATGATTTACCCATTAACAACGGTGATTTTCCATAGTTATGTTAGTACATAGACCCTGAAATTACATTTTTTTCAGTTGTTTCACTAGTCTTCCAACCCCCATCTGCCAGGGTCGAACTGTTAATTTACTGGGGGTAATAGGGACAATGATGAACCAGTGGATGGAATAACACATTCCTCAATCTGGATCATCTGGATCAGTCAGATTTCTTCATATCTCATCTGGTATTGGATCAGTTTAAGGGAAAAAATATAGGAAATCACCATATTTCATAGGAAAACCATGGCTTCCTGTAGATTTTCCCTGAAACCAATCCATTGAATCTATAGTAATCTAGGCATCATTGGATTGACCATGTCGTCATGCCATGCAACTCGGAACGGAAGCTAAGCTTTTGATAGTGACTATGAGAAGTCCCTGAAGTGGGTTAAAACAACAGACCTAAATCATCACGGGCACGAAGTGTTTCTAATCCACAAGAAAAGCCTTAAAACAGAGACGAAATCAAAAACTAGTTCTATAAATCCCATCATGTTTGTTAAGTCATCATTAAATGACGCCCAAAACAGGTGCCTTTTTCGAGGCGAGTAGGCCAGTTCACCCCGACCGCCGTGTTTCAGGAAGGTTCTGGTGACTTTCTGGGCTTCACCAAAGACATGCAGGCCGCCGTGACCCGTAGTTTGTTGCAGGTTGTGAACTGGAACATCACAATTTTTAAATAGGTAAACTATCTAAGAATGATGGAACATCAACATGTTTATTGTATGTTTAATAGGTAAACCATCGAAGTAATTGATGGAACGTCACCATTTGTAAGAGGTAAATATAGAAAATCCACCTGTAATATCATAGGCAAATCATCCAACATTTATGGGCCATGGCTTCCAGTTCGCGTTTGCTGCAACAAATTTCCAGAGAGTAAATTAGATATAAATCCCATTAATCACATTAAATACCATATAAATCCATATAAATCCCATTCAATCTGAAGTGATCAACTTTTCACGTCGAAGAAATACGAACTTCGGCTTTTCAGTTGTTGGAATACTTCGGTTGAGATTTCAGTGGATCAAACATTGAGATTGACACATGCATCTAGAACGTGGATCATTGGTCATCCAATGCGCATGAACATTTGGTCATCCAATTTGATCCAATTTAGTTTGACCCCAACACGCCACATTTGACTTATACCCATGTAAGGATAGTTTTTTTTTTTGTATATATAATTATATATATAATATAATATAAACTACTTAGTGCCTTGGAAATCATTGGAAGGCGGGTCAGCGCAAGAGTCATGTCATGTTCTTAACGTGGGGATGAACATGACCCGTCAGTGTACTAAGAACCTGCGAATTGAGTGATGGTCCGAGTTACTGGTTCGCAACCATGCTTGGAACCCAACTATGTGGGTCAGTCAGCATGTTGGGGACCATTTTTAGAACAAAATCTCCGTTGCTTTGCGAAATTCAAGTTCTAATTTCAGAAAGTAATTTCTTTTTGGCAAGGTAAAACCAAACCTTCAACCTTTTCGTAGACAAGAACAAATCAACCACCGCTACCTGCTCGTCCCTGAGTCAATCCTCCAAGTTGCAGAGGTCTGCAACGGCAACGGTCAGCAAGCGCCCGAAGCTGGAAGCACACGCCTTTTGGACGACGAGGGGCTGAGCCATCAATAGCCCTCTTGGCCCTCTTGATTGGTTATGAAATATATAGTGGGTTACACAGTGTCATACATGTTGAGGATATATATATATATATATTATAAGGATACCCTACTAACCAACCAGTGCACATGGAATGGGATAGGGATATATGGCTCAATTGGAACTGGTAACTTATGGATATGTTGGATCTGTATTCCAAGTATATAGTTATATGAAAACTTATGAGCCAACTACAAGCTGGTAACTCACGGATATCCGGGATATCTGATGTCCCCAACTTAGATTTTCAAATTTCGCTACCTCGGATAGAACTTTTGGGGAGTTGCCCAGCCAGGGTTGAACTCGTCCAAGGCGTTACTTTGGACACCCACATGTTTTTTTTTTTGTGTGGGCTTTACCCTCTGGTAAATTAACATAGCTATTGAAAATGACCATAGAAATAGTGGATTTTCCCAGCTATAAAATGGTGATTTTCCATAGCTATGTTAAATTACCAGAGGGTAAACAAGATGGCTGAAGATCAGAAAGGACCGAACTTTCTTGAGGGATCAATCGGGTTGCCCTGCTGGTCACGGTCACTGGGCCGACAAAAAACAGCCTGAGGTGGCTCCGTGGTCTATGCTGGGTGCTCCTGAGACATGTCAACTCCGATGCCCCTTACCCTCTGGTAAGCTAACATAACTATGGGAAATGACCATTTTTAATGGGTAAATCCACTATAAATGGCCATTTTCAATAGCTATGTTAGTTTACCAGAGGGTAATGTTTGGTCAACCATTGACTGAACAAATGTGAGGAGCAAGAACTGTTTGGATTTATCAGGATTTATCAGAAGAAATGCATGACTACGTCACTAGGTCACTAAGTCACGAAGCATGGTCAGATCCAGCAAGAACTATTGCAATTGCATGGAATTCGCACGGATGGAATTCCAAATGATGGTTGTTTCGGTAGAGGCAGCCGAGGTCCAACGTTGCCTTCACGATGACATCACTTGAGGGTGATCCTCTCATCCCAAGCCAGGGCGTTGATGATTCCTGGAGGCTTTTTCAACCGGGAAATTCCCAGACGGGCTTGAGGGAATAGCCTGGTAGTCAAACAGGGCTTGCTGGAAAATCACCCAGCAATAGTTCGATCATTTTATCAAACCTTCATCTGTAATGGATTTTCCTATATTTTTCCATGATTTTCCCATCAAAACACCGCCATTTCTTTCTGAGATTTCCCAGCCAGCCATGTTTGACAGCAGGTACTGTGCCTCTGACATCACTGTCAGCAGCCTGAAATGCGGCGTACGGAGCCTCAGGATCATAGCCTCAAACATGGCGGGCTTTCCACTGGGAACTCCCCTTCACTGGCCATAAATGATCAGCAAGTGGTACACACCACAGGTTGCTTGAAAATGGGCCAACCCCCCTTTATCATCATATTTTCCATTAAGCTTGCTATGTTACGACCGCACGTATATTGAAATCGAGATGTCAGCGAGGTAACTTCTAACTGTCCAAGGGGTATACCAGTTGAGGTGAGACGGGACTTTGACAAATGGTTTTGCAAGGGCTAGAGTGCATGCTTAACAGACTCAGAAGCCTGAAACATCATATTGATACTTGTTCATAGGTGTTGAATCATATTATATCATGTAATATAATACAATATGATATAATATAATATAATACAATATAATATATTATAATATATAATATATAATATAATATATAATATAATATAATACAATATAATATATTATAATATATAATATATAATATAATATAATATAATATATTATAATATATAATATATAATATATAATATATAATATATAGTATATAATATATAATATATAATATATAATATATAATATTTAATATATAATATATAATATATAATATATAATATACAATATATAATATATAATATATAAGATATACAATATACAATATATAATATGTACAATATATAATATATAATATGTTATATATAATATATAATATATTATATATAATATATAATCTATAATATACAATATATAATCTATAATATATAATGTGTAATCTATAATCTATAATATATAATATATAATATATAATATATAATATATAATATATAATATAATATAATATATAATATAATATAATATAATATATAATATGAGATATAATATGATATATAATATGATATATAATATAATGTATCATATGATATATAATATGATATATAACATGATATATAATATGATATATAATATAATATGACATGGCATGATATGATATGATATGATGCAATGGAATCATATGATATGATGTGATATAATATAATATGATATTATATAATTCAACATCATATAAAATGACATGACATGACATGACATGATATGATATGATATGATGTGATATGGTATGATACACAGGTATCATATTATATGATATAATATAAACTAATATAATATAATATAATATAACATGACATGACATGATATGATGTGATATGATATGATATGATACAACGGTATCATATGATATGATATGATATAACATGACATGACATGAAATGATGTGATATGATATGATGTGATACGATATGATATGATGCAATGGTATCATATGATATGATATAGTATAACATGACATGACATGATATGATATGATACAATGGTATCATATAATACGATATCATATAATATTATAAAATATAATTTAATACAATACAGTATTGTAAAATATAATGTGCTATTAATAAACGTTTCTCGAACATCCTCAGGTTTCCCCATATGGTTTACCTGTCACCAGTCACCAGGTGCTGAACTTTGGCTTCAAGGCGATAGCCATGGAGATTGATGGAGATTGAGATTGGTGTACCCTCTGGTTATTTAACATAGCCATGGGAAATGGCCCATTTATAGAAATTTACCTATTAAAAAGAGTGATTTTCCATGGCAAACTGTTAAATAACCAGATGATAATCATCAATATTGGGATTATTGAGGATGATTGGTAATGTGTATTGTTGATGTATTGAAGTAGCTAGAATGTCGTTTTTTGAATTTGGGCTGTTCATTCTGTTCAAACATTTTTTTTGATTCTTAGAGGTTGTTTGACACCAGATTCGATCTACTTCAGGATGTTGTCATCCAAATTAAGGGTACCGAATCAGCAAAAGAACAAGGGTATTTGTCACCGATATGCAACATCAACCAGCAAAAGTGTAAAACATGTTTCACTCGTGTGTGCCAAAAACCTCCGGCAATATTCCACATCGCTTGGTCGAAAATTCCCATGGTGTTTAGATCATGTTCTCATCAAAACCCCCTATTTACAATGGATTTTCTACCATGATGTTCCTGTCCGTTCGCCTTTCGTAAAATTTCGTTCGGGGATCCCAAACGGCCAGTTGATGATGGCATATGCTTTACATAAGGACATAAAGATCCCAAATAGTATGAGTATGTCCATTATGGTACTAGACATACCCTCTGGTAATTTGTTACATAACTATGGAAAGATCCACCATTTTTAGAGTGAATTTTCCCATGAAACATGGTGGATCTTTCCATAGTTATGTTAAATTACCAGAGGGTACAGTGTTTCATAGTTGCCATAAGTGAGTTTCCAAATGGGGATTTCGCAACCAATCTTTAGACCATTGCCTGGACTTCCACAAGGATCAGCTGCTATGTCTGGCATTGCTCCCCATGGAAAATGCATGGGAAAACCATGGAACATCTGCTGGCAGTTTTTTCACACAAAGTCTAAAAAGAATTACTGTAAAACGACCAGAAACTAAAAAGTTATAACACTGACTCTAAAATCATGGAACATCTGCTAATTTCTATTCCCAAACTTGTGGTGTTTCAGGCTGTGGTCGACCTTCTTGACAGTGCCGGCAAAAGGACGGGCTATGAAATCCCAGCGAAACACACACGAAACGTATACCCCAACTTCGGGGGGTTAGAATCCATGGCTTATTCCAGTTATTCCCAATAATCTGTACATGTATGTACATGTAACATCATGTCACACGTAGTGTTTGTTAAACAAATATATAGCAATATTATATATTCCCATTGCCTATAGATAGATATAGCTAGCAATACCCAGCTATTCTTCATTTTCCACGTCCCCATCTTTGGATCCTGCCCTGGTTTGGATCGTAGGAGCAGCAGCATCTTAGTGAAGCATCTGGATGCCTTGCAACTTCACAAGCTCGGTGGGAAACCCCGAAGGGGGACGAATGATGGGTATGGGTGACAAATTTTCGCGAGGCCACAGCGCACCAATTTTCGCGGCAAAGTTAAGACTCATGGATGTCCGCAGCAGTTCTTCAGGGGCACCCCTCTTTACCCCTCTTTCTGCGCCGTTCAACACTGAAGAACGGACTTTGGGCTGAAGCTCCCCACTTTGCAGCCGAAAGGATACATGCACATCTTCGAGTTGATTTGAGTCATGTCAGCAAATTTGTAATACTGTAGACTTCACAAAAAAACATGGTGAAAGACCTATTAGGATGTTTCGTTTGTGAAGGGTAGGTAGCTGGCTTTGACATGTTCAGCATTTTCATCTTTTCTGACTGGCATACACACAACAACAACATATCCCAGATTTTATGTGGTACACCCAATACTGAGCTTCCAATTCGGGATGGCTCTTTACCACATCTATAGAGCTGAATATTTCATGATCTTTCCGGCCAACAAACTGGGATGATTAGATGATTTCATATTTAGTACATCTATAACTGAATATTGCATGATACAAAAAATCCGGGGGATGATCCAGTATTTATTACAAGTGGCTTGCCACAGCAATCCTTTCCTCAAAAGAATCTCTTGATATCTCGGTCACCATGATTTCTGTCGACCAGGTGATGTGGGAATTCTGAGCCTTCCAGCGTCGGAGCCCAAGGTGAAAACCATGGTTTAACCATGGCTAGAGATCAGAATGGGGTTTGAAGAGCAGCATTGAAAGACCTCCAATCTTTATGACCTCTCAGTTTGTGTTCCTCAGTAAAGGTGGGTAAGACTTCCATCCCCAATTCTTGCTGGATACTGTAAAGCTTCATTCTGTGCCAACACCAAAAAATGTTGCTTGAACTTGAAGTCGACTTTTTCCTGGTTCCATATACAGTATATTACAGTGTGTATATATATATATACAGTATATATATATATACATACACTACACTACACTACATTACACTACATTACATTACATTACATTACATTGCATTGCATTGCATTGCATTGCATTGCATTACATTACATACATACATACCATATATATATATATATATATTTCTATTAAGTTTCATTTTTTTTCTTGGAAACTCCTCCATTTTTCATGGATCATCCGAGGCTCGCCGTGTCGCCGGCGCTGCAGCAGTCAGCACAACGCTTCAGGGAGAGTCCCGTGGCCCTGGGAAGGTCGGCATGGATCAAACCTGTGGAAAATCATCGGAAAACCATCGGAAAATCATAGGAAAACCATAGGAAAACCATAGGAAAATGGTGATTTTTCATGAGGGTTTATGGAAATTTAATGGAATTTAATGGGATCTACCCGGCCTGGTAAACTAACATAACTATTAACGGGAAAATCCACTTTTTCGACTGGGCCATTTTCAATAGCTGTGTGAATGTTTACCAGATGGAAAAATCGGGGAAGATCTATGGAAATCCTTGGGGGAATCACATTTTAATATTTTTAATCCACACATTTTTGGGTTATTTTTGTGTTATTTTTAAGTGATGTGATTCAAATCTGATATCGTAGATTGTGAATGTGGGATAATTTGCCAACAATGTTTATAAATATGATAGGGGATATCTGGATCCAGTTTGGGTAATATCTGACATATTTTTGGAGACTGCTTAAGTTATGAATAGGAACGGTTGCATAGATGGACCAAGAAGTTCTCCTGAGATGAAAACCATGAGAATTGCTGATTCCATCTGGTACTTGTGTAGAGTATGAGGCGAAAGGCCAAAGTTTTTGCAGATTGGGATTTCAACACAGATTTTGTTGAAGATATTGAGATTTCACCAATCTAGGATGCAGCTGGCCATTTGCCTTTGACAAGTCGCCGACAAGGGTTGCGCCGTGCGAACAAGGTAGTCACTCCCTCAGACGCGAAATGGCAGAAACCGCAGAAATGGATAGAAACCAGGTTTTCAAATTGTGACTTTCCGGCCATTTTAAGTTGGCTTAACATCCTACATGTATGCTCCATATTTGTTGGTAACATTCCCATGATTCTGGCCAGAGAGTATCCACCATCAGCTGTTTCAACAGATTCGCTCGGCATCCAGCGTGCCAGTTTGCCTTACCTGGCCGTATACCTCAACACCCACGACGTTGCCCAGAAGGAACCATTGGGGTTGCCCGAAAAATACGGAAACCCCAAAGAATCCGCGGGTGAATCACCATTTTTTCCTGATAAAATGTTTTTGTTTTTTGGATATTATATATATATATATTGCATCAATCACACTCAGATTGCATTAGCTGGTGGGTTAAGAGAGGTCTCAAAGGTGGCCTTCTGGTCACATGTTTGAGTTTCTTTGTGTTCAAAATGGTGAGTCGAATATGACAAACTGTAAAATGTCACAAGAATCTGGTGCTTCCCTTTCTGTTCGAGAGCCACTCATTCCAACGTTGGTTGTGTTGCAACATGTCGCTTCGCAGATTCACATCTTGGTCTAGCAGTCTGGCTCAGAGATCCGCAGTCTGGCCAGTCGAGCCAGTACATCCACCCTTATTCTAACAGGTTGATGGTATTCCGTGAAGAAAAACTCTAGAAATTTGCCCTGACAAAAATAAATCTCCAAAGATTGGAGTCACAGCCATGCAATTCTTCTAGAGACCTCTATTGGAACTGCAACTGAAAATGAGGTAGACCACCAAAATGGCTATTTCAGTAGGGAGATGATGATAAATCCTCGGATTCTGGGAGTGTCTATTTTCAGACAAACCCATGTGAGTATATGAAATAGCTCATGTATACTTGGACCATCCCCTATTTCAGCGTTTTTTTTTCATCCAACAAATTGACACTGGTGTCGCCACTTGTTTTGACGACTGGGGATTGAACCAACGAACGAAGATGTAAATGATTTAGCCAACATATAATTTGGGATCAAACCCCAAAATCAAGGAGTAGAGAACAATCATCCGGATTTCACCAGCAACAATGAGGACATAAACCCCCCCAAAAATAGTGATTTCACCATTCAAATTGGTAGATTTCACCAGCAAAACATGGTGATTGGTCCATAAACAATGGGGGATTTCACCCAGCCATCCATTCCACAGGGCCGTTTTAGCCGCTCCCTCGGTGCCGCCATGCCTTGTGATGCGGAGAGCTGTGGCGGTGGCGGTGCTGACGGCATCGGCGCTGGCGATGGGATTGAGTGTCCTGGCCAAGAGTTGAAGACACTGTGGATGGGCCAGCGAAATCCGAAAAAAACCACCAACCGGATGGTTGAAACCCTATATGGGTGTGTCTGAAAATGTTGTGTACCCCTAAACCCACTAACCCACCGGTTTTGCTGATCATTATCCCTATTAAATGGCTATTTCATTGGGAATATACCCTATTTTCAGACAAACCCATATATAAATAAAAATGGGATAAACCACTTAACACAGTAGTGTAAAGTAAGTTGGTGAAACAACAGCGGAACTGGCATGAGCGAGAAGATCCCTGATAAAGACAGTTGGCACTGTTGGGAATATGTTGGTATAAGTATGCAGAAACGGGAACAAGGCATGACCACGCACCATAGATCTGGGTTCTTTCAGACAGCCGCGTGGCTGGATGGATCTCTTGATGGGGTCCGGAAACTTTAGATTATGACTCAAATGGTAACACCCAATCTGAAATACCATGAAATACCTAACATAGACCCCTATGTTAACGTATTGATTGGGTATAAAAGACCCCCTACCTATTAGAACAGCCCTTGGTGAAAATTGTTGCATTTTTTAACCAGTGAGACCTTCAAAAAATGCTGATGATTTCTGGAAATACATCCAATTGTAAGTGTTGTTGCTGCTGCTGCTGCTGTTTTTGTTGTTGTTGTTGTTGTTGTTGTTGTTGTTGTTGTTGTTGTTGTTGTCGTCGTCGTTGTTCCAATTTTGGTCATTTTTCTAGTGAATTTATCATCAAAATGTTCACATGGCATCCCAAGGCATGCTGTGGCAGTCACATCAACGTCATCAACCTTCAGAGGCGTGGAACATGATGGGGAATTTGACTATAGTATATATTATATAATATTATATATACATATAAGATTTATATAAGCGTTGATCAAACAGTTACTTTACGTGTAATATTAACGGATATCAGTGGATATTCATGATATATTGTTGATCATTTGTATTGCTAATCTTGAAGGCACATCAGCAGTGAATGTGTCTTGTTATTGTTTATTGCAACATGTATCCACGTGTAATGTGTTGCAATTTCAGCTCGTGCCATTTGGATCCAGTTAAGCAGAAATGGAATCGAAAATTTCACAGTGATGAAACCTCTGTACGACCCATTCTGTAACGGAATGAAGCGCATATGATGAAGCTATGATTCGAATTGCGGTTTTTGTGGGTAGTTACGGCGAGTTTTCCTGACGGATCTACTCGAGTGCAGGCAGACGTCGCCAGAATTTTCCATATGGAAATCAGTGGAATCTACCACCAGGATTTATGTGTCCTATCAAGAATCAATACCCCCTGGTAAATTAAGAGTTTGACCCTGAAAATCACCCATTTTTACTGGTTTCACTAGTCTTCCAACCCCGACAACTGCCAGGGTCGAACTGTTAATTTATCATGGGTGGAATCTAGAAGACTGATGGCTGAGACACGACTGAGAAAGTCACGGTTGGTGTTGACTTAAAAAACATGACTTTTCCATTGGTCTTTGGGATTGATGATCTGCAACTGGATCAATTGACGACTATTTTTTGCAGATTGGAACTGACAATGTGCAGCCTAGACATTAGAGAAATGAGTCGTGTAGAGAGGGAGACGTAACGTTAACACAGCTGCAACCTGAAGTTTAGTGAACACATGTACTTGCTGATTGCAGGATGCAGACCATAGCTAAAGATGTTCACAGAAATTCAGCTGTAGTTATATAGCATTAAAATGTGTTAAGAAAGTTTTCCCCAGGATTCCAGATGGGCTTGGTGTTTTTAAACCCCCAAAGATCCCAAAACAGAAGACCTTACTGGTTGGGTGCCCCAAGGCAGCGATAGCGGTCCTCGAGATGGAGACGACTTCAGCGAAAACTGCAGAGGTGCGGCAGCACAGCTGTGGTTCAATACCCTCTGGTAAACTAACATAGCTATTGAAAATGGCCATTTATAGTGAGTTTTCCCATTAAAAATGGTGATTTTCCATAGCTATGTTAGTTTACCAGAGGGTAATTACTTCAATCTCAAATTTGGGATTGAACCAGATTTCACCGAGCAGATTTTGTTTGATGCATGTGGTATGTATATATATATAGAACCATTAATTCACATTGATTGCTTGTGATCATTGGGCTGTATCCTGGTACTGTGGGTAAAACAATGCCATAAAACCATCCCCCAGTCATCATCGTTCCCATCTTTGGGTGTTTTTTCATGGCATTTTTTTACCCACATTATAACCAATGTCATAACCAATATCATACCATTTACCCTGAGATTCCACGCCCATCAAACTTTATAAAGATAAATTCAGATAAATGATATTTCCTGTATTATTATAGATTATGACATGATATATTATGATATGATATTAAGATATAAGAGATTCCAGCCATCCAATGGTTGTATAGAACCCCTGTTGGAGGCTGTGGCAGACCTGGCCCATGGCGGTTCCGCCAATCGATCGAGCGCCGATGGAACAACGGAGCTGCTTGGCGACGTGGGGTGTGGGGATCGCACTTGGCACAGGTTTCATTGGACTCCCCGGATATGACTTGTAGGGAAATTGAGGACATAACTAGAGGGAAGTTGAGGATTTAAGCCAGTGAAATTGCGAAATTGAGGATTTAACTGTTTTGACCAGGGAAATCAACCTATAATGTTGGTAAAACATGGTCAAACAATAATAAACCACCATATGTTGATGGTTTATATCACCCATGTGTGGTAAAAAAGGGGATGGTTTACTATTGCTTTACCAACATTACGGGGAATATGACGGTGCAATGCTTGATATCAATATATAATGGGAAAATGGGGGTTGATAAGGGAATATCATGGGATTTAATGTCTCAAAGAGGGAACAGATGAGTCGCCAATGGATATAGGTTTATTTTGAAGTAAGCTCATGTGTGAATATAGATGGGGTCTGGTATAGTTACTGGGTTTACCATACTTAGATCGGCAAGGGGACTAGATCGGCAAGGGGACTAGCTCACTGGTACACTCAGGTATGTTTGGGGATATAAGCAAGTTGTTAAGCAGTTAAATGACTGTATAGATCACACAAGTAGGAACAACATGAACATGGGACTGTTGTCATGAAAAACCTTGAAGAATCCGGAGATAATCCACAAATATTATGTGAATCTTAAGCATAAACCTCCAATTTGGGCTGGTTCGTACAAACCACTAGTCAAAATGGTTGTTTCATACAAACCATTTTTAATTTAGTCAACATGTTTGTTTGTTTGTTTGCTTGCTTGGTTGTTTGCTTGGTTGGTTGTTTGTTTGTTTGTTTTGAATGATTTGCAGTTCCTTCGTGGAGTGGGTTCGGTAGATATTGTGGTAAATCCAACAGACAAATCCAAACCTTGTTCTATCATTGGTGTTTCACAATTCAGAAGAACCTAGGGTTGAATTTCATCTTCATCTATCATTAGTGTTTACACTTCACAGACATAGGGTGTTTTATTCATGTTCCCTACCGGGTTTACCGGGTTTATATACCAACCACAACTAATCCCATCCCATCCCCCTGATCTTAAGCATCTCCATAAATTGGTCCCAACGAGGCCGGTGGTCGGGCGCGCGGTGGCGGTCATGGTGGTGGGGCAATGGCGCTGGTTCACGGCCAACGTCTCCACAAATCTGGCTGGATTGAGGCTGATTTCAGCCCTGGATTTTTGATGATTTTTGGGCAGATCAAGGGTAACAATGGTGGGTTTATAATCCAACAAAAGCATCAACATGTATCATGATTTACCTCCAACAGTGGCAATGTTTGGTATGAAATCATTTGGTTGGTGGTTTGGAACCATGGAATTTTTATGACTTTCCATAGGTTGGGAATGATAATCCCAAGTGACTCATATTTTTTAGAGTGAGTAGGTATACCACCAACCAGTAATGGTTTATACCATCATGATAGTGCCATCATAACAGTGGTTAATAATAGTGGTTGATATCATGATAGTGGTTAAACATAGTGGTTAACACCATCATAGTATCATAATTGTGATATTAATAGCATGACACATGTTTAACTATTATCCCAAAGATGGTGAACAATAGTGGGTGAATAGTGGTTAATAGATGTTAATAGCATCATAATCATGCTAATGATGCAAATGGTTAATCATGTAGTGTGTCAATAGTGGTTAATGCCATAATTATCATGCCGGCAACGACAAGAAACTGGTTAAACGTGGTGGACATTTACAATACCCTCTGGTGATGAAATACGCTTTGCCGGTAAATCCACCATTGATGTAGGATGTGCAATTGCCATGTTGGACCATAGGCTAGTCTTGCTTGAACCGTGGATTTCACTGGCAAATGATAGGCTTTAAACACCAAAAAACAGGGATATAGTTGATTAGCGATGGTTGGTTGGTTCTGAATTGTGGGTTCCACCGCCGCTTGAATAGGGATTCCTCTCACCTACAAAAAGGAAAGGTCCGGGGAATAGCTACGAATCAACCAGCTTTTCAAGAAATCTGAGCAGCACACCCAATTTTGGAGATACAATCCACACTATGATCATCTATGATCTATATCATTCTATATCCATAAAAGTGCGGGATCTGGTGGATGGTTTCGGAAAAAAACTGTCACAAAGGATGAGTTGACTTTGGAACATCTTACAGGAAACTCCTAGATTTGGTGGGGAAAACCAGGCTTTCGGGTGAAGCAGCTCTCATGTCGTTTACGGCTTCTTCCTCACCATCACAGTTTCCAAGAATGGGGGTATATAACCCAAGTCATGTTCATTAAAAAATGGGATGTTACATGAATTACCCTCATATAGTAGTGTGGCAATGAACAATCCACCATTTTTTAAGATGATGTTCTCAGTCACAACGACCGGGACCTGGGATTTCCCAGCTCGCTACCCCATTTTCAGAAAAAAAGCCATTGGATTTCAGCCACAAAGGGCGCTGATTGCAATCTCATGAAAAACATCACTGATACAACAAATGGTAATGGTATATATATACATATTATAATTATATAATTATATAATTATATAATTACGTATATATATATATATCAAAGGATTTGATATTACAACCCATCAACTCATCAAATATATTGTTCAATATATATATATATGTTACACCTGTATATAGAGTGTTCCCATTGTTCCTACTTAACCCATTATTTTTTTGTTTGTCTCCTTTTCTTCCTTGCCCTTGGGGTCACCGGTCACCCTTCTTGCTCGCTCACTCCGTCAAGCCCGTCAAGCGACAGGTGGGTGAGCGAGAAGGGGATGAAGAAACTGAAGGAAGATGGGATCAGCCCTTTGGATGTGACCAAAACCCATGGAAAACTGATGGGAGACCCGCCTCTGGGATGGGACGTCTGGGACTCTCCCCCAGTGATGGGACTGTTGATAAAACCCTACCTGTTTATTTGGAAAAGGTACAGGATGGGGCCCCCCAGTTATAAGTTGGTTTATAACCCCATCTAAATATTATAAGTTATTATAAGTATCAAAGACTATTGTCATTATGGTTATAAACCAACTTAGCGAACTATTTTGGGCCCCATCCTGGGATTCTGGGGAGATTGTGATGATTTTTTGATGATCACTGCTACAGGGTGGTGCCCCAGGTCGTTAGCAATAACTAGGCTTTATGGGGGATGCATTTTGTACCAACCATTGGAAGAGGATGAGAGCATCAAGCGGATGCCTTCGCCAAGTGCATGAACATTGCTGATGAATCTGTAGCTATCTTTGTTAGTTGATGTCCCCATGATATACCCTCGGGTAAACTGACATAACTATGGAAAATCACCATTTTTGATAGACCAATCCACTAGAAATGGCAATTTTTAATAGCTATGTTGAATTACCAGAGGGTAAATGTTGCAACCTTATCTCATGGTTTGAGACTCCCAATTTATGTACGACAAACATATTCTTTGGTATTGTCCCTAGTTTCATTCACATAACTAGGGGGTACCACCCTGTGCCGAGCATTGTGATTTGATACCCACCTGCCAAAGGTCCGACCGGACTTGAGGTTCTGTGCTGACATCCCAGCTGCTGCATGTGTTGCGGCCCCTGCAACTCGACTAGGGCTGGTTATTGATGTGAATCTCTCATGGAATTTATACATGTAATATAGGTAGTTATCCTGGAATGTGGTGATTTCGACACCTCCTAACTGAAATGGGAACATTATTGAAATTTTCATCTTCTATCTACTTCAGGATGATTATACATTTATTTATGCATGTTTTTTTTAAAAATTATTTCCACACTAGATTAGGCCCAAACACATACATACATGTTTTAGATACAGTACTTGGAAGTCCAAGAGTTGAACATATCAGGGTTTTAGCGAATCATATGTAATATGTGTATCTGTATCTGATAATGTGTGAGCATTACAATACATGTGCATATGTATCTATATGTCTACACCTATGAATGTATTATTGTGACTTCAAGCCTGCAGTTTGATTGTTTCCCATCCTTGCTTGGGTTTATCTCTTCGATGAAGTGGGTTGGGTTCTATCAGGAGGGAGCATAGCCGGAACATCGGGCACCAAGGGTCAATGATTCCATACCTAACCCTGCTGATTTAAAAGCCAAAGTGTTGGCAAGTTCAATCCGTTTCATGCTGGAAAACCAACAGTTGGGGTTATTACTGCTTTTGGTACCAACAACAATTGGCAACATGTAGAGTTTTCCTAAAATGGTGGCATCCCCAAATCATCAATTTTATTCTATTTTTATCAATTTAGACTATGCAGGATTTTCCATTCTAAACCATCCAGCTATTCGGGTACCCTCAATTGGCAACATTGATATTCCTGGTTCAAAACGGGATTCCCCGTTCTTGGATTATGAAATATTACCCAACATATCAAGGGTAGGACAATCCCCAAACTCATCATCAACCAACAGGGGTAGGTCGCAGCCACTGCTCAGCAGATGGGCTGAGGCAACGTCACGGTGATGTGCCGGTCCCTTGGCTCGCAGCAGTTCGCAGCTGAGGCTAGGATTTACATAGGATTTATATAGGATCTGTGGAAGATTTAGATGGATTGATATGGATTAGTATGGATTTCCGCTGAGTAATTCGCTGGGGCATGTTCTTTGATTTATTTTGATTTAATTTTGTGGAATTATGTTGGTACGTAACTGGGGTATGTAACCGTTGATGATCTCATTTCTCCCAGCTATGTTTTAGGGGCACCCAGTCGCCAATGACTAAGCACAGGATCTTCCAGTCGTATGGTAAATTCATCCAATCTGGTGCGAATGGGAATTGTTTTCGTCCAAGCTTATGATTAGAATCTCTATGAATCGACCAAAGAGTATTTATAGAAGGTCATAATAATTCCAATTATTCCAATAATAGTATCTCTATAATAATGATTAGTATCTGCAAATTATTTATTCCATTTTTTTTGCAGAAGGTCAGAAGGTACCCATCAACATGGGTCATCAATACCTCCAAAGTATGGAGTAAATAAAGTACATGGGCATGTTGATGGCTACCACGACAGGGTCAAGGGTGGGTTTATGTTATTTTTATACTATTATGTCCCAAGCGCACACAACAGGGATGGATGTAAGTGTTCGGTGTGTTTGAAGATGACATGCCTAGATACGACCAAAATAGGGATCTAAGCAAGGAATCGGGGGATATGATGGAGGATAACCAACTTTGTGCGTAGGGAAGATACATTGTGATCCGCAGGAACTTAGTTTTGGTTTTGCGAAACTATATATATATAACCAAAACAGGTGCCGTGTTAAACGACTGACGCAGGATTTCCTGCTCTGTGTGGATCAAGTCAAGGATCATCATGCAGAGCCTCGCCGGCCGAGCGTTGCAAGGGAGGAATCTGAAGGAAGTTTGGGTGGCATTGCGTGAACCCTTCAGATTTTGCTTACTACTGGTCGCACAAGTCTGAAAGAATCTCCTAGATTTGGCTTCCACCTTCGGTTTGGGCTCAAGCTATAGGGCCAATTCATACATAGCTTTCAATGGGGAGTACACCGAACTTATGGCAACCCTCCTTTGGGAGAGGCCGAAAATTCAAACCCTGCTAAACTAATGGTAGTTTACGATTTTCAGAATAGTTTAAGATTTTCAGAATAGTTTAACATTTTCAGAATCTTTTATTTTCAGAATCTTTTAGGGGTTACTATATACTGATCAAAGTCCTTGTCATCGAAACCCGGGAGACCCCCTTGGAGACCCCCTTGGAGACCGCTTGCCCAGGATGGTTGCCCAATGATGCTGAATCTCTCACAACGAAGTTCAATATATACAAACCAACAGTTGACACATTTCTAAAAGTAACAGTATGTTTATCAAACAATGAGTTGAACAAGTACTAAAGTCCATACTCATCTATACTATCTCCAAATAGTGCTGTAAACACTCGCAGAAACACTGGTTTAGTATCGATATTTCTGTTGGGACTTTCAAAGATCCATTTAGGTTCCAAGGTATGCTATTGAAACCGAGGACATTGCGGAAGCCTGGGCTTTTCCAGCGAAGGATCAATACCAACGCATCAAGGTGGGCGCTTTCGCGATGCCATCTGCTCCATCTGGTGCAGGTTTATATGCCCAGAAAATAGATTTGGCAAAGATCATCAAAATTGTTGTGGTCTATATAAGTTACTGTATATAATGTATCTAATGTTGCATAAACCATGCATAAACCATACATGGAGCATATGGGTATGCTTTCAGATTCATTTTTGTTTGGAAACATACCTTCAATCCTTCCACTCTACAGTTCAAGTCTGCAGGGGAGATCAGGGAAGATGTCCAAACACATCTGGGTTTGTCCAAACACATGTACCCTGTGGTTATTGAACAGTTTGCTATGAGAAATCACCAGTTTTAATAAGTAAACAGAGGGGTAAATCATTCATAAATGGACCATTTTCCGTAGCAAACCGTTAGATTACTCGAGGGTAAACCCTCAAAATCGCCATTTAAGAATGATACATTTGATGTTCAGATGTAACTTCCATTCCCTACTGATCAAGCAAGTTGCGTCATGCACATTTAATGTGCGTTTTGCGGTGCTGGGTGGGCGAGGCAAGATTGCAGGTTTTCCATATGCCAAGCCCTTCAGATACAGCAGCTGATTCTGATTGTTAGCTGTGAATAGCAGTCTCAATTCTCATGGTTTTGTCTGACGATTTGCTGCTTAAAAAATCCCTGGATGATTCGATTTTCCCAGCAACATGGCCAGAAATCGGGTGGTTTAAACATGTTTTTCTCCCACCCATCCGACATTTTCCACCAGGAGTGCTTGAAGCGTGTCCTGCTTCGCGAAGAGCGAGTCAACACCAGCTACGACTTCTTCGTGCGCTTGAGGCCGGAGCCGGAGCGGATCGGAGCCGGATCTTTCGAGGTGGCGGAAACGATGAAAGGATCACGATCACGGCCTGAAATTGGCAAAAGGGATTAATGGTGGGATTTATAACGTTAATGATATGTTAATGATATATATAATATTATATAGTTCATGATTTATATAATTATATAAATTTATATCGTTCATTAACGTTCGTATGTTTGTTCGCATTGGCTGAATGACGTTGGAATAGAACCTGAGGTCGCACTGACCAAAAGCCATTCTCAGTCCCCATTTCCAAGTGCATCAAGCCAGGCTTCGCAACCTTCTGCAGGTCACCATTGATTCAATGAAACTTTCAGGAACCTAGATTGCAGCTACCTAACACCTGTAAGTCACTGTAAGCCCAAAATTTATGGAATATCCTCCCGAAAAACATCAAGATCATTCAATACCATCCTCAAATATTGGCCATTTAAATCATTTACATGGTACATGATTTCATCATTTCATTATTCATTCACCTCCCAATATAAATAGGATGATATTAGATGATAGTATTTTGGTAAACCATTTAACTTGAACGCTTGTGCCATAGAAGTAGGATCATATTTTGAGCATCATCTAGGATGATATTGATGATATATCCTATAATATCAATTATATCATATCCTATATATATACACCATATAAGTCATATATATATATATTATAATATATATATATATATTATAATATATATATATATATTATAATATATATATATCCTATGATATTGATATGCTGATATGCCGATGAAATATTGATAAATTTATGCCCGGCACAACCTCCATGTTGCGGCTCCCATGTTGCCATGAAAGGCCCGACCTGCTGCTGCTCAGTGACCTTCCCTGGACCGGAGATGCCAAATGTGTCGGGGCGCGGCTGCGGGCGGCCAGGCATATCGAGGGCCTCACCAGCGAGCGGCGCGGCACAGGAAATTATTTGGGACCCATCGATTCGAAAAGTTGGTGTTTTCCCACGTGGAATGTACCCTCTGGTAATTTGTTACATAGCTATTGAAAATGACCATAGAAATAGTGGATTTACCCATGACAAATGGTGATTTTCCATAGTTATGTTAGTTTACCAGAGGATATATCAATGTCCCAGTTATCAATTACTGTATATCCATTCCGGTTGGTTTCTTACTGGTTAAATCAGCATCTATATAGTATTTTTCAGCCAATTCGGCATATATACTATTATCATCCATTATCATTCATTCTCATCCACGATCATCCATGAAAACATATTATATAAACCCCAATAAAAGACAAATGAAAACCTCATTGCAAGCCTATGAGAACACCATTCTTCCCCTGTTCCCGCATGGCTCCATGGCAATCCATGGCAATCCATGGCAATCCATGGCAATCCATGGCAATCCATGGCAATCCATGGCAATCCATGGACCACGCCTGGCCGAAATCCGAGGCATTTTTCCTGGTGCTACTGCGGCGACTTGGCCGGTGAACTAAGGTCAAACATGAATGGCTATCTACTGGTAATTTTTTACCTAGGCCTATAGAGATGATAACCACGATGATAAAACGCGAAAAAAACCGTGGTGATTTTCCAGTTTAACAAACCGTTGAATTACCAGAGGGGACCACTAAACCATGCCCACCGGTGCCTCGGCAGCGACCCCATGGCGTCACATGGCATCACATGGGTACCAAAACCCCTGTTGGTTGATGATTAGTAATTTGTTTGGGGATGATGACTAACCTAAACAGTCATCCATAGTTTTTGAACAGTACGAAAAATTACCTATCAACCTTAAGGAGTATTTCATGAGGGATGACTAACCAATATATTGGGGGATTGTGCGCACAATCCATTAGATCCCCATCAACCAGGCTACAGGAACCCATAGGGACAGAGGGACAGCAGGGAAACCTATCAACCCAGTTTTCATGAGATGGGATAGGGCGTTTTTTGATGGCTGGAAATGGAAAACAGGGATTTAACATGATTTAACTTGATTTAACCAAGAGAAACAGGGAATTAGAAGGCCATTCTATGTGAAGATAATGAGGATATACCGAGATATCAAACCAACCATATTGGACATGAGTGCGCCCCCAAGTTATGGCAGTTTTAATAGCGGAAACTGCGATTATATAACCAATAGATTTAGGGTATCATATGGGTATTGTACAATCATCCTGAAGTAGACAGAACATGCATAAAACAAAACACAAGTCAGAGATGTTACTTTTCCTAATCCATAGTCTGCTTTTCCTCGGGCTACAATCGTATGTTTTATCTTGACTCCGAACATTGTTTCCCAAACAATGTAAAAGGACAAACCAACAACAACAAACAATCCCTGATCTTGGCCGGTGAAAACCGGGACGATAAGCAGCAAATGAGGATATCAACCACCAGTCATGATACTAGGATCCCTTGACGTCCGACATCATTTTCCTGTGACATCATCTGCCTCCACAAACACTTGGAAGTGTGATAGGTAAAGCCAGATGCATGCTACTCACTGACTTCCCGTCGTCAAGAGATAATTCCCCTAAGGAAAGAGCTGCTGCGCCAAGGGTGCATTGAAGGCTGAGACTTTGCCGGATGATTTCCACTTGGTTCGTTGATAAAGAGTGAGGGCGGGGTAGCCCATGGTAGCCCCGGTAGTCCCGTTTTTCTCCCACAAAAAATTGTGTAACTGTAACAAACCAACCCAAAGCTCTATTTTGCCTCAAGAAAAGCAGGGGAAATCATTGGCTGTAGCGGCTGGGACTTGGTTGTTGATGGTGATCCCGCCCCGAAACATTGGCGTTTTGGGCTCATGAGCCACACCATTTGAGAAGCCCTGAAGTACGTAGATGGAATATCGACTTGAACCCTTCGCAAGGCTTAAATGCCATCCATGTCTTTGATTGAAATTGAACCTGGAGAAGGTTAAGAAGGTTCTATCTGGCACAGGATGTTCCAGCAACTTTTGCAGTCACCGGGGTATGCGTCAAGTCATTTGGGTACAGTACCATCAATTTGATGGTCGCCACATGACCCCTCAGCAGCTTTCCATCATTACCAAATCTTGCGGGTAAGCCATCCATTTTTGTGGGCAAATCGAGGGTTGCATTGGCGTGGCTGCTTTCAGGTGGCAGCCGGAAGAAAGATTCTGGTGGTTGGCCTCCCAAAGAAGCGTTGAAAGTTACTGTCTTGCCAAATTGGATGGCTTCATACAAAAAATCACAGCATGAGTTTGAGCCATGCGGCCATACTTTGATCAATTTGATCATCGAAAACAGATTGTGAACCAGAAATTGCTGGATATCCACTGGGTAATGTTGGAGTTGGCATCCTGGTGGCCATCCCTGTATATATCTAAAACAGAGATCGATGTAAAGCCCACTTACCCTAAGAAAATCACTAGGAAAAATATAAGTGATGTACCTTTCCCCCCAAAAAATATCGATATTGTTTCAATCTAAACATATACAACCACCAGTACTGGTTGGTGGTTTCAAACATGACTTTTTTATTTTCCATTTCGTATATGGGATGTCATCCTTCCCATTGACTCATATTTTTCAAGATGGTTATTGCACCACCAACCACTATACCATCTGGTTATTTAACATGGCCATGGAAAGATCTACCATGCTATTCAGTTCGGTGTTTACCATCTATTTCGATTAGGGCCATCGTAATTTTTCACCATGGCTATGCAACAAATTACCAGAGGGTAACCACTATTAAACCATTATTCTTAGTATATAATGGGCTATTTAACCACTATTAACCCACTTATTTCCATTGTTATGTTAATTTACCAGGCCGGGTAAATCCCATTAAATCCCATTAAACCAGAGGGTACAACCAGCATTAACCATCATTAATCATCATTTTATAACCATTATTAACCATCATCATTAACCATCATTATAACCATCATTAACCATCATCATTAACCATCATTAACCATATATCTGGGTAAATTATAACGACCTCACTGTTCTCCCTCACTGGAATCATAGTTAATAAGGGGAATCATCCCCAAATGGCCGCAAGATTCAGGTTAGTGAAATATTAAAATTTACCCAGATATATTAACATTAAGAAACACATTAAAAAAACAACGGCTTTGATCGTCCCACCGAAACCCCGGGATTTGGTCCCCAAAGGAGAGCGCTGCATACATCGCAGATGACATGGTGACCGTGGCCTCCCGCGCCAGCTTTCTGGAGCTCTGGCAACGGAAGGCGCAAAGTGGCCATAAACATAGGAAAACCATAGGAACATGGTGATTTAATGAGAGTTTATGGTTTAATGGAATTTTTCATGGGATTTACCCGGCCTGGTAATTTAACATAGCTATGGAAAGATCCACCATTTTTAATGGGTAAATCAGCTATAAATGGTCATTTTCAATAGCTATGTAACAAATTACCAGAGGGTATATATATATCTATATAATCATATGTATATTAGAAGTGTTCAATCACAATATATTCAAGATTTTTTCCAATATATTAAAGTGATTAATTATAAGTGTATAGATTAATGACAAATATATAATATGTATATAATATGGAGGTTTCCTGAAATGGGTACCTTTTTGGTCATCTATTTTAAAGAACATGAATTCCATCGAATGTAAACCATCCAGCGATTTTTGGGGTGTCACCCCGTTTATGGAGTTTCCTCCATATGTATCTAACATGGTATATAAGATGGATGCCCTTCATATTTTGCCATGTTTGGTTGGCTCCACAGCCTCCATTTTGCCCTATGACATATCATGATAATCCCATGAACCCTGCAGTTCGTATCCCATTTGAACTAGCATTAAATATTCCAACGTGTGTTTTAATAGTAATAGTTGCAATATGTAGTAGAAGTAGTAGTAGAAGTAGTAGTAGTAGTAGTAGGAATATTTAGTCATTAGTAATTATAAATACCACATGCCAATTAGTAATAACTACAATGTTTTCCCGGTGCTCCCATTTTTTCAGATGCCTACATGGCTATATGTTTTTTGCAATTTTATTCATACTAAACTTACCACATGGAATACTAGTTGATTGATCAATGATACTACATGGTTTATAATATCAATTAATCCCGTTCCCCTAATATTTAATACCACTCCGAAACCATGGTTTAGTATGGGATTTACACCTTTTGGGACCATACAATGGGGGTGTTTAATACCAGGTTATAATTATGGGATTATTCTGATACATAGCGATTTATGCGATTATGTACCAATGATACTGGATAATTCTTGTCATGACAGGTAGTGTCTCCAACCGCGGTTTGGTTGATTATCATGATCCGTTAGGGGAGTCCCGTGAACTTCACCAGGCTTTAATGGATTGACATTTTTTGGCTTTTGAACATGTTCCCAGAAATTTCCCATGTTCCCCCCTTTTTTTTGTCGCTAAAAAACGGTGTGCTTGGGATATGGTACATGTATACCACCCACTTATGGTTTACATGAATTAATCATCCCGCTTAGTAGGTGGATAGTAACATATTAAGTAACCCTCTGGTAAACATACAAAAAACTATGGAAAACCACCATTTTTAATGGGAAAATCCACTATTTCTATGGCCATTTTCAATAGGTTAGAAAGTCCCCATTTCGTGGGTTACCGCGTCGATGGATGATCCTCCAGAAGGTAGTCCCATTAAAATCATCCCCATTAAAATATCCTGGTTGGTGGTTTGGAACCATGAATTTTATGTTTCCATATATCGGGAAAAATAACCCCAACTGACTCAACTGACTCATATTTTTCAGAGAGGTAGGTTGAAACCACCAACCAGCCATTAAAATATCAGTATAAACATCGATGTTTGATTTGTAAATGGTTCCTCAGATCAAGAACTCCCATGTTTTAAAAAAGGGTCAAATCACATGAAAAATCCCATTAAAAAATCACCATAACCCCCCATTAAAAAAACATTAAATCCCATAAAATCACATTAAATCCCATGAAATCACCATGAAATCACCGTAACATCACCATGAAATCACCGTAAAATCACCATGAAATCACCGTAAAATCCCATCGTTGCCATGGTTTAAGCCACATGAACCCAGCATTTTCGGCCCCCGGCCCCCGATGGCCGCCATGGAGGTGCCCGGCAGCTTCAGTGCCCCATGGATCATGCAGCCCATGGCTGAGCCTTGGCGTTGAGACGCACCCTTCATATTTACAGATGTTCCTGTAAATAGATGTAAATAGCTACATAGAATTGCATATATGTATATATACTGTATATGTATATATATATATATATGTAATATGTATATATATATATATATCCGTAATATGTATATATGTATATATGTATATGTATATATGTATATATGTATATATGTATATATACTGTATATATATATATATGCGTAATATGTATATATGTATATATGTATATGTATATATATATATGTATGTATATACGTATTCACATAGTGGCTATGTAATGGGCTGATATGAGGATATACTGGGATATACCCGGTAATATGATATGGTAGGTTTGAGAACGGTTCGTGTAACTTCAAATTATTGACATTTTTATATGATGACAAACCGTCAAGTTTTGGGAATCACATATTTTTGAGATAGATCCAGATGGTGAGGAATCGGGTGATCTACCTCAAGATTTTGTAATTATGGAAGTATGAATGTGGTAAACCCAATGCACTGCCATATTCTGTCAAGTTGCAAGATTAAACAACTATATCTTAGTTATTACATAGATGCATTTTCATGCTATAATCTGCAGTAAGTTCTGCCAAGAAATTGGGCGGTTTTGCCAAAGCTTGAACATTTGCTGTTCGTCATTGGGTCCACCAACGCAGGCCACTGTGCAGAAACATGGTTCATCCAGCGAGAATGGCACTCGTACTTCATCGGCTTCCGGGGTATCAATGGGGTTATCCCATGGATTTTTCACCTGTTGGATCGCCGGCTGTTTTTATGGCTAAACGATTAATTTTTGCCGTACGAAAACGATGAATTAAACATCAGTAAACCATTGGTGGTACCCTCTGGTGTCATCACAGGCTGGAAAGTGTCAGTGGCCTAGCCATGGAGAAGCCGAGAAGCTCCAGCTCTTTTCGATAGATCAATTCAGGACCCTAAAATGGAGGTGCTGTATCATTTTTAGGTCATTTTTAGGGGATACTGGGTTTCCTTTCATAGATCTTACATAGACCTTATGGAGACATATGGTAGGGTAGCTCCAAATCGCTTCCGTGCCAAGGAGAGCAGCTTCACAACGAGGATTCTGCAACGTGGTCTATCTGTCTGCCCACTGGCACTGCGTGCGTTGCCCATTGGATGCTTGGAAAACCACCATCCCAAAAAGACACCCGGCCCGCTGCACGAAAAGGGCCATGAGGAGTTCATCCGGTAGCTGGGTTATATCAGTCATATCCCCTTTATCCCCTTACTGGGTATTAAACTACAACCTAGTCACTAAGCAGTTTATTTGCTGACCATCCAAGTAGTTGCGGGGCGAAAAAAAATCCGCACGCCTTAGGAAGTGCAAATCCGCACGCTTCTGAGATGGCGAAATGTGGGTACCTTGAAGGACGCCTGCGAAATGTCACTGGGTCAATAGGCGAAAAATGTTCCCCCAAATAAGGGGATGCCCCCTGGGTGGGGACTTGTTAGGCTTGTCAATCACATACTCATTGGGATGATCGAAGTGTCGGTCATTGTCCACCTTGTTTGGTTTTCAGCATCCCGGGTACTCGGCTTGGGTTTCCCAAGAAATATATAGGTTGTACCCAAATTTTATCGCCAATTTCGTGGGGCAAATAATACATTAATACATCATATTATTAAATCATCAAAAAAATGGGTACCCTATTTTCAGACAAGCGCTGATCACAATTTCCTGTCCACTTTTGTGGTCCCCAGAGTCTTATAATGGTCTTGATTGTTGATGGTGAAAACATCGCATATTTGCGGGTAATATAGGGTATATATAGGGTATATCCCATCAAGTCCCATCACGTGGTTTTTAACCATGTTGAAGCCACAGTCATTGTGGTTTTTCTGTCGCCAAGCATGGCACTTCCGAAGGAAGTGCCGCCATTCCGCAGAGCCAATGTGGTGGTCGCTTCAGTAGAATCCTGCCATTTCTGGAGGAGTTTTTCCGGTTTATCCCCTATAAGGTGGTGGCCCCCCAGTGATGTGAAGGTTGGTTCAGAAAAATCATTGGAATAGTATAGATCTACCATATGCCATAGTGAAATTGGAGTACTGGTCACCAACTTAGCGGTAACGAACTGGGGCACCACCTTGTATAGATGGAGGTTTTTGATCAAAACATCTTTGAGTGGGGCATTGTCCATTGCCATGTTTGATTGCCGGAAGGTAATACTTTTAGTTTTTGGCCAGAGATGTATACTAACCAGCTAAAACATATGTTGATACTGTCATTCATTGTTTTACTGTATATATATATATATGCACCCTCTGGTTATTTAACATAGCCATGGAATATCACCATTTTTCATAGGTAAACCATCTATTTCTATGGGCCATGGCTTCTATGGCTATGTTATATAAATGATCAGACATGATATTATACACTGGCCAGATCCAAACAGTTAAGACCCCCGATGTCCCCATAGAATTGTGGTTGCAAAGTGAGGGGAACAACAAAAAAATGGCTTGACAGAAGGTTGGTGAATCGTTGATAATCATTGCAATTCAGCCAGAACAATTTCTAGCCGCTAGGAAATAATGACTGGCTGGGTTCCAATTCCACCTTGATGTGAACACCAGCTATACAAATGGATGGAATTTGACCATATCAATGGGAGATTTTGAAGCCGTGTTTGACTACCAGAGGGCCAGAGGGCACAGGGATCTTCAGTCGATTGCGGCCCGGATGGATGCAGGTCAAACCTTTAAGGTTTGGGAATCGCAGATTGAGTAGTTGTTAAGTAGTGACACCAATAAATTAGGCACCCAAAGCTGTGACACATGCCCATTTTTTCCGCCGTTTTTCGGATGGTTCACAGGGAGTTTTGCACATGATCTCAGGATAAGGTGCTCCGGAAGTAGAGGTGCCAAGCCATGGTCCATTGCCTGATGGATTTTGGTGAGTTTTAGATGCCCCAAAATAGAAGATCTTCATCAAGTGCTGAGCCCTGAAGCAATCTGAAGATATCTGGTTGGTGGTTTGGAACCATGGAATTTTATTTTCCATTTCATATATGGGATGTCATCCTTCCCATTGACTTTCATATTTTTCAGAGGGGTAGGGCTCAACCACCAACCAGATCTTGTTGAACATGCACGGGGAGATCGACAAAGCAAAGTCTCAGAGGGTCTTTGGGGTGGGGAAACTGAATTGACATGAGCCATTTGTCCTCACTCCGTACTGCGTCTTGTGTCCGAACTGGGGTGGGAAAACGTAGCCTACTGGGAACATGATCCCATCCTAGACATGAATCAATTCAATACTAAATGCAATGCTCGTATTTTTTGGGGGATTTGTGTATGCCATCAGGGGGGAAGGGATTAGAGCAATATGATGTACTATCAATATATTCTTGATGATATAATCATTATACATATATATATATAATTATATATACATATATACATACATACATATACACATATATTAATATATTAATATATACATACATACACAGTATATATATATATATACTTACACCATTGCAATTAAAATGAACTTGTTCTATGGCCATGGATATGTGATTGATTCCTTGGAAATGGTGTAGGTTAAACCACCTCCAATCGCCGCGACAGGTGTTGCGACAAACAGTTGACCGTTGGAGATGCCAACGCCGTAAACGAACATAGCGAACTGGAAAATTTCCACTTTTGATAGGTCAATCAACTATGAATGTGCAGTTTTTTATAGCTATCTTAGGTTACTGGAGGGGACTTTTGAAAAGAACATGCCGAGAGTATCTGTATGTATCTTGTACTGTGTGTTGTTTGGTGAAAAGTTGCAACTAGCTGGTTAGCTCATTCATTGGGCGGTGCCCTCATGCTGTCTCAGATGCAAAGTCATTTGATCCAAAAGAGCGTTGGCTGCTTGGGATTGGAGTTGGGCAGCTCTGGCTCGAACTTGGAGCAACTCCCAACACCTGACTGTCACAGGCTATTCCCTGATTTGTGCATGATGGAGACGTACACATCATTTTTTCGGGACTTTGCAAAAACAATAACTTTTATTGCCATACAAATATCATATACTATATCATATACCGGATATACTGGAATGTATCAAATATCATATATCATATATATAATAGCTTAGAAAGTAGCCATGGCAAAACAAACCCTCACCGCGATTCGGAACGGCACAGACTGTCCTCCAATTTATGGATGGTTGTCCTCTGATTATTGGTGATTTTCCAGTGCGCAAACCATTAGAATATGGTGATTTTCCTATGAAAATTGATGATTTTCCTATGAATATTGATGATTTTCCTATGAATATTGGTGATTTTTGGTGATTTTCCTATGAAAATTGATGATTGTCCTATGAATATTGATGATTGTCCTATGAATATTGATGATTTTCCTATGAATATTGGTGATTTTCCTATGAATATTGGTGATTTTCCTATGAATATTTGTGATTTTCCTATGAATATTGGTGATTGTCCTATGAATATTGATGATTTACCTATGAATATTGGTGATTTTCCTATGAATATTGGTGATTTTTGGTGAATATTGGTGATTTTCCTATGAATATTGGTGATTGTCCTATGAATATTGGAGATTTTCCTATGAATATTGGAGAATTTTCAGATTTGCCCGTTGGATTTCTTCCAACGCAGAGTTTTTCTGCACATTTCCACCGGTGAGGACTTGGCTCCGAGCGCCGCCGCGGCTGCGGCGCGGATCAATCGCGTCTTGAAGAAGTGCGGCCAGGGCTGAGGGCAGTGGATACATCTGGATGCTGCAAAGATTGGATAATATATATATATATATACATATCCCATATATATAATGGGATGCAATATCGATATAACCAACCACTATCTTGGGGATTAACCAACTATAATGGGAATGCAAAAAAACGATAGAATGGGATATATATATATATATATTAGCTGGTTGGTGGTTTGGGACATGAATTTTATGACTGTCCATATATTGGGAATTTCATCATCCCAACTGACTTTCATATTTTTCAGAGGGGTAGGTATACCACCAACCAGTTGTTGGTTGAGCTGAGTTTATCCAACAAAGAACTATTAAATCTGGATAAACTCATAGTATCATCCATGGCATCTGGGGGTGTTAAAAAAGACAAAGATGGGTAGGAACTACCCAACGAAGCTGGAGATTCAATGAGGACTGGGAGTGTGATTGATCCCTGAATCCATGGATGATGTTTGGGGAATCATCCCCAAATGGCCAGCAGTTTAGTGCTTGGGGATTCCCGGAAAAAAAAACCGATCCATTTGTTTTTAGTGATTGTTTGTAAGACATTAGAGGATTAGAGTTATCTTACACTCTTATGTCCAATCTTACCATTGTTGTATATTGTTGTCGTATTTCAATATATTTCAACAGTTGGACCTTGTTCCCCATTGTGCCTTAGCTTTGGCGAAGATGTCCGGACGAGTACTTTACTTAGCGCCAGGAAGAAGTTGGAACAGGTCTTTGTGGCTGGCGTGCTACGCGAAGGCGGCCTTCAGCAAGTTTTTTGGGCTGAAATCGCTGCCATGACTATGGAGGTTTAATGATGTTGATTCCCCCAGCAAGATGGGGTAATTTCATAGGCTTTGAAGGCTTTGACCCTTTGACCCATCCCCATTTGGGGTGAAACATTGAAGCGGATGATCTTTTTCCCCACCTGCCAGGTGAGGGTCTCTAGATTTTATCAAAGGTTTGGGGTGAAACATTGAAGCGGTTAACCTTTTTTGGACAGCAAAGGGTTTCAGTTTGGGGGAAAATCAGCAAGGATGTATTTATTTTGGCAACGAGTACAGAGCATAGTAGCCATACTTAAGTACATACATACATGCGTTATGTTGTGTTACATTTACATTTAGATCTACAATTACAATTATATTTACATTTACATGTCCTTGCATTTACATTTATACATTTACATTACATTATATTATATTACATTACGTTATACCACATTTATTACATTACGATATACTACATTACATTACATGACATGACATTGCATGACATTATAAGCACAGTGTGTCCTGAGGCAAATCCTCAGAAAAGGCGATTGCCCAACAAGAAATCTAAGCTGGGCAACCGGGAATCGACAGAATAAGGTGTTGATTTCGACAAAAAAATATGGAAACTCCACTACAGTTTTGGTTTTCAAGAGTTATAAATAGAACTATAACTCCTCTAACTCAGGTTAACTCTATCAGACTCTATCAAGACATAAACCCATTTATTACAACTGTTGGGCCATAACTGGGGATTTCCCATCTACCCAGCAGGTTTTCAAAGGGAACTTCGGCTCCTAGTGAAGGAGGTGAGTGGGTGGAAAAGTCATCTGGCGACTCGGAAGGGACCCTCCCAGATGGGTAATGTAGGACTTATGCGCATCATAACTAGGACTTACTTGTGGTAGATGTAGAATTCTGTTGATATGGATTTCCAAAAAATTGTTGGACCATTGCTAGTTCGCATGATGAACCACCAAAGCGGGGGTCGGGAAACTGTTTTTTTTTTTTCAACATCAAACGTTCAGATTTTTTCATCAGGATCGAAGCATCAATGTGCGAGGGCATAGGGATTTGACCTAGCGAAACATGCAGATTTTCATTGTTGATTTGCGCTACTTTGGTTTACGGAATTCATAGGAAACCCTAGGATTTATGGTAGATTTATTGAACTGGCCAGATGGGTTAAATCAACTTTTGACTTTGGGGCCCTTGCTGGATTTTATCCTCTTGTTGGTGAATCATTGGGGCTATAATCCAATTATCTCTGAATCACTGGGGAATCCAGCCAGCCTGGCAAGAGTTACATGTGGCTGTGGGGATATAGTAACCCAAGCCCCGGACCCAAGTTGGTCTGATAGGTTTTTATGATACAAGAATGAATGTATAAATAATAAATAAATGAATAAATATACATATATATATATATGTAGTATTAGTTGTGAGTTATTAGTTATCATCTCCAAGCATGATGGTTCCCCCATATAAAACTTACCGCCATTCTGATCTTCTGCCGTAGGCGCTCTACTTCTCTCAAGACGATGGTGCAGACAGGCGAAACTGAGGAGTTCAGGGTGAAGGGAAGGACCACTCGAGTCTCAGCGGATAAAACATGACTTTTGATATGGGGATGGAAGAAATCCTGCACCAGTTGATAGTTGGATTATCCCATTATTCATAGGGTTTCAACATGTTTCAACCATCCGCTTGGTGGTGCAGGATCAAAACCTACTCTTTTCCTGGGATGAAGATGATGAAGATCCATAACTCCCAGCGATTCAGGGTTCACAGTGGTTTTGACCCCCATAGAAATTGGGAACCTGCGGCAATCTTTGGGAAATGGAGAAGCCATGGGGAAATCAACACCAATCTCCAGCTTGGCTTCAAGGGTCATCTCAGCCATGACTAATGGACTTGCAACTTGCATCTCGGGTAAAAGTATCCCTTTAGATCTCACGTCGGAAAATTCGGTTCTCTTTGGTTCTCCCAACCAATCTGCTGTAGCTTTGATGACGTTTCATCTTCCATGGTTTGTCGAAAGGGATCGCCGATCCCCAACCGAGATCAGTCTTTTCTCATCATATACCATCTGGTTATTTAACATAGCCATGGAAAATCACCATTTTTAATAGGGTAACCATCTATAAATGGACCATTTTCATCCATTTTCCATGGCTATGTTAAACAACCAGAGGGTAGGTCCAATATAGGTTGATCTGAACTTAGGATGCTCCAAAACCCCAAAATCCAAGGTTTCTCTATGTTTTTCCTCGTTCCAAATGGCCATAACTGGGAGGAATCCCCAATTTTTGAACAAAGTGACAAAGCCATGTTCTCAATAAACACATTTATATAAT